TAAACTATCATTAAACATGGGAAGTATTGTTCTAGTATCAACTGGCGCTATTGCTGGTAGTATAACCATAAACCCGATAGTTATAGGCCTACTTAGTGGTCTAGGTGCTTTGGTTCAAGGCTATATGGTTAAGAGTAAGATTAATAATAATATAGAAATGTGTAAATTTGCATATACATCATATGAAAAAATACTTATGGATATAAGATCTTATTTAAGAGGATTACCTTATGATGAAGTGATATTTCTATCAGACGTAAAAGTTATCGATGATATTATAATAGACAATTGTTCTACTATAGATGGTATGGTAAGTAAATATAATAAAAAATATAAAGATCTGTGATTTATCTGTAAGTTATCTATAAGATTATCTGTGAGTTATCTATAAGTTATCTGTTAGTTATCTGTGAATAAAATCTACAGTATTATATAATATGTCTGAAGAAAACCTAAAAATTACTACAGTTAAGAAAGAGAAAGACCCTATTAGAGTAGAAGCTGGTAAACGCTTGGCTGCTATTTCGAAAGCTTCTAAAGAAAAAAAGATGCGAGATAGGATTGAATTAGAAAATAAAAAGAAAATTGAGGATAATAGCTGGAATATTAATTACGGACTTTTATTCGGAGCAGTTGGAGTAATAACCGCTATTGCTAGTCTCTATTATACAAGGAAAAATGATAAAAGGCAGGAAAAATTAACAAACGATAAAGCGAGAGAAGAAACAACTAGTGAAAAACATGTTTTGATACAAAAAAATAAAAAACATAATTTAGACTCATTTGAATAAAATATTTCCTATTATATATGAGTAATACTATGACTAAGAAACAATTTATGAATGAAGCTTTTGATTCAGTGCTTGTGACAACAACTGCTGTAGGTATTTCTATGGCGTCTAAAAAACTACTAGGTCAAAAATTAACAGACACAAACAGTATCAAAGATTTTGCTAAACTGGTTGTTGCTATTACAACATCAACAATGTTAGTTAAATATGCTCACGACAAAAAATGGATTCCTGAAAATCCATTTAAATCTGTATAAATATATATGACAAGTGTTATTACTAGTGGATTTACAACAGCTTTTGGAGCTGTTGTTAATGGCCTAGGATTTAGTCTAGCCGGATGGTTATTTCATAAACTTGATAAAAACGGTTACGCTGAGGAAATGAAAAGACACAATAAGGCTCTAGAGGACCTATCTAAGGCTAAAGAGGCATTCTATGAAAATGAAGTCAAGCAACATGATAAAATACAACAGTTAAGACAAGAACTTCAATATGCTGATGATGATATAGAACTTACAAACAAAGCTTTAGATGCGCTTAGAAAAGTAAAAACTATACATTATAATTGGTTAACATTTCATAGAGAACCACAATTAAATGACTTTTACAAACCATCTAAGAATATGAAAAATTATCAATCTGGTACAATGGTTTTTATTGGTATTATATCTGGATATTTATTATATAAAATTACTTAAAAAATAAAATATATAGTATTAGTATATGTATTGTAATAAATTGATTCATAAAGAGTTAGAAGAGTTTTTTGGTTACGTAAATTGTTGCTTTTGTAATAAAAAGATATGTGATAATTATATTAATAGTTCTGCAAAGGCATACTTATGTTGTGAGAATCAAGAAATTATTTCAGATAACAATAAAATGAATGTTTGTAAAAACTGTGGGTCTGTTCACTCATATAAGATAGTTAATGAATGGATACCAGAGATTTGGAAATGTCAAAGATCAGTTCATTCAAGGAAAAAATGGTTTTATAATAAAATTAGATTGTGTGTAACTTTTGAAAATGTTGATGTGATTACAAATGATTTTATAAAAGTTGTTAGTACAATGATTAAGTATAAGTTGATTCATAAAAAAAATATTAGTATGTATAACTATTATATAATACGCTTAGCTAGTAGAAGGGGTATACCATTAAAACACCCTGTTAGAGATATGAAAAATAGTAAGACAAAAAGAGTTTTTGATGATAGATTATTTGGTGAAGTATATAAAATCCTTAAGTGGGATAAAGACATCAACTGTACTTATTATAACAACTGGGTCCAGTCAAAGAAATAAAAAATTTACTATTATATATGAATCTTAAAGATCTATTAAAAAAGATTAGAAATTTTATTCTATGTTGTAAAAAAACTAGTTCTAATATAGAAGGTGTTTTGAAGGATTTTGAAAAAACATTGTATAAAACAAAAGATAATTTAAACGCACCTTAAAAAAAATAATATATATAGTAATTATATAGAATGGTGAAAGTTATAAAAACAAAGATGTATATAAATTTAAAGGACATGAAATTAATTTAGATTTATTAGATGAAATTATGAAAGATAAAAACATGTATATTAAATCATTAAAGTACGAACTTTATTATAAAGACGATACTGATAGATATATAAATACATATTATGAATTGAATACAAATGAATGGTTATCTTTTTCAAAAAATATATATAATATAGAAAATATAAAAAAATTTTTACATATAATGTGTTCAATGAATATTGATTATGAAGCGATTATACTAAATACATTTAAACCATCTAATATAAATACTAAGAGTAGTGATTTTTATATACCACAGTTTACACATATAACTAAAGCTCTTTTTAATAAATATCATGGATGGGATGATTGTTATTTTAAATATGAAATCAACAATATAGATACAGATGTTTATGTTATAAAATTTGATTTATATGAATATTGTAATTATTCAAGTGCTAATGGAATTATTAAAATTTGTCTCAAACGCATTAAATAACTATTTAAAAAATAAAATATATAGTATTAGTATATATGTGTTCAGATAAACCAATACGAGGAAGACCAAAAATTTATACTAAAGAACAAATCAAACAACATAGGACATTATATATGCTCTCAAAACCATGGCATTGTGATTTATGTAATAAAACATATAGTTTAGCATATAAAACTTTACATCTTAAAACTAGAAAACATTTAATAAATTCAAAAAATTAAAAACAATATAGTTTTTATAAAAATTTAGGTGCGTTTAACAAAAAAAATTTAAGTATATAGTAATTATATATGATAGAAAATAGAAAAAACTTAAAAGACTTAAAGACAAAAGATGATATTAACAACATTGAAATGAGTAATAATAAAATATCATTATGCCATTTCGGGCCTGGGTGGGTTTTTGACTTTTTAGATCATTATTTATTATGTAAATTTGATTTATATATACTAGTTGATGCTTTACCAACAAAATTATTACATTATCCACCTGATTCTACAGGATATGAAAAATGTAAAGATTTTGAAACATTTAAACATACTTTAATATCTGAAGCAATTGAATATGGTCTAAAATTAGTTGAACATAATAAAAATTTAAGGTTATTAAGATTTAAAACTGATAATCATAAAAAAGAACTATTGTATTATTATGATACTACTGTACAAGAAAGTTTAGATGATCCTGTTATTCGTGCACAATTAAACAAAGTGATCTGGATACACGAGAAGGGTTTCATACCATGGTATTTTGGTCTTGAATCAGGAATGTTACCCAACACAATAAAGACTGAAGCTAAATTAAGAGAATATTTACAAAATATTTAAAAAACACTCAAAAGTTAAATAGATTAATTTCATTATTTTTTATAAAAAGTTTTAACTATAGATTTATTTCTATAATTAAAATTAGTGCGTTTAAAAAAAAATAAAATAAAATATATAGTATATATATATGAATAGAAATTATTTAAATCGAAAGCTACTTAAAGACAAACCTATATTATATAATATGCAGAAGATGAATAGAGATAAAACAAAACATAAAGTACTTAAAAATATGAGTATTTTATATAGTATGCCTAATATAAATAAAAATGAACTTCAAAATTTGACTACAGACGATTTAATTAATTTAATATTAAATCAAAAGCCGTGGGTTGAAGTTAATAATACTTCAATTTCCAAACCAGTACAAAAAATACTATCGCAATCCAATATTAAACAAATGACTGTATCTCAGTTAAAAGTTATTGCTAAAGAAAAAAAAGTTAAAGGTTATTATAAACTTAGAAAAAACGAATTAATCAAAGTACTAACACCAGTCCCAAAACCAAGAACTAGTGTAAAAGAGATGGTTAAAGAGTATGAGAACAATACACAGATGTTAGCAGCTAAAAATAAAAAACCAATACCAACACCAAGAGTTAAAATAAGAGAAACAAGCAATGCTATAAAAGGATGCACTAAATCATATGAAATAAGCATTATTAACAATAAAGCACCATTAATACAAATGCAAAGCACAAGAAAGTATCTTACATATTATATTAAAGAATTATTAACAACAATGAAAGGATTAAAATTTGTTGAAACGCTTAAGTTAACATTTGAAAAATTTGAAATAAAAGATGGTGGTACAGCTGGTTTTTTAACAAAAGTTGCTTATTTTAACAGTCAAGCTTTAACAATTACAAATAATCAAAATATTACTGAATCACTACAAATTTCAGAACAAAATATATTAAATAAGATTGATAAATTCACTCAAGAAGGTTCTGGATGGCTTATTCGTTCTATAGGTAATCATTATCTTAATGTTGTACAATATAAACCACTAACAGGATCTTCATACATTGATTTACCACAAGAACTTAAAAATAGTAAAAAAGGATTAATTAATATCAAAAATAGAGATAGTGAATGCTTTAGATGGTGCCATATTAGACATATTAACCCACAAAATAAATACCCGCAACAAATAAAAAAATCTGATAAGGAATATATTAACAAATTAGACTACTCTGGGATTGAATTTCCAGCAAATATTAAACAATTTAATAAAATCGAAAAGCAAAACAGAATTAACATTAACGTTTTTGGATATGAAGATAAACAACCATATCCATTATTCATATCAAAAGAACAATTTGAAGACCATATGGAACTACTATTGATAACTGATAATGAAAACAAACATTATATTCTAATAAAAAATTTTAATGCATTTATGTATAATCATACAAAGCATAAGGAAAGGAAACACTTTTGTATGCGCTGTCTTCAATGCTTTAGTTCTGAAAAAATATTAAATAACCATATAGAAAACTGTATACTAATAAATGGTATACAATCAGTAAGAATGCCTGATAAAAATAATAACATACTTAAATTCAACAACTATCATAAGCAACAAGCTGTTCCGTTTGTTATATACGCTGATTTTGAAGCTATTACAGAAAAGATATCTGGTTGTCAACAAGATAATGGTAACTCATATACTGAAGCTTACCAGAAGCACACTGACTGTGGCTATGGATATAAAGTTGTTTGTTTTTATGATGATAAATTCACAAAACCAATTCAACTATATAGAAGTGAAAAGGCTGTTTACAAATTTATGGAAGCTATGTTAAAAGAAGTTAAATATTGTAAAAATATTATGAAAACCCACTTTAATAAACCATTAAAAATGACCTCTGATGATGAAAAAGAATTTAAAAAAACTGATGAATGTCATATTTGTAACAAAAAATATACTAACAAAGACATTCGAGTTCAAGACCATTGCCATATAACTGGAAAATATAGAGGCTCAGCACATCAAGATTGTAATTTAAAACTTAGAATATGCCCTGATAAATTAAAGATTCCAGTAATATTTCACAACCTGCGTGGGTATGACAGTCACTTCATAATGCAAGAAATCGGAGCTATTGTTAATAAGCATACATACAAAAACAAAAAAGGTGAGGAAACGCATATGAATATAAATGCTATACCTAATAATATGGAAAAATATATGGCTTTTATGTTAGGTAACCATTTAACATTTCTTGATAGTTTTCAATTTATGAGCTCTAGTTTAGAAAAGCTTGTTAGTAATTTACCTAAAGAATCATTTAAATATACATCTAATCAGTTTAAAGGTGAAAAACTTAATTTAATGACTGGGAAAGGTATATATCCATATGACTTCATGGATAGCTTTGAAAAGTTTGATGAGAAGTTACCTTCAAAAAAAGACTTTTATAGTATTCTTACTGATGAGAATATATCAGATGAACAATACAATCATGCTCAAAATGTTTGGAATACATTCAATCTCAAAAACATGGGTGATTACCACAACTTATATTTAAAATCAGATGTTTTATTATTAGCTGATGTATTTGAAAACTTTAGGAAAACATGCTTAGAATACTATAATTTAGACCCATGTCACTATTTCACATCTCCTGGTTTGTCTTGGGACTCTATGCTTAAAATGAAAGATATTAAATTAGAATTAATGACAGATATTGATATGTTTCAATTCATTGAAAAGGGTATGAGAGGAGGTGTGGTTATATTTCTAATCGATATGGTAAGGCTAATAACAAGTATATGGAAACATTTGATAAGAATAAACCCTCAAAATATATAATGTATCTTGATGCAAACAATTTATATGGATGGGCTATGTCACAATACCTACCTACTGGTGGTTTCAAATGGTTAACTAAGAAACAGATTAACAACATAAACCTTGCTAAATATCAAGAAGATAGTAAAAAAGGCTTAATTTTAGAAGTTGATTTAGAATACAATAAAGAACTACATGATTTACATAACGATTATCCATTAGCACCCGAAAAAATTAAGGTCACTAGTGATATGTTATCAAAATATTGTAAGACAATTGCTTCTAATTACAATATATCAACAGGTTTAGTTAATAAGTTAATACCTACATTACAAAATAAAGAAAAGTATGTGCTACATTATAGAAATCTTCAATTATACTTAGATCTCGGGTTAAAATTAAAAAAAGTACATAGAGTACTTGAATTTAATCAATCTCCATGGTTGAAAAAATACATAGACTTTAATACTCAAAAAAGAACTAATGCAAAAAATTCTTTTGAAAAAGACTTCTTCAAACTCATGAATAACAGTGTTTTTGGTAAGACGATGGAAAACTTAAGAAAAAGAGTAGATGTTAAGCTAGTAACTAATAAAAATAAATTATTAAAATTAGCTTCAAAACCTACTTATGTAAGTAGTAAAATATTCAATGAAAACCTTGTGGCTGTGCATAAGATCAAAGAACAATTGGTGCTCAACAGACCTGCATATGTGGGTATGTGCATATTAGATTTAAGTAAAACGTTGATGTATGATTTTCATTACAACTATATCAAGAATAAATACGATGATAAAGCTAAATTATTATTCACTGATACCGATTCTCTCTGTTATGAAATAGAAACTGAAGATGCTTATAAAGATTTTTGGGCTGATAAAGATAAATTCGATTTCAGTGATTATCCAGAATACCATAAATATCATGATAAAACTAATAAAAAAGTTATTGGTAAAATGAAAGATGAAGCTGCTGGAATAGTAGTTAAAGAATTTGTTGGTTTAAGAAGCAAGATGTATAGTTATATTAAAGATAATAATAAAGGAGATAAGAAAGCTAAAGGAATTAAGAAAAATATTATTAAAAACAAAATAAAACATGAAGACTATAAACAAACACTATTTGAAAAGAAACAAATACATCATACAATGAAAACTATTAGAAGTGTAAACCATCAACTTAGTAGTTATGAAATTAATAAAGTATCACTCAGCTGTTTTGATGATAAACGATACATATTAGCTAATGGATGTAAAAGTTATGCTTATGGCCATTATCTTATCGATTCAAATAACTAAATATTAACAAACAGTTATAATGTGTAGTAAGTATGTAGCGTAGGCCTCTGTTAGAGTAAAATCATACATGCCTGCTCCTCATGTTTGACTACATATCACATAACTGTTTGTAATAAGTAATTAATACAAAAGAGATATACAAACAAATTCAAAATCCTGAAACAATTAGTAAAAAACACTTTTAACAAAAATTATATAAAACATTGTTAACCATGTACATGTGACACGCACTTGATAGACAAATTAAAAAAAACATATAGATTCCATAGTTTGTAAAGATCATCTATGATGTGTTATACTCAAAATTTCAGGCTTAGTTGCCTGAAATTCTTCGCCCTAACAACGATTTAAAAATATGCTTTATTAACACTTGATTATTAAAGACGGTTTTTTGAAGAGCATCTATGACATTGTTGCGCTCAAAATTTCAGGCTTAGTTGCCTGAAATTCTTCGCCCCTAACAACGATTTAAAAAGATGCTTTATTAATACTTGATTATTAAAGAATATTTCTACCACGCGCTGGGTTTTCAGACCATTGTTAAAGACCACTAGTTAATCCAATATACCACGTAGACTAAAAAGCGCGCTGCTACTGATATTTTTAATAACACTTGACTATTATACATGCGCTGATGAAATGTGCTATCTACATTAAACAACCATTGTTAAAAACATGCACTAAGACACGCGCGCCGCTACAAAACCAGCTATATTTTACCCACTGTGGCGATTTAGCTTGGCTAAATCAACATAGTCCAGGCAGGGCCTTGTTAACACTTGATTTTTGAAGAGCATTTTTTAAGCCTCTGTTATTCTCGAATATTCTTCGAATATTCATCGAATCTGCGGGGGGAACCCGAATTTTTCACTTCGTGAAAAATTTTCCCCGCCTGGGTTCCAGAATTCTCGAGGGATCCATTCCCCTGCTCAATTTTAGCTACGCTAAAATTTGCGCTGCCGATCCCCCTCCGAACCGATGCTTGTTAACATTTGTTTGTAAAGACGGTTTTTTGAAGAGCATTTTTTAATCCTCTGTTATTCTCGAATATTCTTCGAATATTCATCGAATGTACGGGGGCGAGCCGAAAATTCTAGCTAAAGCTAGAATTTTTTACCCACCAGGCTCGCATGAATTCTCGGCGATCCCATCCCCCTTCTTTGTCGAGCATGGAGTAAATATTACTTCGTAATATTCACATCATGCTCGATGCCGGATCGCCTCCGAAACGATGCTTTCTTAACATTTATTTCAAAAACATATAGATTCCATATTTTTAAACGATAGATTGTAACCTCGAGATTTTTACCCCCCTTTGAAACAATTGTTTTTTAAAGATAGTTTTTACCCACTGTTTAAAAGTAGTATAGTACATGGGGCGTATGAGATAACAAAAAGTGAACTTTTTGTGATCTCCTACCCCCATGTACTATACTACTTGTGTAGATCGTCCGGTGAATCCCATATGATTTGTGCACGTCTTGTTAATGTTCTGATTGTGGTGGCTTTGTGTGATATAGGGTTGTAAGATTATTGGTCTAGTAGTCGTTCAGTATGTGTTGACTTGGATAAACTGTTGTTCGTAGTTTTTGATTGTCATGTTTTACCAAACAGTCGAGAAAAGGAAGAGTTCCGTTTTCTTCGACATCTTTGGTAAATTGTATGTGGCTGTTCTGTTTGTTGATGTAAGTGTGAAAGTCATCAATCTCGTCTGCATGTAGTGCTGTGATTGTGTCATCTACGTAGCGAAACCAAGAAGATAGTGCATGTTTGTAAGTCGTGAGCGCCCGTTCCTCTATAGATTGCATTGCAATTTCAGCAACTACAACAGAAACGGGTGAGCCCATTGCTGTTCCATGTAATTGTTTATAGTGTGTGTACCTTTGTACTGGAAGTAAGTCGAGGTGAGGCAGAGCTCCAGTCGCTCCAAAATGTCTTCTGCCGGCAATGGAAGTACGTCCGTGGTGTTTGTAATGAGGGTTTTTGTACAAGTAAGTGCCAGATTAAGTGGGATACTGGTGAACAGTGATTTCACATCAAAAGACACTAGTATATAGTCGTCCGGTATTTGTATAGTGCTAAGTATTTTAATGAAAGTTTCAGTGGATTTAGCTTGTGTTTTGATTTGCTTGTAAGTGGCTGAAGTATGTCAGTCAAGTACTTTGAGAGTTCATAAGTAGGCAAACCAAAGAATGATACAATTGGTCGCATGGGTATTTGTGTTTTGTGAAGTTTTGGTAGTCCGTATAGTCTGGGTGGTCGTCGTACTGAACATCTAAGTCGATAGTAAATACGTTCAGATATAATGTTAGATTTTCTCATAGAGAAGATCTTGCTGTTAAGCTTGCGTACTAGTGATGATGTTGGGTCTCGTTTGAGTTGTTTGTACAATTGTCTGTCGTTAACAAGTGCGACAATTTTGTTAAAGTAATCATTCCTGTCCATGACCACAGTCACGCGTCCTTTGTCTGCTAGTAAAATGGCGATGTTGTTGTCGTGTTTTAGTCTTTTGAGTGCTTGTTGCTCGTCCTTTGTCAAGTTGTTGTCACGTATAGAGGACGATTGTAAAGTGGAGGCTACCCTGCTTCTGATCTCGTCTTTGGTTGTCTCTGCCAAGTCTCTTTGATACGTTAGGACAGCCTCGACACTTGAGACTATCGTCTCAGTCGGGATTTGTCTAGGTGTTGTGGAATGTTTTAGTCCGTAAGATAGCAGTCGTTTTTCAATTTCCTCTAATAAGCGGGAAGAAATATTCCTCACCCAGTTATCGTCATGTTTATGTCTTGTATGTGTTTTAGTGCGTTTTAAACGTTTAAGTTTTTTGTTGTTGTTTGATTTGGTGTCGTGTCTCTGTCTTGTTTGCTCATTTCTCTGCAATAGTTTGTATCGTAGAAAGTAAAGTATCACTTACTGTCCTTGGTATCAGTTCCTTCAGTTTGACTCTGAAGATGACTACCGCTAAGGTTATCGAAACGTCAGTCAACAACAACAAAAACAGTCCTTCTCAGGACTATACCAACCTGGACGATCTACATTTACAAACATGTAACGATACTCCCGGGTTCAAACCATTTACTTTATATTGTGTTATTATTGTTCAATTAAAAAGAAATGCTAATCACATTAAAGTAGTAAACTCGTGGCTTTGGCAATGTTCTAAGACAGTTAGAGCATGATCACTTGTGTTTTATGGAATTTGGGGGCTGTTCACATGAACCTGGTAGCCGGGATTCAGCAAAGCGTTAAATCATTTTGGAAAATGGAAAAGATTAAATATTCCACAACAAAAAACTTAGTTCAGAAATTTCTCTATGCTTTTACTTTGCAATTTACAAAACTTGTTAAAGGGAAAAAATAGTTTAGCCTGATTAGAAATTTACGACTAAAATAACTTTTGACGCTTGAGAAAGGAAGTAAGTTTTGCGCTTTAAGTTTTTACTCCTTTCAATAACTCAAAATCATTTCTAGTTACCGGGCTCATGTGCATGAACAGCCTCTTAGAGCCTCGTGCATTAGATAAAAACTCGCTCTAACCTACAAACTCCATAGAACACAAGTGATCGTAAGTTGTAACCCTTATTTTTTTATTCACTTTAAGCCTAAACTCAAATTCGTTATCCTCACAGGACGATCATTAGCCACATCGTTACTCGTTAGCAAAACAATCATTACCAAGTCATTACAATAATGCATGGTAACAAAGTAACAAACCATTCATAATTTAAAAAATAATCCTTTGTGGTCACTATGGGACTGTAGAGTACTATTTAGTAATTCATAGTTTGTTCAAGATTAAGTCATAGTTTAGTAAATTATGAGACATTGATATTCTGTTGGATTTACATATACTGGCTGTGAGCTTCGTTAAATCAATTGACATTGAAGCTTCCAGGTTACAAGTACCATGTTAATTGTATAAATGACGATGGACTGCGCTGTTTCTCTGAAATGTCTCCAACACAAAGACGGCTTTTTAAAATGACAACCAAAACGCAAAAAAGATAATGATAGATATGCATGAAATGTTAGAACTCAAATCATAGATCACAAGAAGCAGGCTAATTAACAATCAAACAAAAAACTTTCTCCTCCACAAACACTATAAACTTGGTGAACAAGATATTTATCAATGAGAGCAATTACATTATGATTTGTGAATGATACCAAATAAAAGAGTATATATATTGAATATTATTTTGTATAGTCCACTATATACCATATATATAGTGATTTCGATGGTTATGTACGTGTGATTGCGCGTGCATGTGTAAATATAAAAATGAGATTACTGGTCATAAATAAGTTGCCACAGTTGATATCAATGTATCGTGCATTCTTTTGATGAGTTTAGATATTATGATGCGCCTTAGTGGTAGCTATTCGTTTTTTTGCAGTCCACCTTCCAATGTATTATCTTTGATGCTTGCCCAAGCCATGAGATCAGTATTAAATGCCTTTCCAATGTTCCCATTACTGTCAATAGCAATTACTCCTCCATGTCCACTCAGTCTAGTTTGAAGTATGTTCACAGCATTCTCCGCTGCTTCCTTCAATAAAGAAGCAAAAGACGTTTGCTGTGTTTGTACAGGCTTATGCAAATTGAATAGAACTTTGGGAGAACTCTAACACTGATAAATGATTCACACATTATGGGATGACTCTGTTTAAAACCCATAAATTCAAGAAAACTTCCAAAGAATAACATGAAAATCGATTTACTCTTACTTATCCTACCTGAGCATTTTTTCCAGCTTCAATGTCAAATACAACTTGTCTTGCTAAAGTCAATTTTATCAACTTCTCTCCATGACCAGTTGTTGCAGCTGCTCCTTTATCATTTGCATATCCACCACAACCTACCCCCAAAAATGTAATTATACACGCTCATAAGCGGATTCAGTTTAAAGCCTTTTACTATTATAAAGGCTCATTTTTGTATATGTATATATAATATACTTAATAATGATAATTCAAGCAAGTAGACGTGGTATAGTTCGTCGGAAATTCGTCGGGGGGTAATTAATTGGAAACCTCGCGGGCCTTGCTGGTAAAGCAATGGGTGCGCTATTTAGTGCGGGGAAGTCCGCAGCTGCAGCCTTAGGATCTCGAGAAGGTAAGTTTGCTCTAAATGTCAAGAATGTGGCGGTTGGTAAAAAGGCAATTCGTGACACAGCTACAGCAGCCAAAGAGGCCGTTATATCGACTGCAAAAGAGCAGTTCTCGCCTGAAAACGTAAGCAGTCTTGTTGCCGATCTCGCCCGCGGGGATGTTAAAGGAGTGGCTAGAAAAGCTTCGTCAAAGACATTGACTCGGCTTTCTTAGGTGTAAAGTTTACTTTGAACCTTACTCGCACCACTGCTGAAAACACACTTTATAGAGCAGATGGGGTTGCTGCTGAAAAATTTAAGATGAATCATCTTTTGCTTTGGGTTCCTTTCATCAGGCTTTCAATCGAAGTGCAGACTATGATAGAAAGCAAGTTGGTCGCTGGATATACACGCATGCTGTATTTCGAGCAAAGTCGTATTTACCAAAAACGATTTGGCCCTAATCAGACCATTGCATCGTGGTTTGTAACAACAAACAGTATTGAAGAGCTACCAACTAACATCTTTGTGGCTTTTCAAGACGCTGAACGCTTTGACAATCAAGAACAAACTATACATGTCTTTGACCATGCTAATTTAAGACAAATTTTTGTCGACATCAATAACACTAAAAAGTATCCTGATAAACCGCTTGATGTTAATTACACAGCTGCTAACAGCAATTACAGCAGAGGCTACATGATGTTTCAAGACGCTGCAATGAAGTACAACGATGCAGATACAGGCTCTCAAGTAAGCTTAGGAGACTTTGAAAGCCTGTTTCCTATTTACCATTTCGATGTAAGTCATCATGCTGATGTTTTGTGAGAAAAAGAGGCAAACATTACAATTCGTTCGATCTTGAACCAAGCTTTTCTTAGCGCGATTAATGCTGGTGGCAGAAATGAGTATAACATGTTCTGCTTGGTGCTTAGCGAACGATTTATTCGACTTAATGTAATAAACGGTAAAATGGACATAATCATTTAGACTGTTAGTCTGATGTTATATGTTATTATTTATAAATAATTTATAAGATTAAAATAAACAAAAAATTTTCGACTGTTTATATACGCAAATTGTTTTGCATGTGCACAAAAATTTCGGACATTAATAACTGAATATTTGTTAAAGCTCTCAGACCCGCCAAGGAGCGAGTAATCCCTCAGGAATTTAAAGGCGCTGGTGTTTATCTTCCTGGGTCAAGAAGTATAGAAGGCGGTAGCTTTATTGGAAATCTTGTTAGAAAACTCATACCTACGGTCACTAAACTCATACAAAAAGTGTTACCGTCTCTAGGCCTAGCAGCTATATCAGGTGCTATCACCGGCAGCACGCAAAAAGCAGTAGCTGGTAGTGGTGTAGTTAGGAAAGGTGGTGCAGCTGCTAAAGGTGGTGGACGTAATAACTACACAGTTCACGGCGTTACACTTTCAACGGCTCAGAAAAATAACCTGGAAGAGGCAGTCAGAGACGGAACCGGAGTGACTATACGACTTACCAAAAAAGCACTTGACGGCCCTGACATGCTTATGCTTACTAAGACGCAAATTAAGCGCATAATGGGTGCAAAACCAACAGGATATGGAATTGATCTAAAATTGTCTAAGACTCAGATTAAAGCCATAACGCGCGCGCAAAGAGGTGGATTCCTTGGTTCTTTGCTTGCAGGTATAGATGCTCCCATCGTAGCGCCTGTCCTAGGAATAATCCTTGGATTTGGAAAGTCGGGGGAAGGAGTATACCTCCCGGGAAGCGGAGATGCGGGTGAAGAAGTGGAAGCCGCTATCAAACAAAGATATCAATCGTATAGTAAATGGTAATTTAAAAGCAGTATCTAAAAGCTTTAGAGGGGTGTTCTAAAAAGACATGCTTCCTAAAGAGACTCTTAAACCTGAAGAAAGAGTCATAATCAACATACATGAATTTCTTAATGGAGGTGGGACTCACTGGGTGTGCGCCTTTGCTGATGAGTTCTGTGTAAATTATTTTGACAGCTTCAGCCTTCCACAACCTGACGTAGTTAAAAAGTGGATGGAACGGTCAAACCTCGGAGACGTTCGTGAGAACTCTCGAGCAGGTGCAACCCTCGACCTTCGGTCTTGGGCTTGCATTGATCTGCTCTCGATTTCTCCCAAAGGTCTCTTCGGTTTGCATAAGCCTGTGCAAAGACAGTAAACATATTTTATTTCTTAAATGTCATGAATGATCACTCAATTTTAGTATCTACTGTATTACGTTGTTTATGCCTCATATCTATTCAGATTCTAGACGTTTAAAATCAAACAGAAACATACAGAAGTTCCGAAAGGTTCTACTTTATTCTGATTGTGCGCTCCCCTTCATTACGTAAGAATCCCCCCCGGAATTGTTAACAGACAGACACAAATCGAGGTTTCACCAGTATATAGGTCGCGTGGGGGAATGGGTCGAGTCATGTCAAGAATACTGTTTTGCCACGCATAACGCAGCAACAAGGAAAAGGTGTGTCTCATGATTTCACATTCAGTTCCTTCTTGTAGAGTTGTATTAGTTTGTCGATCGATCGTCCTTAATTGTTGCTGAATATGTCTCTCCTCGAAAATATCTTGCTGTGGCATGCTAGCTGCAATTTCAAAGCACAAATGTGTAAAAAACGACAATAAATCAATATTTTTCAACTTTTTTCAACGTTTTTCCACTGCCAAGAAGCAAAGCAAAAACACACATTACTACAGGGGGGAGCTTGACAATAATTTAGATGTATTTTTGGCTTTAGCCAGTCATGGGACAAAACTATAGAAGTTATCGTTCCAGATTTATTTTAGTTAAATGTCTCAATCACTGTGTCAAAGTGATACGAGTATTCCTATGCGTATCCCAGTACTTAAATCATTAGGGTTTTTAGCGTCATTAGTAAATATGGCTTCCGTGCTTTAAGTATCCCTACCCGACCTACCAACGTTCACAAATCACTAGTGATAAAAGTTTCCCTATGTTTGTTCCGTTATTACGCCGGTTTCAGAGGTTTCCCTACAGCGGATTTCCCTTGATCTAGAGGGAACAACAATAGACTTTTTTTACACGTCATACAACATTGAGTAAAACTGAGTAATATCCACGTACTTAAATCACAAAACCCCTAGTGATTTAAGTACGGGGATACCCAAATCACGGGTTTACTAATATCATTGTCACAACGGTTACCTCAGTATGAACCCGCAAGTTAGCGGTTTCATATGGCGGTATTCATCATTTTATCTGGTTTGCTGTTTCCGCTCTTTTTGACGTTCTTAAAAAAAGAAAGAGAACAGAAACACTTACGGATGATTCGTGCATTTATTGAAAAAAGCACACATTATCCATTATTACTCACATTTTTTCCTTCGATTCTCAATTTCCTTGCAACTTTCAACCGCGACTTTCTTCAAAAAATGATTCCAAATTTGGATTTAGAAGAACCCTTTTAAAAAAGAAAGTTGATTAAGTGATTACTTTTTAAAATATGTAATATGTATGGTTTAGTTCAGGGAGGACGATATAAGACAACAGCGCACTTCTTACCGTATTAAGGGTTCTATAACCAATAACCGTTTAGAACAATTCTGACAAAAAATTCACTCCATTTTCTACGGTTGCCGAAATTGTATGAACTTGCTTTTCAACAGAGTATAGGTGCCATCGTTTGATATACGGGTCGTATTGCTTTTGTGTACTTTCTCTCCAAGACTGCAGTATCAATTTGGCAGCACGGCCTAAAACTCCACGGTTATGGAGAATTCCACCCGAGATTTGACATAGCAGTAGAACCAGCTTTGGATATAATGGATGAACCAAGTTTGGTTGGCTGGGTTGAGGAAAAAAACGCTTTACCACTGGCAGCTGATTTAGCTCCTGGAGTAACATTCTCATCACTTTGGGCCACCAATACTGAGTCGGCCAGTTCGGAATCACTAGCAGTCCTGTTGCCTTGTCTTTTTTATTTTTAACTTTTGGAAAGATACTAAAAGGTGGAAATGCATAAAATAAATACTTTGACCACGATATACTGAATTCATTAATGGCACAAGCTTCCGGATCTGGTATAAAAACCACAAAAGACCTGATTTTATAGAAATGGGACTGCGTTCTAAGAATTAGAAAATAATGAAATGGAATGATACTTTAAAACATTTGCGTTATATAAATACTGACGTATACATTCCCAAGGTCACCACCAGTCGTCTCGACACTATCTTGCCACTGCATCCATGTGATTTCAGAGAAGAGTGAGGTTGACGTCTGCCAGCTTTTCCTCACTATAATAAATTCTTGCGTACGTCTTGACAACACAACAAAACCTAAAAGTTAAGATTTTTTTCCTTAAGCCCTGTGGCGATGGGCGAACGACGAAGCAGCAGGTGTGGATACGCTGGGAGCTGTAGTTGCAGACCTGCACACAGGTGGCCCAGGTCTAATGGTTGCTTTCGTACTGACTGAAGCAGCAGTGAACTCGGCGTCTACCTGGGTGTCTGAGCAGCCCTCTCTAGGGATGCGCTGCTCACCTCACATGAGGAAGGGACTAGAAAGGGTGTCCTAAAAAAGCCTGCCTCAACCTTAATCCTGGCCAGCAAGCCGCGGTTGGCGGGAATCCCACACCTGCGGTCGAAATAAAGGAAAGAAAAAATTTAAGGTGACACCTATCACCTTAGGCACATGGAATACGCGTACATTACTTGACAACCCTTCATCAGACAGACCAGATTGGAAAACTGCTTTACTTGCCAGTGAACTTGCAAGATATGACATCGATATTGCAGCACTGAGTGAGACTCGTTTTGCTAATGAGGGGCAGCTGACTGAATATGGAGGTGGCTACACTTTCTTCAGGAGTGGCCGTTCTGCATATGAGCGCCGGGAGTCTGGGGTAGGTTTTGTCATCAGGAACCACCTTGTCCAAAGCTTGCCAATCTCCCTAAAGGTACAAACGATCGTCTCATGTCATTGCAGATTCATCTACATGATGGTAAACGGGCCACACTCATCAGTGCCTATGCACCTACATTGACAAATCCTGAAGATGTGAAAGACAGATTCTACGAAGATCTGGATACTATGATTTCATCCGTGCACAGTACTGATAAGATGATCCTACTTGGGGATTTTAATGCAAGGGTAGGCCGTGATTCTGTCTGGGATGGAGTCATTGGAAAGAGTGGGGTAGGCAAGTGCAACAACAATAGCCTGCGCCTGCTGGAGTTATGCTCATCGTATGGTCTCCTTATAACCAACAAAATATTCCGGCTGCCCAACAGGAACAAAACATCATGGATGCACCCCCGGTCGAAACACTGGCATCTCGTCAACTACATCATTGTCAGGAAGAAAGACAGGCAGGATGTCAGAATTACCAAGGCCATGTCTGGTGTAGAGTGCAGGACCGACCACAGACTCATCATCTCTAAAATGAACATTCGCATCAAACCAAAGAGACGTCCACAGGGATGCATGACCAAAAAGAGGATAATTGTTGCCAAGTTGAAAAACCATCAAACAAGTGCAGCTCTATCCACAGACCTAGAGTCCCAAATTGCCAACTTCAATCCTGGAGATAACGTCGAAGAAGACTTGGAATCCTTTAGGGACACAGTTCACTCAACTGCAGTGCAAGAGTTGGGCTATCCTTCCCGACATCAGCATGATTGGTTTGATGAGAATGATGAGGAGATTCAGGCCCTACTTGATGAAAAGCACAGACTTCAACGTGCTTACCAAGATGATCCAACTTCAGTCTACAACAAGAATGCCTTCGCCAGTGCACGGAGAACAGTTCAGAGTAAGCCGCGGGTGATGAGAGATTCCTGGCTCAGTGCTAAGGCTGATGAAATCCAAGCCTATGCCGACAGAAATGATACAAAGCGGTTCTATGAAGCCCTCAACACCATATTTGGACCTCGATCGTCAGGAAATTCCCCTCTCTTGAGCTCAGATGGGACTTCACTCATTACCGAGAAGGAAAAGATCTTGCATAGGTGGGCTGAACATTTTGAAGCTGTCCTCAACCGTCCTTCTTCCATCAATGATGAGGCAATAGACAGGTAGCCCCAGGTCAACATCAACACGACCATGGATGTTCCACCTGTTGAATCAGAAGTCAGGGAGGCAATAAACAAGCTCTCTAGTGGCAAAGCCCCTGGTGCAGATGCTATTCCATCTGAGATATATAAAATTGGTGGTCCCACATCCATCCAGAAGCTCACTGACATCTTTCAATCCTTCTGGGCTGAAGGATCCATCCCCCAGGAATTGAAAGATGCCTCGATTATTCACCTATACAAGAGGAAGGGTAATCGTCAGTCCTGTGATAATCTTCGTAGCATCTCACTCCTATCAATAGCTGGGAAAAATCTTGCCTGAGTGTTACTAAACCGGCTAATTGACCACCTTGAAGAAGGACTGCTACCAGAAGCACAGTGTGGTTTTCGTAAGGGCCGTGGAACTGTTCATATGATTTTCGCAGCACGACAACTCCAGGAAAAGTGTCAAGAGCAGAACCAAGATTTGTACACCACCTTTGTCGATTTGACAAAAGCTTTTGACACAGTCTCCTGTCAGGGCCTGTGGAGAATTATGTCCAAGTTTGGCTTTCCAGAGAAATTCATCTTGATGGTTCGTCAATTTCACGATGGCATGTTGGCCAGAGTACTAGTTGATGGTGAATACTCCGAACCCTTCCCAGTCACAAATGGTGTCAAACAGGGCTGCGTACTGGCTCCAACATTGTTCAGCATGGTTTTCACTGCCATGCTAACCGATGCTTATCACGATGGTGTAGATGGTATCAGCATCAAATATAGCATGGATGGGAGCGTATTCAACCTACGTAGACTGCAAGCTTACACCAAGGTTAAGGAGACCATCATTCGTGACTTCCTGTTTGCTGATAACTGCACCCTCAACGCGTCTTCAGAATTGGAGTTGCAGATCAGCATGAATAAGTTTTCCGCAGCCTGTGACAACTTTGGTCTAACCATCAGTACCAAGAAGACAGAGGTCATGCATCAGCTTTCTCCTCATACACACTACACTGAGCCTACCATACTGGTGAATGGACAGCGTCTGCAGACAGTTGATAAATTCACATATTTAGGGAGCACTCTTTTCAGAGTTGTGACTATTGATGCAGAGGTGAACTACCGGATCGCCAAAGCCAGCTCCGCATTTGGCAGGTTGCGCACAAGCGTTTGGGAGCGTAGAGGAATCACCACTGCAACGAAACTAATGGTCTACTCTGCCATAGTATTACCAACTCTCCTGTTTGCATGTGAATCCTGGACTGTTTACCAGAGGCATGCGAGACAGCTGAATCGCTTCCACACAACCTGTCTCCGTCGGATATTGAGAATCAAGTGGCAAGACAAGGTGCCAGACACAGATGTCCTCTCTCGATCCAACCAGCCATCCATCTACACCTTGCTGATGAGAGCACAGATCCGATGGGCAGGCCACATTGCTCGCATGCCAGATGAGCAGATACCTAAGCAACTACTTTATGGTGTGCTCTCCAACGGCAAAAGATCAGTCGGAGGCCAGAAGAAGCGGTTCAAGGACATATTAAAGACCTCACTGAAGTCCTTTAACATCAACACCGCAACATGGGACAATCTTGCAGGGAGTCGATCAACCTGGCGCGATTTCATCTTCAAGGGCTGTCAAACATCAGAAGAAGGGCGGACTGTGGAAGCCAAACTGAAACGTGAGCTGCGGAAATCAAGAGCAGCCAGTGCTTCAACATCAGATGCATCTCTGGTTTGCCCTTCGTGTTCGAGAACATTCCTTGCCAAGATTGGGCTCATTAGTCTCCTCAGAACTCACCGTACCCAGTCTTCTAGTACTTGAGTTAACTTGTCAAGGTCATCATCGCTTGCGATGGACGAACAACAACAACAATACATTCCCAATATCCGGGAACGTGTTATGCAAATAGACCAATGGACTGTGTCATGTAGAGAACAAACTGAGATGGCTGTACTTTATGTTCTCACTTCATTGTTCAAGTTTTGGAAGGGAAAAAAGTTTCAATACTTGTCATTTTTGAAGAAACCATGCTTTTATTCTTACTTGTTGGGGCCATAGCCAACCATGGAATAAGATTTTCCAGCTCCCGTCTGTCCATAAGCAAGCAACGAACAATTGAACACTAATTAAAGAAAGGAATAAAATGTCTGAGCTCTGGAAAGAAGCTGCGAGCTATTTGTTATAAAATTTGTACAGTTTTTCAAAAATCTTATCCATCAAAAAAATATAAAATCAAAAACCTAATACTACGGAACCCTCCGCGAAAACAAAATTAGAAGGAATTCATTTCAAACACATGCTTCCAAAGAGCTGTTTTTATCATCTAATATACACACATAATCCTCTCAATGGCTGGGATCTAAGCCTATATAATCCTCTCAATGGCTGGGATCTAAGCCTATATAATCCGGGCTATTAAAAAATAAAGAAATGACTAATGAGACAAGTTTTGGTGAATTGACAAGTCCATGAAAAGTTCAAAACGCAGTTGATCAAGAGAAAAATTTGCCGAGTAAAAAATCGCTACTTAAGTTATACATTTATTCAACTTCGCATTAGTAAGTCATTTTCAAACATATTCAACACTGTGCTTGTATTTTAAAAACAAGAGAAACAAAAGGTATAACGAGTCAACGATAGATGAAAGATATGTAAATATAGAAAACTGATTATTCACTAAGGATTTTTCACGAAGCCAAATTTACTATCATTAAAAGCAAAAACGGTAATTATGGCGTTAACTTACAAAACAGACTTTACTACAGCTCATGAGTTCTCGTTGAAATTAAAACTTGGAAGTTTCATGTTTCTTTTGGCAGGGAAATGAGCGAGTTTATTCGACATTGTACGAACCTTTAAAAGCATTGTTCAGCACGCCCTGACCCAGATCATCAAATACAGTTCTTTGGTCTGCATATTTAGCATCAGTGGGAACGCAAAGACCTTCACTATTTACTTCGTAACCATCATGTGACCTGACGTGAAAATGTATGAAAAATGAAGGTTGTAATATTCAAAACATTCCCAATAAGAAAATTTTGTATAAAATTAATACTTACCAGTAGGAAAAATCGAACGTAAACTACACAATAGATGATAGAACGTGTTTAATGACATAGAAAGAAGACATTTTTATTATTTACATTAGAATACAAAATTTGTTACTTTGTTGTGGTAATCATTTCAGGTGTTTTCAACTAAAAGTGATTTAATATCCAAGAACTTTGTTGTTCTTTGATCGTACAAAGTACAAACGACTCACCTCTTTCGGCGGTTGATCTAAAAAAGCGAAATATTTATAAATTTTTGCACTTGTCAACTTAACAAATTCAAAACAGATTTTAAAAACCTTAGTGTGGAACTAATTACTGTTAAAAGATCAATTCTAAATGTTCATGTTACAGGTAGCAATTGTGAAATACCGGGATTGTCCGGATCTTTGATACGAGTCATCGTTTTACTTGGCATGTCGATACAACATTTCGCATTTCTGTCCTTCTCCCTGCCAAGATATAAACATTTAAAATTCCTGCTTTACAAACGCACAAAGCTTGTCGTTTTACCTTGTATTAAAAGGTCGAACGCGGACGGCGACTTTCACTCTATGAAATATAAAACCGTGTTTATCACAATTCAGAAGCATTAAAACCATGTAAAGTTGCCTGGAATAACAAAGAATTCTTCACTTACGATTCAGCCATGATTTAAATGGCTTTGATCGATGTTACAATCTAAACTCGTTGATTTTAGTTCGGCTTCTACGTGATACACCAGACTCCATATTTACATCTCTCCCATGGCAACCCTAAGATTAAATAGTGTTTATAGTAACAATTGAGCGGGGGAGGAAGCTAATATTTTTCAAAATAAAAAATGAACTATTTTTGTCATATTTAATCTTTCTTGCCTACGTCATGGCTATGCTTTTTTTCAATAATTTACAATAATTTTCAATAGTTTTTACAATAATTTTCCAAACGCGTTGCTTAGCTAGAAGGTTGAGGTCTTCGTAGCTCATGCATAATTTATTTTGATGATTTGTACAATTTATCACACAAATTGGGAATAAATGAGAGGATAAACATTAATAACAACTTACAATTCTTTTTTTGAATATAAATATTTGGAACATTTTATAGTTCGCATGTTCTATACAAACGTTGATGTTTGATTGTCTTGATGTCTGTTTCATTGAACATTTTATTAAAAGCTTCGAGTTTCGTTCTCCCAAACTCATCCGAAAGTAATATTTGAATATTCAAATGAGTTCTACCTTGTGGAAATACAGAAGGTGAACAAAAGACTCGTTGCAGAGAGTAACATCCCTTGGTGAATTCGTCCCCCTTGAAAAATGGTTTGATAAAAGATAATCCTGTGGGGACGCCTGTTGATACAACACTTTAAAATTTAAATGTGGAAAAATTTCGCGAAGCCAAACAAGAACAATCAGAAACGTTAGACCAATTTCATACGCGTTTGAGGAAATTAGCTCAAACATGTGCTTCTCATGACGTTGATTTTGAGGTTGAAAAACAAATAATCATGGCGGGATCTTCTTCGCGGATACGAAAGAAAGCACTAAGAAATCCCGAGTATAAACTCAGGGATATTTTGCTGGACGGCCGAAGAGATGAGCAAAGCACTTATCAAGCACGGGATATCAAGTCAAAGGACAAAAATAACGACACGTTGGCCACCGTCCAAACTGAATCGACGTGAAAATGTTATTATTGTGGCGGTCCATACCCGCATCAAGACGTTTGCCCGCCGTAAGAAAAAACCTGCCATAAATGCGGTGAACAAAACCACTTTTCGAGCGTTTGTCGCAGTAAGCCTAAACGAGATAATTCAACATAAGATCAACGTAAAGAACACGCAAATACTTCCAGCAAACGTCCCTTAAACCCACTTAAACCCATTGACAACGGCAATCAATCAGACAGCAGTATTGAAGGAAAGGAATACTTATATGCTGTGAGCAAGCATAAAACCACGAGCGTTTGTTTTACGATATGCAAATCTTCTTTCAATGCGACAATAGATACCGGTGAAACAATCAACGTTGTAGATTAATCCACATATGAGAAATTGAACGATGTAAATCTACGGAAAACAAGCACAAAAGCTTTTGCATATACAGCTGACAAGCCCTTCAACTTTATCGGGAAATTCGAAGCATTGGTAGAAACACGCAAGCACATTACCGTAGCAACGTTTTACGTGGCTAATAGTCCAGATAGTGGCAATCTTTTATCGGCATCCACTGCTCAAGAATTTGGGTTAATAAGTCTGCATATACATGGTATAAACCAACCTACTTGTGACCGGAAAATGAATTACATTCTTAAAAAACATGAAAAAGTTTTCGTGGTTTGGGTAAGCTGACAGGACAACAGATTTAATTAAAGATTAATGAATCACGCGCACCTAAAGCTCAGCCACAAAGGCGCATTCCCTTCCATGTACGTGAGAAAGTCTCAGTTGAATTAAAACATTTAGAACGTACTGACATCATCGAGCGAGTACCAGAAACCCAAGCGACTCCATGGATTTCACCTATTGTCGTTGTACCTAAAAAGGATGGAGGAGTATACGTTTCTGTGTAGACATGAGACAAGCAAATGCAGCAATAAACAGAGTCAGACACCCAATACCAACAATCAACTTGAATTAAATAGTGCAAAATGGTTTTCGAAGTTAGATCTCTCTCAGGCATATCACCAATTGAAGTTTGAAGAAAATAGTCGCTAAATTACGACTTTCACTGCGCTTAAGACAGATATAAACGTTTAAATTATGGAACAAACACAGCGGCTGAGATTTTTCAGTTCACACTACAGGAACAACTACGTGGTTTATCAGGCGTTAAAAACATCGCCGATGATATCATTGTGTATGGCAGAACAAGAGAAGAACACGATGAGAATCTTCTCAAATGTTTGCAACAGATTTATGACAAAGGATTGTGACTTAATCAATCAAAATGTACTTTTCTAAATAAAAGCTTGGAATTTTTCGGACACGTTTTTACAGAAGAGGAAACACGACCAGATCCTCAACCTGTGAAAGATTTGCAAAATTCACCAAGGCCTAAGAATATTCATGATGTAAGAATTTTGTTGGACATGGCGAATTATAGTAGTCGATACATCGCAAATTTTGCTACAATAACAGCACCGTTGCGTGAGTTAACAAAGAAGAATACGAAATTTCAATGGCGAGATGTGCACCAAAAGGCATTTCAAAATCTCACATCTGTATTATCAGCAAATGAATGTATTGCATACTGCGAGTTTACTTTAAAAACAGACCATAAGCCTCTCGAGGTTATCTATGGCAATCGGAATTCAAAATCATCTACTAACCCTGCTGATTATCTATCCAGACATCCGGTCCAAATGAACCACAAACAACAGCAAATGACCGAAGAATATGTAAACTTCATTGCATTTAACAGCCTTCCAAAAGCGATGACAATCAAAGAAATCGTAAAAGCGACTGATGAAGATCAAGTCTTAAAAGGGGTTCGAGCTTCAGTTAAATTGAACCAGTGGGACTCTGATATAGTTAAACAATTCAAGCAAATCAAAGACGAGCTGTCCGTTACAACAAAAGTAGTAAAACTAAGAGGTACCCGTGGTCTTGAAATTTCCGATATTTCAAGATTTCCGAAATTTCTTGAAATATCCGATTAGTCACCGTTGTCTTGAAATTTCCGGGTTGGCGTTCGGCGGGGAATAACCGTGCTTCATGGGCAGAGGGATCTCTTCAGCCTTGGCCGGCAGTCCTTCTAGTGATGGTGTCACGATAAAAACATTCTTGATAGCCGTAGCGTAGCATCAAGTATTCAGCTATGACAAGATTATGAACTACACCAAACTTAGTATTCACAACGTCGTGAATGGGGCTGGAACTTCTGGTGAAGGTCCCACGTCCGGCAGGCGTCCCATTGGTCAGCAGGATGGGCCCGGTCGTCATCATTCTACTGCAGAAATCCCCAGGGAAACGCAATGTAAATAAGTATCTTGTAGAAAACGTACCATTATCAGCACTTTCAACACTAGAACATTGAATCCTCCATCTCGTCTTAGTGAAATTGTAAGAAGTGCAAAGGAAAAGAACATAGATATTTGTGCTATTCAAGAACATCGATTCTTCCACCCTGACACAAACATTGAGTATCAGAAAATAGAAGACTATCATGTCGTTACAGCATCATCTTGGAAGAACTCTGTCAACTCATCCGTTGGAGGTGTAGGCTTCCTATTTTCCCCAGCAGCTATGGAAAATGTATTGCACATAGAGAAGATATCTCCCAGGATTATTATTGCTGACTTTAAAGGCAACCCAACCTCAACAGTCATATCTTGCTATAGTCCCCACAACAGTAGCAGTGAAGACGAACTGAATGATTTTTACAGCACTTTGCGTTCTTCCTTGGAGCAAGTTCTTGCTCACAACTTTCTCTTAGTCGCAGGGGACGTCAACGCTAAACTTGGAGCAGATGATGCGAAATTTACCTTTCACTTAGACACCAATCGCAACGGAGAGCATCTGGTAGACCTAGCTGAAGAATTTAGTCTCTTCGCAACTAACACTAGATTTAATAAAAATAAGAACAATTTATGGACCTTCGAGTATCCAAATGGCAGCAGAGCCCAACTAGACTTTATTATGGTCCGTAAAAGTGACGTAACAGTGTCAAAGACTGCAGAGCTTACAACAAAGGAGAAATAGCCAAAATTTCTCATCTTCATATCAATCAAAAACACTCTGCAGCCTGGAAGACGATAAACCAACTAGCAGGAAAAGGCTCACAACCCTCACCTTCAGTCAAGGGTGGCAGCCGAGAACATCGACTTGCTAACTGGCACTCCCATTTTAAACGCCTCCTGGGCAGTCCCGCAAGTCTTCCAGGTAATATGTCACTTCCGAAAGTTCGAGTCAGTCAAACCTTAAATATATCAAAGGCCCTTTTACAAGTGCAGAGTTGAAATATGTCTTTAAGAAACCAATGAAAAATACTCTCGGACCAGACAAGATACCAGCTATCCTCTGGAAAGACCCAATCTTTCATCAATTACTTCTTGATCTCTGCAATTATGCAAAGACCAGCCATATTTCACCAACCATTTGGTTAAGATCGCAAATCATTCCCATACTCAAAAAAGGTGATTTGACGTTGCCAACTAACTATCGCGGTATCTCCTTGCTTCCTATAGCTGCAAAAATCTATAATAAGCTTCTTTTGAACCGAATCCGCTCTGAAGTTGAACCTATTCTGCCCAATAATCAAAATGGCTTCCGCCCAAGCCGATCCACTCTTGGTCAAATTCTCACATTGCTTAGAATAATTGAGGAAATCACTTTTTGCAATAAAACTGCAGCTCTCATCTTTGTAGACTTTAGTAAAGCCTTTGACTCAGTTAACTGCGATACCATGTTTGAAATTCTTGAACTCTTTGATATCCTGGCTGGCATACTCCAAGGTTACACACTGGCACCATTCCATTATATAATTGTGATAGACTACATCATGCGTGTGTCAGTAGATTCTATCAATGAAAGGGCCTGAAGTATCAGCCTAGAAAAAACTCACGCTACCCTGCACTCTACATCACTGATGCAGATTTTGCTGATGACATTGCATTGCTGTCTGACAATCTCCAAGGAGCCCAATCTCTCCTTTCTTCTCTTGAGTCAGCAGCCAACTGTGCAGGTATTTATCTCAATGAAACCAAGACTGAATTTATTTCAGTTAACATCCGCAACAATCAGGAGATCAAAACACTGTCAGGAAATATTCTGAAATGTGTTGAAGACTACAAGTATCTAGGATCACACATAAAGAACTCAGAGAAAGACTTAAACATCAGAAAAGGTATTGCATGGACTGCCTGCAACAAATTTGATAAGATCTGGAAATCCAACCTTGATCGGAAATTTAAAATCCAAATTTTTCGAGTTCTTGTTGAGCCCATCTTAATGTACGGTTCTGAGACTTGGACTCTTTCAGCCAAACAACAGCAGCGTTTAGATGGATGTTATACACGTCTCTTAAGAAGATTCCTCAATCTCTCTTGGCAAAACCCCCCAACTTTAGAAACTATATATGGAGACCTACCAAGAGTATTAAACTTAGGTTGTAAGAGACGTATTCAGTTCGCAGGCCATTGTGCACGTGCAACTGATGAACTAGTGTCATCATTTGTACTTTTGAGACACCCATCATCTGAGAATAGATCACGCAAGTTAACCTTTCCAGATAGAGTAAGACGAGACACAACAATTCCTAAGGAAAATCTGTTAGCAGCTATGAAAGATAGAGAATACTGGAAAGATGCCGTGAGTTCAATCTCGGCTGAGGTCGCAAGATGATGATGATGAAGAGGTACCAGAATTGTCATCCCAAAAAGTCTACAGCAGAAAGCTATTGATACACACAATTGTCATTTGGAACTAACCAAAACTAAAGCAGTCCTGAGAGAAAAAGTATGGTTCCCTAATATGGATCAATTGATAAAAGAAACCCTTGGAGAAATGCCTTCCGTGTCAAGCAGTGGGAAAATCACAACCACCCGAACCAATGAATGTGACAAATACTGCCAAAGGCCCGTGGGAATCTATTCATGCTGATTTTTACAGTCCCTTACATTCCAGGGAGTATCTGCTGGTCGTGATTGACAGATATTCAAGGTACCCCGAAGTAGAAATAGTGCCATCAACAAAAGCTGCAGCGGTTATTCCGAAACTAGATAAAATATTCTATCAACATAATTTACAATTCTTCAGGAATTAGACATGACACCACTGATGCCTAAAGAGGCCCACAAATCTAGACCCAATCACAATTTCCTTTGTTCAGGGCTTCCAACGCAGTGTCTACATTTAGGCATACGTATTTCTTACTGTTCTCATGAAGAACCCCATATGCTAAAGGACATTTTGTTTTGTTTTTTTTTTGTCGTTAAAAAAGACCAGCACCCCTGAATCACCATTGCAAAGAAAAATATCATCGCTTTTAACTTTTATTGCATTCTCAAAATAAATCTTTCCCGGCATGACACATATATGATATGGATTTTCAATTGATCCTGTTTTATTCTGCAAGTGTGTAGTGAATTCAGCTTTTCCTTTTTTCACTTGTCTCCATACTTGCTTGTCTCCATACCTGCAATCAAGATTGTCCTCAATGATAACTCTGCCGTTCACTCTGATGCTCATTATGTCTTTGTCGCTGTCAAATTTATAGTCAAAGTGCCTCCCCAGTGAAACATTACGGCCATTTGGAGAATTAAAAAAATAATTGTTACCAATAGGTGACTCAGGGTTTTCTTTTTACATTTTAAGAAATCTGATAATGTCCCTAATGTCAAGAGCGTTTGACTGTAGCTACGCTTCATCCAGCGCGTGTTATAAATAATATGATTTCTAAGTTAAAGATCAATTGCGACTACGCTATTGGTGGCTGCAAAGAATTTATAAATGTCGAAGATCTTGAACGACATGTTAAAAATTAAGGTTTTGCTCCAGTGTTGTGTTCTAATGAACGTTGTGACAAGGAGATAAACAAACGAGACAAAATTAAACATGAAACTGAGTTATGTGAATACAGAAAGATTGCTTCTTACGACTTTGGAGAAAATAGAGAGATTAGAGAAATGTTTTAACGAAGTTATGATCAAGTGAAAATGCTGATGGTTAAAATAAATGAAAAAATGGATCAAGATAGAACTAAAATAAATAAAAAATTATTGATGCATCTGGTCAGGCTACGAAACAAATAATGGAATTATAGAACGAAATAAAGGATGTTCAACAAAACCTTTCTACAATGACCAAAGAAATGAAAGAAAAGAAAGACACGATGTTTTAAATATTGGAAAAGATGAATATAAACGAACAGCATCTTCAAACATTGACATCACCAATTGAAATGATGATATGTTAATTACTATTGGTGAAGAAAATAAGAGTGTTGAAATATATTCATGGAAGGACATAAAATTGTTTAAGATTGCATCAATGGAAAATGATCATAAGTATGATTCATCATTTATTTATAATGATAATTTATTTGTTGTTGGAGAATATCGCTGCAAGTCAATAGAAACATTGAATCTTAAACAGTTTCCTTTTACATGGAAGATATTTCCAAGAGAGATTCCTTATGAATGTGGTAGTCATAAAACAGTTGTTTATAAACAACAAATTCTTTACATTGGAGGATGTATTTGTGGTAAAGGACCATCTGATCTGATCAGTGAAAGATTACTGGTACAATATCTCATGTTTTGAAAGAGTTGTGACACATGCCTGAGCCACGTTATGACCCTGGAGCTGAAATTGTTGATGATAAAGTCCTTATTTTTGGAGGAATGGGAAAATATTGGGAAGTTTTATCTAGTGTTTTGGTGTTTCATCCAAGGACACCTACATGTAAGGAAATGCCTCCATTACCTCATCCATTGGCTGACATGGCAAAAGTTCGATGGAAAGATCAAGTTGTTCTTCTTGGAGGTCATGATGATGGAAGAAAAATGTTGAACAGTGTTATCATGTATGACAGTAAGACAGGTAAGATTACAGTCTTACCATCCATGTTGGAAAAGAGAAAGCGGTTTTGTGCAGTTTTAACAAGTGATACAATCGTTGTCATGGGAGGTAGGGATAATGAAGGTGACAATTTTAACTCAGTGGACTGTTTTAAAATGGAAAGCAGTTCTTAATGGACATATCTTGCTTCAATGAATGAACCAAGATTGGGAGATTGCACTAAAGTATGTATAAGCAAGAGAATGCTCTTTAAACAATCAGAACATTATTACTCAGTAAAACTTGTCTGTATTTATTTATACAATAAATATTTAAAGTTAAATATGTAAAACTCCAGTCTTCATGTAACCTTTGATTATTATAACAACTACTGGAGACATAAATGAATTTAATGTTTTACTACGAGGTAAAACAAAATTTAAGCTTTTCGTTTTTAGTTCAGAATCTTCAAACTATACTGTAAGGGTTTCACAACTTACAATTACCTCCTACCAAAGCACTAAACACAATTTAAGTCTTCAAAGTATTAATTCATAAATTATTTCACACTTACTTAATAATTGGCAGCCAAAGAAAATTGAATCAAGGTTTGACGCAGCGTCTCATATAGTTGTACGAGGATATTGTATTTTATTAACTTTCATGGCGAAGTTTCATTTTTTCTCTGCACTGTGAATCCTTTTTTATTGAACTTTAGGTTTTATCTTGATTGCAGCATTACGCTACAGTCTTAGTACACGTTTTGTCGTTGAGAACGGAGGAAAAACGTTCGGTAAAATCAAAGGCGTTTCAGAAACATCAAAGTCGTAGTAATGTTTGCAAATTGCAAAAACAATGTGCTATATATCTGACTGACAGTCAATGTGCTATATATCTGACTTTAGATACTGTGTTATTATTGTTCATTTAAAAAGAAATAATAATTTGGTTAAATTGACACGCTCGTGGCTTTGGCCATGTTCTAAGACGGTTAGAGCATGATCACTTGTGTTCTATGGAGTTTAGGGGCTGTTCACATGAACCCGGTAGCCGGGAATCAGCGAAGTGTTAAATCATTTTGGAAAATGGAAAAGATTAAATATTTCACAACAAAAAACTTAGTTGAGAAATTTCTCTATGCTCTTACTTTGCAATTCACAAAACCTGTTAAATGGAAAAAAGAATTTAGCTTGATTAGAAATTAACGACTAAACTAACTCTTGACGCTTAAGAAAAGTTTGTAAGTTTTGCGCTTTAAGTTTTTACTCCTTTCAATGACTCAAAATCATTTCTAGTTACCGGGTTCATGTGCATGAACAGCCTCTTAGAGTCCCTTGCATTAGATAAAAACTTGCCCTAACCTACAAATTCCATAGAACACTAGTGGTCATCAGTGGCGTAGCTAGGAAAAATAGTCACTCCCGCCAATCCATCTCGCGCCGGAGGCGCGACCCCACTAGGGGGGTCCGTGGGCATGCTCCCCCGGAAAATTTTGAAATCCAGAGCCTTGGAAACAGCATTTCCTGCGATTTCGAGGGCGAATTATTTGTTGTACAATAATTTATATAAACCCATTTTTGTTAGCTGCATTCTTAATGTGGCAATCGTTGAAACTGCAACTAGTTAAAAAGGTACTAAAGGTGGCTCAGAGAAACGTTACGCAGGAGACAATTGTCCCCTAAAACATAATTTACTCATCACTGCCCCTGCATAAACAGAAGAAATTTGTATTAGCACAAAAAATAATATAGTATACGACACTTCTAAAGTGCATAGAGAGAGACTTTTCTTAGCATTCTACTTGTTAGTTTAAACTTGTTTAGATTGGGGCAAGTAGACAGGGATGGCTTTATTCTTTAAAGTTATGCTTAATTTTCTCAATGAAGTACCATGTATTATACGAACAAATATCAAAACACATACTATACTCATCATTTATAAAGAAAGGCCAGCCTCCTGGGTTTTTCTACAAATTTTTCAACCACCTCGTTATGCAACACCTCTGATTCCTCTTTCTTTTCAATGATATCTTTGTGAATAGATATTCTACACAAAGAGCTAAGCCGACCTTGACCCATTCTATTTCTTAAATAGCTTTTTACACTTTTTAAGCAAGAAAACGACCTCTCTACTGAAGCACTTGCCACTGCCAACACACCATTCAATTTTAACAAATTTACCACTTGACCTAAACTCGACTGGAGATTAAATTTGAAGATGTATTTAAGAACCTCATTACTGCACTCTTTGTGAAAGTCCTTGTCGTTTTAAATGAAGGGAAGTTGACTCTCCAAAGTTTGGATGTCAAAAAGAGGACTATACTTATCTTTGAGAAGATTGATCTTCTCCTGTGGAACTATGTCCTTCCATGTAGTAAATAGTTTAGGATTTACAAGGTCTAAAAACTCGAACTGATTAATATCTTGAAATCGTTCACTTAACATGCCTTTAATGGAATCAATAATCTCAAAATAAAGATGTTTGTAATTGTATCTACTATCTGCTCTGGTTGCTGGTGGGCCTACTTTTCTAGTGCAGTTTGGTAAAACTCGGTGAAAGCTTGATCTGTGCGAAGTGACACAATAAACTGCTTGAAATTGTCAATCTTGCTTATGCCATAGTTAAAATGGGTTTCCCTATTTTGAAGAATGGAATACAAAATTGTGGACTGTTCTAAAATCCTGTAAAAAAACACACACTAGAAAACAAAAGAGAAAGCTATCAAGATAATGCAGTAAGCCACTTATTTTACTTAATGACTCATCATCCCACCCAGCTGGTTGTTCAAGAACCCCGTCAAAATATCTAAAAGTTTTTCATAGTTTTTGTGCAATATATTGATTAAACTAGAGCGATAATACCATCTTGTTTCACCAGGGGCAGGAAACTCAAGGTTGTTAGATGTGAGAAAAGCTTTTCTTTTGGGGCATTGCTTGTAAATGTGCTGAATGTAGCTATATTAATAAAAAGATTTTAACAGGAGAAATTGATGAGGCTGACTGGCATAGGACCAGGTTCAATCTATGAGCTGCACAATGAACAAAATGAGCAAAAGGATACTCTTGTCGAACCAATGCTTGAACACCATTGATATGGCCAGACATGACAGAAGCACCATCATATGTTTGTAAAACCAGTTTTTCTTTTATATTAGAATACTCACCAAGTTTATCTTTGACAACTTGTGATATTGCTGTGGCATTTCTGTTCATACTTACATCCACAAATCCTAATTGCCTCTCCATAATTTCACTTGCTTTGTCAAACCGAGCAATAACACTTAGCTGCTCTTTGGTGGAGACATCAGATGCTTCATCAACCTGAATACTCATAAATGTGCAATCATTTATTTCCTTTCTGATTTCATCTTCAATAATTGAATCAAGACAGCTGATAAGACCATTTTGAATTTCTGGGAGACTCCAGTAAATCTTCTGTCACCAACTATATCAGATTCTGCTAGTCTACTGTGCAGTCGACGCTCAAATACAGAATCAAACTTAGCAAAACATTCGAGCAACTCTCTATAATTACCTTTGTTCAAGCTACCTTCGGACTCATTGTGACCTCTAAATGGCAACTCTTGCTTTGACAAATACAGCACGGCCTCAGTAACAGTTTTTAAAATTTCTCAATTTTGTCTTACCTCCTCATTGTGACGCTGAATCTCATTTCTTCTAGCGAGGGACATAAGACAATCAATTCGTTCACTAGCTCCATACGTTTTCCATGTCTTAAATGCAGTCAAATGCGATTTAGATTTTTCATGCTTCTTAGCATCATCTTAGCGATGTTTTTGGGGAAAACATTAGACATGGCCAACAAAACACTTTCTGCAAGGTTGTACTGCCACACAGCCAGTCCTTCGCCTCATACCAATCTCTCTGAAATGCTCTTCCCTTATTTTGGATAGTTAAATCAGGAGTAGGCCGTTCATGAACGATAACATTCTGTTCGACCGACGATCGAGCAGAGAACGGTTTAGCTAATAAGCTATTTACTAAATCAACATCAGTTGAGCAAATCGCAGTCGCACTTGAAGCCATTGTGTCATACACAAATACAAAATAGCAATTTGAGAGTAAACACAATGGAAAATTAATACCGACAATGACACGTAATTTGATAATCACTAATCGCTGTACTCGTATTAAAAGGTCGAATAATTACAACCTCCGGCAATTTAAAATAGCGGGAGTTCGACTATAAAAACAGCAGATTTGAGCATGCGTCAAGTCCCTTAGCCAACCAGAATTCAAAACTTCTTATATAGAATTATATTGTATGTTCCGCCCTCTGAAGATGGGCGGAATACGTGGAGAATCGCGCGAGTATGCAATGTGCGAGAAAAGGCGGTTGCTGGGTTACATAACAAATCTTGAGATTTTGCTGTATTACGATTACGAACCACCTAATAAAAGCGTAAATATGAACGAATAAAACATAATATTACAAATTGTTCGTGAAATAATGTATATCTTATGTCCAAATAGAATATTTATTATTTTTTTGGGAAATTTCTACTCCCGCCGGGCGGGAGTAGCGGGACCGCTAGCTACGCCACTGGTGATCATGTGCCCTTACCCTTACTTTTTTTATTCATTTTAAGCCTAAAATCAAGTTCGTTATCCTCCCAAGACTATCATTAGCCACATTGTTACTCGTTAGCACAACAATCATTACCAATTCATTACATTAATGCATGGTAAAAAAGTAGCCAACCATTCATAATTTAAGAAAATAATCCTTTGCGGTAACTATGGGTCTGGAAGGTACTATTTAGTAATTCATAGTAGGCTCAAGTTTAGGTCATAATTTAGTAAATCATGAGACATTGTTATTCTGTTAGATTCAGATATTCTGGCTTTCAGCTTCATTAAATCAATTGACATTGAAGCTTTCAAGTTCCAAGTACCATTAATTGTATAAATGTTGATGGACTTCGCTGTTTTTCTGAAATGTCTCCAACACAAAGACGGTTTTAAAAATGACAACCAAAACGCAAAAAAAGATAATGATAGATTTGCATGAAATGTTAGAACTCAAATCACAGATCACAAGAGGCAGGCTAATTAACAAATCAAAACAAAAATTTTTCCTCTACAAAAACTATAAACCTGGTGAACGAGAAATTTATTAACGTGAACAATTACATTGTGATTTGTGAATGACACCAAATATAACAGTATATATATTAAATATTATTTTGTAAAGTCCACTATATACCATACATATAGTGCTTTCGATAGTTATTTACGTGTGATTGCGCGTGCATATGTAAATATAAAAGTGAGATTACTGGTCATAAATAGGTTGCCGCAGTTTATATCAATGTATCGTGCATTCTATTGATGAGATAAGATATTATGATGCGCCTTAGTGGTAACTTATTTGTTTTTTTGCAGTCCACCTTCCAATACATTATCTTTGACGCTTGCCCAAGCCATGAGATCAGTATTAAATGCCTTTCCAATGTTCCCATTACTGTCAATAGCAATTACTCCTCCATGTCCACTCAGTCTAGTTTGAAGTAAGTTCACAGCATTCTCCGCTGCTTCCTTCAATAAAGAAATAAAACATGTTTGCTGTGTTTGCACAGACTTATGCAAATCGGGTAGACCTTTGGGAGAACTCTAGAACTGATAAATGATTCAAAACTGTTTAAAACCCATAAATTCAAATAATTTCCAAAGAAAAACATGAGAATTGATTTACTCTTACTTATCCTACCTGAGCATTTCTTCCTGCTTCCATGTCAAATACAACTTGTCTTGCTAAAGTCAATTTTATCAACTTCTCTCCATGACCTGTTGTTGCAGCTGCTCCTTTATCATTTGCATATCCACCACAACCAACAAATGGCACGTCGCCAATACGACCTTTCATTTTTCCTGCAATGCCTCCTAAATAATTTAAGGTATATTCATTAAAATAATTTAAATGATATGATAAAGAATGACGATGAAGAATGCTTATGGTTTGTTTGCTTATTGAAGATTACAAGTTACAAGACCAGTTTTTACCTGATGACAAAGCACATGCCAAGTGGCCATTTGAATCAATTGCAACGGCACACACAGAATCTTTTGTCTCGCCATGACCACTATAGCCATGAACTATTTGGTGTTCAAATATTGGAGCATTAATGTCGTAGTTTAAAGGTTTCAAATCTTTTGGTTGGCAACAAGGTAAATTTTTACTCCGAGCAAACTTTAAAGCACCATCACCATTAAGAGCACAGTGTGGTGTTTTTTCCATTATTTGTCGAGAAACACGAACTGGATTTTTGAAATGTCGACCCGCAAGTACTGCACCTATAACAAAAGAAAAATATTCAAAGGCTTTTTATCATAACATATTTGGAAAAAAGTGCAAAGTTTCATTTTTGTGTCTTTTTTTGATTATATACAATTCTCCCTTACAACATACGTTACTTATGCAGGCCGCCAAATGCAGTAAATTAAGGTGTCATTGTAAATTCTTGGATAAAATATCGTCATGCGCACCGATGATTTTAACCTGCTTCTAAGGTGCGTCCATCCATAATCATTGCATCACATTCAACTTCCTTCTCTTCATTCAACGGAGATCCATATCCTGCTTGGAAATGCTCACAATCCTCCAAAGCGCTAACTGCCTTTTCAACAGCTTCAACAGCAGTACCATTATTCTTGGACGAGAAAAAACATGCATTGGCATTTATAATAGCCCATAGCGTTCTGTTTGTACAAATTAAAGAGTTTGTGAAAATTCTTTAGGTCTTCTATTAAACAATACTTGCCTTCAATATATTATATCCTGTTATAGCTGATTCATTTAATTTGTTACGATATTTATAATTACTTAAAGTTTCATAAAAGTGGTTGCTGTAACCTCCTCCTTGAACAATGATAGCAGGTTCAAAATCGACACCTTAAAAAATAATAATCATTGACCATTATCAAAAAGCTGGTACATTAATTTTTTTAAAAATTCAATTAAATATATGTAATCGAGTGCTGGAAATTTTAGTGGGGGCTGAGTTGTCATTTTGTCAAAAATTTTTAGATTTTTCGAAATGTTCTGAAATACCTCATTTGCAAATTCCAAGATTATAACAGTTATAAAGAATTTGGAACATTTCCACAAACCAAAGTTAAAGGTAACTGGTTATAATCCCAGTTACGACATTTCCTCCAGAAAATACATTTTCAATATTAAAACTTGTCAAATAGGCTGTCTCGAAGAATAATTTTTTTTTGAAACATGTTTTTGGGTGTTTAATAGGCCGTTTTATAAACATTTCTGAAAAAGTAGTAATTTAGTTTTTTCATTCTATGAATTTTGCTGAAAATTCACGGATCACGTAGCTTTACCCACAGTCCCCTGCATGTAGGAGGTTGAATTTCCACCACTGCTGTACTCTATATATAAATACCTGGAGAATCATTCGGTTCGAGTTCATTACGATATTGTGCCGGGAATCGATCCATATCATCAGTTACAACTAAATATACAAATCAGTGTTTCAGAATTAGCTAAAATCATAGTTCAATGTTCATACTTTTCGAGAACGTTAAAAACACAATATTTTACTCTTGTCATGCCGATCGTTCTCATTGAAATAGAAGTTCTTTCTCTGAATGACTTAAGTTAATAGTTATTTTAAAATTCAAAATATTTTAGGACATTGCATCTATATTTTTTAAATGTCTGGTTACATGAGTACAGGTAGCCTGCATTAATGTGATGGAAGCGTTGAATGATTTGGGCAGATGGAAAAATTCAATAGCCGTCATCAAAAAATCATGTTTTTGTCTTTAAACAATTTCGCAAAGTTCTAACTTTATAAATATGAGAAACATTTGAAAACAAATTATTGTGTTTACTTGAGAATTACAAATCTTGTAACTTGCAAGTTGTAAATTTTACGCTTGAAGTTTTCACTTCCTTCAATGACTAAAATCATTTCACATCTCATTAAATTCACATGTCACAGTCTCAGTGCTCCTCCTTGCACATACTGCGCATGTACTCTACAAGGTGATAGTTGAGCACTTGTAAGAACGATCTAAACACTATCCAAGTTTCATTTATCCGGTATACCCATTGATATTTGTCATTATTTTGCCGTTTATCGCTTATTTTTGAAAAAAACCTTGTTAAAATAATGAGTCAAATTAAAGAAAACTACAACTTTCCTCTTTCAATTAGGTAAACAGGTAATTTAAATTCAAAACACCGCACTACATTAAACATTCTTTCATATGACATTCCTTTCACGAGACAACATGAGCCCAACAAAATTGACCTGCTCACCACTGTGTGACTTCATAGCTCAGTTGGTCAGAGCACTGCACCGGCGCCGCAGAGGTCATGGGTTTGAATCCCGTTGAGTCACCTGAATTTTTCAGGTTTATGAGACAATTGCTTAAATTGTCATGCAAAGTGCGAAGATCATATCTACATTTAATTTCAAAACACCGCACTGCATTAAACATTCTTCCAAAAGACAAATACATAAAGAAAATGGACACACTCTTATCTGACTCTACAAAGTTTGAACTTCTTAATGGAGATTCAGTTAAAGTCACTTTACAACGAGAAAATCAAGTGAAGTCTTTATTAAAAAAGTTGAAAGATGCTAAGTCTATCGGCCAAGAAACTTACAAAGAACTTTATCCTACTGGTTCACGAATAGGTATAATGTATGGTCTTCCTAAAATACATAAATGTAACATCCCTCTCAGACCCATTCTTTCCTCCATTAATCACTATTCGTATAAACTAGCAAAGTTTTTCATCCCACTCCTAAAACCCTTCGCTATAAGCAACCTCATCATCAAAGACTCTTTCTCCTTTGTTGAAGAAATCCTAAATTGCGATATCAACTCCAGTAATGTTGTCCTTGATAGTTTTGATGTCGTATCCCTATTTACTAACATACCTGTCGACGAAACCATCCAAATAATATCCAAAAGCATTTTTAACAACCACCAGTACTTTAACGGACTCGCTGCAACAGAATTTGAAAAACTACTCTCTCCAGCTGTTAAGAACTGTCACTTTATCTTTAGCGGGAAAATGTACCAGGAAATTGATGGTGTGGCTATGGGCAGTCCATTGGGCCCTTTCTTTGCTGATATATTCATGTCCTTTCACAAACAATCCTGGTTTAATAAATGTCCTTCTTCATTCAAACCACTACTTTACCGACGCTACGTTGACGACTGTTTTTTACTTTTTCATTCCTCCTATCACGTCCCACTCTTTCTTGACTATCTGAACCGACAACACCCTAATATCACATTCACAGCTGAAGTCGAACAAAACAGAAAGCTCTCATTTCTTGACATTGATATCTCTCGTACTAATGAAAAATTCACCACTTCCGTCGACCGCAAACCTACTTTCCCTGGCCTCTTAACCAACTTCCACAGCTTTATCCCACTTACTTACAAACTTTCACTAGTCTCCTGCTTACTTCACAGCATCTTCAACCTTTTTTCTATTTATGAAAATTTTTATACACAACTCAAATTTCCAGAAAGTCACTCACCAAAAACGGTTTTCCTTCACGTATAATTGACCAAATCACACGTCACTTCCTTAACAACACCTTTGCCCCCAAACCACCTTTGCTTTTTGGTCTATTTCCATGGCTCTAATCAGAACTTTATGTTGGGCATTAATTATTATTACACGAGTTAGAGACTGTTAATGGTTTATACGATTGCTGTTCTCTTAAACGATTTTCCTGACTCTCTAAATTAAATTCTTCGGCTGTGCGGCCATTTAGTTCTAGATGCGCTATTTTCATTAAATAGAGCTAGTTGATATAAACCTTTGAAAATTAATTCGCATATGGAAAAGATTCGAAAACGGACTACTCAGACAGCAACATATACATGTCAGATGTGACCAACTGTTTGCGCATGCGTATACCACTGGGCGTAGATAATTGAGGAATAGTCAGACTAGAGGAGGGCTCAGACTGCTACATCTGTTAGCTAAGTTTATGTAAACAGCCCCCTTTGAATATTTATCACAGGTGCATTAATGGCACATTGTGCAACCATTGATCAGCGTTTGCTGACTGGAATATGAAGCAAATAACACTGCTAATAAATATAAGTCATCGAGGTCAAATGCATAACTAAAGTAGAAAGTATTTTGTTGTTCATTCCTGTTTGTCATCGACAGAGAACTGCTTTGTTTTTTTCTTCATAAAGATCAACCTTGTATTGAATACAGTCAACTGCTAAAGTTTCAATGAGAAATGGAATGTCTGGAATGAAGACATTTACGATATCTTTTTTATGTAAAGACTTAAAACACCGAGTTAAAAGTTCATTTGCAAGTTCCATCTACGACATTCTAAGAAAAGTTAAGAAGAAATGAAAAATAGCATCTCTAGTAGATGTCTGGCTAACAAAGTAATCAAGTCAATTATTATCATTGTGTTTCATCAAACCAATATTAATGTGTAGTATCTATTTAGGAACTTATGAAAAAAAAACTTAATAAAAACCAGCTTAAAGTGTAGTTTATTGATTTCCTGATTTACAGAGTATACGTACCTCTTTGCTTGAACGAGATAGAGAAGGAACTTCTGTCTGCTGCTGTTACTTTAGAGGTTAACAAATGAAATTTCTCTCCTGCAGGTAGATCAAGTTAGCATGTATTTGTATTATTTTATACTTTTCATTGAGCACATTTGAAAACAACATATTTCCAACAGTTGTCATGCTAATGACTTTCATGAATTATTTTTAATGAAAAAAGAAAGTCTTTATTGAAGGCGAACAGTGCATTGTTTTGGATGAATTTAAAACGCGCTAATAATTTAGTTAATTGTCTTTTTTTAGACGGACGCTTTTACACTTCAGACCAACTAACTTTTCCTAATTTGTATTTCTGTAAATAAATAGATATGATTATCGACTGTCTTAATCTTAAATATGCTAAGCAAAATTTATTTTGTTTTAAGAATTGATACAGTAAGACTTATTTCTGAGTTCAAATTTAATTGAATTTCCGCGACATTCATTAGGAAGCCGGGTTGCCACGTGAAAAGATCATGCAGGCTTTGCTGATCACGTGAAAAAGTGAGCAACAACAAAACAGGAAAGAAAGTGTCATGGTAACTCTGGATTCGTCATGTTCATAAAAATAGAGCTAATTGAGATAAACCTTTGAATATTGTTTCGCAGACGGAAAAGATTCGAAGACGGACAACTCAGACAGCAACATACACATGTCAGATGTGACTGATTACTTGCGCATGCGTATACCACTGGGCGTTGAGAATTGAGGAATAGTCAGACTAGAGGAGGGCTCATACTGCTACACCTGTTAGCTAAGTTTATGTAAACAGCTCCCTTTGACTATTTATCACAGGTGCATTGATGGCACATTGTTCAACCTCTGATCAGCGTTTGCTGACTGGAATGTGAAACAAATAACACTGCTAATAAATATAAGTCATCGAGGTCAAATGTATAACTAAAGTAGAAAGTATTTTCTTGTTCAACCCTGTTTGTCCTCGACAGAGAACTGCTTTGTTTTTTTCTTTCTTCATGAAGATCTACTTTGTGTTGAATACAGTCAACTGCTAAAGTTTTAATGAGAAATGGAATGTCTGGAATGAAGACATTTACGATATCTTTTTTATGTAAAGACTTAAAACACCGAGTTAAAAGTTCATTTGCAAGTTCGATCTACGACATTCTAAGAAAAGTTAAGAAGAAATGAAGAATAGCATCTCTAGCAGATGTCTGGCTAACAGAGTAATCAAGTCAATTATTATCAATGTGTTTGATCCAAACAATATTAATGTTTAGTATTTATTTAGGAACTTATGAAAAAAAAACTTAATATAAACCGGCTTAAAGTGTAGTTTATTGATTTCCTGATTTATAGAGTGTACGTACCTCTTTGCTTGAACGAGATAGAGAAGGAACTTCTGTCTGCTACTGCTACTTTGGAGGTTGCCAAATGAATTTGCTCTCCTGCAGTTAGATCAAGTTAGCATATATTTGTATTATTTTATACTTTTCAGTGAGCACATTTGAAAACAACATATTTGCAACAGTTGTCATGCTAATGACTTTTATGAATTATTTTTAATGAAAAAAGAAAGTCTTTATTGAAGGCGAACAGTGCATTGTTTTGGACGAATTTAAAACGCGCTAATAATTTGGTTAATTGTCTTTTTCCTTAGAAGGACGCTCTTACACTTCAGACAAACTAACTTTTCCTAACTTGTATTTCTGTAAATAAATAGATATGATTATCTACTGTCTTAATCTTAAATATGCTAAGCAAAATTTATTTTGTTTTAAGAATTGATACAGTAAGACTTATTTCTGAGTTCAAATTTTATTGAATTTCTGCGACATTCATTAGGAAGCCGGGTTGCCACGTGAAAAGATCATGCAGGCTTTGCTGATCACGTGAAAAAATGTGCAACAACAAAACAGAAAAGAAATAGTCATGGAAATTCTGGATGCTCCATTTTCATAAAAATAATTCTAGTTAAGATAGAGCTTTGAATATTGTTTCGGTGACTTTGAAAAGACTCAAAGGTGGTCGACAACTCAAACCGCAACTTACACATGTGAGCTGTGACCGATGACTTGCGCATGCGTAGACAATTTGGGAATAGTCACACTAGGGGTGCTTTGCGACTGCTGCACCTGTTAGCTAAGATTATGTAAACAGTCCCTTAGCTGCTAATGTCTTATTGGAAATCTGAACGAATACAATAATACTTCAATCAATCCCAACCAAACAACAAAAATAACCTCAACCAACCAAAATGGTTGAGGTACTAATGAGATTTTAAAGTAAAAACTATCAATGAACAGCTTCTGTTGATCAAATCTTGAGTAAAATCAATAATAGCTACACATTTGGAATGAATAACTATGGAGATTATGAAATAAGTAATATTATGAATATTTGTGTCTTTGTTGATTTTTAGTTTAGTTTGTTTGGATCGCCGCAACTTGACAATAAACAATAATTTTGGTAATATTCAATTTTTAAAAATACAAAATTTTATTTATCAATAAAATTTAGCAGTATGATAGGGAAATGGAATGTTTGGGATCGTGTTAAAATACAACCAATCATATAATCGCGAGGTCGAATGTATGGTTAAAGAAGAAAATGTTTTGTTGTTCTATCACCTTCTGTTCCTGTATGAGACAGACAAACTGTTTCGTTTTATTCATGTCATAAAGATTAACTCTGTGTTGAATACAGCCAACTGCTAAATTTAGCTGAAAAATGAAACTTTGCAAGACGAAAATGGAATGTCTGGAAATAGACCATTTAAAATGTAAAGACTTAAAACACTGTCTTAAAAGTTCAGGTGCAAGTTCAATCTTTGACATTGGAAGAAAAAAACTTTTCTTAGCAGATGTTTGATTGCGTGACAAAATTATTAAAGTCAATAATTATAATATTTAAAATAATAAAACAGAGACTTTGTTGTGGTAACAAAATTTGAATATCGCCAATACCACTATTAATATTCACTATGTGAACTATGTCCGTTTTGATTGGTCAGTTACCTGCAAAAATTTCTCGATATCTGTAGGTATGACAATTTATCTACAAATAATAGTTAGTTTCTACTTTTGTTGACAACAGTAAAAGCCGAATTTGAAAAAGTCAAACAGTAGGGATGTTTGCCATAGTTTCTAAAAACGATATGTAAAACCTTTTGAACAAAAATGATCCGGAAACACTAAAAAATCAGCGAAGCTGGCTTTGAACATATTTAATTACTGTATATTTAAAGCAGATTTACTTTAATTAACCATCTAACAAGGACAAAAAGCAAAGGTTTTAAAACTGTTTTACATTGATATGTTACATCATTATTTCAATCATTTGAAAAGAATAATAAAACAATTATTGAACTCGGCTTTCAAATGATAAAACTAATTATTCAGACATCGGTCAGAATGTTATTCGCTTCATGTTCGCTTCGGTAGATAACATTGATCTGAATAATTTTTGATATCATGCTCAACATCATTCAACAATAGAATTTTATTTTAAATCCCGACAACATTAATGTGCAGTATATATTTAGAAACTTGTGAAAAAACCTTAATATATATAAACTTATTTAAAGTATATTTAATTGATTTCCTGATTTATACAGGTGTACGTACCTTTCTTGTTTGAACAAGATGGAAAAGGAACTTTTGTCTGACGCTCTTACTTTACTGGCTGTCAAAGAAAATTGCTCTCTTGCAGGTAGAGTTAACATATATTTATACTGTTTAATACTTTTCAGTAAGCATACTTCAAAACAACATAGTTTCAACACTTATCATGCTAATGTTTTCAAATTATTGAAAAAGAAAGTCTTTATGCCATTGAGTTAATCGTCCTTTTCTTAGAAGGTCGCTATTTTTTTCTAATTTGTATTTCTACATTAAATAAATATATATAACTATCTATCTTTTCTGTCTCAATTTTTTTTGATGAGTTTCTTAAGTACTTAATAACTATTTTTAGTTGATATGACCAAACAATTTAAACATCGCAACATAACAAGAAATTCTTACGACAACATTGCTTAGTTTTGTCTGTGGCGATAGTAATGTATGTATATTTTACTTTACGAGGAGAGCAGAAGCAATAATATGTACAAATTACAAATCTCTCATACCTCGTACTTAATCTTAAATATGCAAAAGAAAATTTATTTTGTATTATTCTGAGTTGAAATTTGCTTGGCATTCTGCGACAGTCAGTAAGAAGCCAGATGTCACGTAGAAAGCATGCAGGCTTTGCACATCATGTGAAAAAGATTGTAGCAACAAAACTGGAAAGGAAGAGTCATGGATATGCTACCTGTGAAAAGACCGGCGTCTTCCTCAAGTTTTTCTCCCTATCTTGCGACTTCAGTGGTTATTTATAATTCGAGTTGCAACTTTCCGTCCTATGTTGTTAGACATCTGTTGCGACTTATCCGTTTGTACTTAAATAGTTAAATTTTTTACATATTGAGTGTAGTAATTAATACCAGGAGCCTCGCCACAGCGCAAGCCGGCATGATGTGACTAATGAGTAATGAGTCTTTGCCACTACAGACAGCCATTCGAAAAAGTAAGCTCAATAAAAGATATGCTTTTAACGTGATATGGCAGACTTCATTATTCAATCTCTTCCTTGGCAACAAAAGATTCATTTCTGTTTATAGTAAATATTGAGCGGGGATGTTTGTCATTTGATCATACGTCATTTTGAATTCCCCATCCAAACATGAGTTACATGATGCATTAATTTATTGAAACTTTTGTCGTTCTTGTATTGAAGAACATCTACGAGTTAATGCACAAAGATGTCCTCAATGTCAAGATAATTTGACTGTAGATATATACACTTCTTCCAGCTAGTCTTATAAATAACTTGATTTCAAAGTTAAAGATCAGTTGCAACCACGCAAATCCTAAATTTATCAACGTTGAAGATCTTGAAAGAAACTTTGAAAATTTGGCTTTGCTCCAGCGTTGTGTTCTAATGAACGTTGTGACAAGGAGATAAACAAACGAGACAAGATTAAACATGAAACTGAGTTATGTGAATACAGAAAGATTACTGCTCACGACTTTGGTGAGATTTGAGAAATGTTTCAACTAAGTTTTGTTCATGTTGACAAAGTGAAAATGCAGATGAATGAAATAAATGGGAAAATGGATCAAAAGTTTATTGATGTGTGTGGTGAAGGCATGGATAGCAGGTTGAAAATTATTCAACCGACAGCGTATAAAAAGCAAAGCACGTGTCCGCATTGTACTTATGTTTTAAAATATTGTTTATGTCTTTTGTAGATCTGCTTCATTGCACTTTTTCTTTTATCTTTTGTTTTTACTTTGCTTTAGATAAATATATTAAAATATAAAACTAGGCGTTGTTATTCTTCGCTTTTAACTTCCGTGTTTATCAAACGTCGACGCAGAATTTCAACGTATTTTCTATCTTCAACTTGTTGCGATAAACAAATAATTTCGTCTACTCTTGGCTTAATTTTGATCCTGAATTATATGAGAAAACGTATGAAATGGCTTGTCGTCCTAATAATTACGATTCATATGGATATGATGAATCAAGATTTGAAAGCCCTGTCAACGATGATTTTTATTGTCCAATATGTCTTAATGTCATAAAAGATGCCAGAATGTGCCACAATGAACACATATTTTGTCGTAGATGTATTGAAGAACATCTAAGAGTTAATGCACAAAGATGTCCTCAATGTCAAGATAATTTGATTGTAGCTACACTTCTTCCAGCGCGTGTTATAAATAATATGATTTTAAAGTTAAAGATCAACTGCGACTTCGCTAGTCATGGTTGTCCGGAATTTATCAACGTTGAAGATCTTGAACGACATGTTGAAAATTGTGGCTTTGCTCCAGTGTTGTGTTCTAATGTAGGTTGTGGTCTGAAGATAAACAAACGAGACAAGATTAAACATGAATTTGTGTTATGCGAATTCAGAAAGATTCCTTCTCACGACTTTGAAGAGATTAGAGAAATCTTTCAACGAAGTTTTGATCAAGTGAAAATGCAGATGATTAAAATAAATGAAAAAATGGATCACGATAGAACTGAAAAAAATAGAAAAATTAATGATGTATCTTGTCAGTCTACGAAAGAAAGAATGGAATTAAAGAAAGAAATGATGGAATCAAGGAAAGAAATAAAAGATGTTCAACAAAACCTTTCTACAATTACCAAAGAAATGAAAGAAATGAAAGCTGTGATGTTTCAAATGTTGGAAAAGATGAATAAAAATGAACATGTTCAAACATTGACATCATCAGTTGAAATGTTGATGAACTCAATAAAAGGTGATATTTTGGCTGCTGGAGGTTCCTTATGTGGTTCCTCAGAAAGTGTTGAAATATTTTCATGGAAGGAGAAGAAATGGTTTGAGATTGCATCAATGGAAAATATGCGTATCGATGCTTCATCATTTGTTTATAAGGATAATTTATTTGTTGTTGGAGGATATGACTGTAAGTCAATGGAGACATTGAATATAAAAAAGTTTCCTTTGACATGGAAGACGTTTCCCACAGAGCTTCCTTATGGATGTCAGAATCATCAAACTGTTGTTTGTAAACAACAAATCTTTCTCATTGGAGGATATGATTATAATAATAATACAAGATTGGATCTAATCAGTCAAATACAGATTACAGGTACAACATCTTATGTTTTGAAATAGTTGTGTCATATGCCTGAACCACGTTGTTACCATGGAGCTGTTGTTGTTGATGATAAAATTCTTATTTTTGGAGGAGAGGGAGAAGATGGCAATGTTTTGTCCAGTGTTTTGGAGTTTGATCCAAGGACTCTTACATTTAAGGAAATGCCTCCATTACCTCATCCATTGATTGAAATGGCAACAGTTCAATGGAGAGATCAAGTTGTTCTTCTTGGAGGTTGTGATGATGGAAGAAAACATTTGAACAGTTTTATCATGTATGACTGTAATACAGGAAAGATTACCGTCTTATCATCCATGTTGGAAAAGAGGTCCGGGTGTTGTGCAACTATAACTGGTGATACAATTGTTGTCGTGGGAGGTCTGAATGATAAAGGTAAAGAAATTAAATCAGTGGAGTGTTTTATAATGGGAAGTAGTTCTTCATGGACATATCTTCCTTCAATGAATGAACCACGATACGGAGCCATTGCTGAAGTTTTAGCCTTTGAACAAAAGTATTTATAAGCACAGAATTATTCTCTAAATAATCAGAACATTATAACTCAGTAAAATTTGTTTAAATTAAAGCTAAACACTACTTAAAATTGAATATGTAAACTTACAATGTTCATATAACCTTTGATTATTATAATAAATTACTGGAGAAATAAATGGTTTTAGTATTTTACTAATGACAGAGACAAAAAGAAAACTTTTGCTTTAGTACTTGTTCAGAATCTTCAAACTTACAACTGTGTATGAGTTTGACCAGTGGTGTTGTCGATCATAGAGATTATAAATAATACTAGATGTGGCATCGTAATATAATCAGTGAATATAATCTATAGTCAAAAATACGGCACACATTTTTGGAGGGCAAAATCGATTCCCTGATGTTACGATACAATGGCCAACTATGATTTTTTGACTTTTTTTTTATTATACGCAAATACAATAGTTAATATTGTCACAATCGATTTTTTGAACAATTTTTTTCTTTTCATCGTAATTTTGGATACCTAATAAGGATACGAAATTGGAGCTCCGAGTCAAAGATCTTGGTATTTAAAACAAATTGCTAAATTCTTTTTTCACGAATTTCAGCGTGTTTCGCACATTAAAAACTTGTTTGTCTAAATTCCATAGCGCTAAAAAATAAAAAAATTTACCTTAAACTTTACCAGGGCGCATGCGTGCTTATGAATTTGATCGTCAATAAGCGCAAGCAGGCATGCGCAATGTTACGTTTTGCTACGATACGCTACGATGCGTGGCTAGTGGAAAACTGGCTTAACAATGTGAGATTGTGAGATGTCAATGGACATTATGCATGCATATTTTACGTCATATTACATTTTGTTTCAGATAAGCGTCCGTGACGAACACAAGCAGCACATAGCTTCAATAAGTTCTATCTTTTACCGTTTTACATTTGCTATTCAAACAATGACAAAGTGACTGTATTCTGAAGTTGTTATCTCAAGTGTAGAAGGGTCGAGTAGGGATATGCAAAACTATCCGAGATTATCTGACATATCAAAGGCAAAATCAATTCTGAGTTCGATTCCAAATTGGATATTGAGTTTATTTACGATTTGAATTTCGATTTACGATTTGAATTTCGATTTACGATTTGAATTTCGATTTACGATTTGAATTTCGATTCCAAGCTGGAATCTTTGGCTCGGTAAATAGAATATATCGTAATTTTAGATGGTAATTTAATTTTTTAGCCAATTGCAGTTGAGAACCTTTTTTAAAATAATGGCGTATGCGCCAAACTGAGGCATCCAGCATGGAGACAGAAAAATTTTACAAACAATTTAAAAAGTTCACGCATATTTATCGGGATTTTTGTGGTCTTTTTTCAAAGCTAGGTATGGATTAATGAAGAAAAATTATCCTATTTTTGGTGATATAATTATTATTTGGATTTCTTGTTTGTTTTTTACGTATTAATACTTTATGTAAAGGCATGTTTTCGTAAATGCGATGATAGTTGCCTACATTTGGTAAATATATAATATATATATAATCAATTATACAAATTGTCAAAATATAAGACCTTTACGACCATATATACGTGGAAGTCACGCGAGACAACGCGCGTGACAAACATTGCACATAAATCATGGAATATATTTAGGACTATTTACATAAATCGATTGCATGAAAAAAATGAAAAAACGAAAACAGATTCTTTCTGGGCCGCCTATGTCGAAACTCGAAAGCAGTTGGCAAAAGTATATTTGTTTACATTCATCCGGGACCTAAATTTTCCCCTAGCTCCGCGTCCCCACGATCTTCGGTCTCGGGCTTGCACTGATCTGCTCTCAAGTTCTCCCAAAGATCTCCTCGTTTTGCATAAGCCTGTGTAAACACAGTAAACATCTTTTATTTCTTAAATGTCATGAATGATCACTCAATTTTAGTATCTTACTGTATTACGTTGTTTATGCCTCATATCTATTCAGAATCAAGACGTTTAAAATCAAACAGAAACTTACAGAAGTTCCGAAAGGTTCTACTTTATTGTGATTGTGCGCTCCCCTTCATTACGTAAAAATCCCCCCGGAATTGTTAACAGACGAACAAAAAATCGAGATTCCACCAGTATATAGGTCGCGTTGGGGAAATGGGTCAAGTCATGTCAAGAATAGTGTTTTGCCTCGCACAGGCAGCAACAAGGAAAAATTGTGTGTCATGATTTAACATTCAGTTCCGTCTTGTATTAGTTTGTCAATCGATCGTCCTCGATTCTTGCTGAATTTGTTTCTTCTCGAAAATATCTTGCTGTGGCATGCTAGCTGCAATTTCAAAGCACAAATGTGTAAAAAACGACAATAAATCAATTTTTTCAATTTTTTTCAACGTTTTTCCACTGCCAAGAAGCAAAGCAAACATCGGCCGCCGAAAAAAACACACATTTCATGGGAAAGCTTGACAAATTTAGATGTATTTTTAGCTTCAGCCAGTCATGGGACAAAACTATAGAAGTTATCGTTCCAGATGTATTTTAATTAAATGTCTCAATCACTGTCAAAGTGATGAGTATCCCCATGTTTTGCGTATCCCAGTACTTAAATCATGAAGGTTTTAAGCGTCCCCAGCAAATATGGCTCCTGTGTTTTAAGTATCCTTACCCGACCACCCAACGTTCACAAATCACTAGTGATAAAGGTTTCCCTATATTTGTTCAATTACTTCGTTGGTTTCAAAGGTTTCCCTACAGTGGATTTCCCTTGACCTAGAGGGAACAACAATAGACATTTTTTACACGTCATACAACATTGAGTAAAACTGAGTAATATCCCCATACATAAATCACAAAACCCCTAGTGATTTAAGTACGGGGATACCCATATCACGGGTTTACTAATATCACTATCACCAAGGTTACCTCAGTATGAGCCCGCGAGTTAGCGGTTTCATATGGCGGTATTCATTAATTTATCTGGTTTGCTGCTTTCGCTCTTTTTGACGTTCTTAAAAGGAGAAAGAGAATAGGAACACATTACCCATTACTACTCACATTTTTTCCTTCGATTCTCAATTTCCTTGCAACTTTCATCCGCGACTTTCTTTAAAAAGTGATTCCAAATTTGGATTCCGAAGAACCCTTTAAAAAAAGAAAGTTGATTAAGTGATTACATTTTTAAATATGTAATATGTATGGTTTAGTTCAGGGAGGACGATTTAAGACAACAGGGCACTTCTTACCGTATTAAGTGCACAATAAGCAATATCAGTCTGGAACAATTCTCACAAAAAGTTCACTCCATTTTCTACAGTTGCCGAAATTTTATCAACTTGCTTTTGACCAGAGTATAGGTGCCATCGTTTGATATACGGGTCGTATTGCTTTTGTGTACTTTCTCTTCAAGACTGCAGGACCAATTTGGCAGCAAGGCCTGAAAGTCCACGTTCATGGAGAATTCCCCCCCCAGATTTGACATAGCAGTAGAACCAGCTTTGGATATAGTGGATGAACCAAGCTTGGTTGGCTGGGTTGAGTCAAAAAACGCTTTGCCACTGGCAGCTGAATTGGCTCCTGGAGTAACATTCTCATCACTTTGGGCCACCAAGACTGAGTCGGCCAGTTCGGAATCACTAGCAGTCCTGTTGCCTTCTCTTTTTGAATTTTTTTAAACTTTTGGAAAGATACTAAAAGGTGCAAATGCAAAAAATGAATACTTGAATTATCGTTGAGCCTTGAGGTAAATAGATCAATATCACCTGTAAACTGAGCACACTGTATTGCCTGTGACAGGATAGCAGAGTCAAGGGCTCACTCACTGGAGCCTGAGGCCCTACGCGACCCTTTATCAGCAAGGGTATTTGTTATCCCGGGAATATGCGAAGCGGAAAGCCATACCCTATTATTTTAAAAGAAATATAAGTAAAGCTAGATGTTGATATATGAATACACAGCACTATTCTCCTGTAAAACATAAAGTTGATTATGAGTGAATGCGTCTGAATATATTGTAACCTAGGAACCTTTTAAATTAGCCCATTTTTACGTTGGTAAAACTGCATTTGATTTGTCACAGTTCTACGTTACTGCTCACTACGAAGGAATATTAACTACATCACCATATATCCTTCGAGAAAAAGTCTATAACCTCTCCGGAGACATGGGATCTTTTTCAACTTCATTTTAGCAATTTTGGACTGGGACGAGTCATTAACTACTTCACTACGTGATTTTTCTAGCTATAAACACAGACAAAAACAGCATGAGTAATCTGAGGTTCACTGAGGGTTATTAAGGAACAAATAGTCAATCTCGCACATTTCAACCGAAAATTCACGCAAATGATCAGTCACTTTAAGTAGTATGTATTATGTTAAACGTTTAAGGTGTTACATTCAGCAGTGTATTCGTGTGCCCTCATTTTAGCGTGCTAAATGATCTATCACCTGAAGATACAATATGTCCCTCGCCTAAGTGTTCTAAATGTCTCTCGTATTATTGTATTAAATGATCCTTAGGAGTTTTCTTTGAGACTTTGAAATGTTCTCTTACTGTAATGCATTAAATGCTCACTACAATATACTAAACGATTCTTCACCTCAGTGTTATCAGTGTTTCATCATAGTTTATAGTTCATATCACTGTTCCAACCTAAAGCATTCTGTAGAAATTTGGTGAGAACAGAGTCCCTATATGCTACCAAAATAGTTGCATCGGCAAAGGCAGATATGACATTGTTTTAACATACGATATATATTTGCTAACATACGGTACGCGTATGATACAAAAAACATACGCGTATCATACGAGAACGATACGCGTATAATACGAGAACGATACGCGTATCATAGGAGAACGATATGCCTATGATACGAGAACGATACGCCTATGATACGAAAACGATACGCCTATGATACGAGAACGATACGCCTATGATACGAGAACGATACGCGTATGATACGAGAACGATACGCGTATGATACAAGAACGATACGCTTGTGATACGAGAATGATACGCGTCTGATACGAGAATGATACGCGTATGATACGAGAACATACGTGTATGATACGAGAAAGATACATGTATGATACGAAAAGGATACGCGTATGATACAAGAACATACGTGTATGATAAGAAAAGGATACGCTTATGACACGAAAACGATACGCGTATGATACGAGAAAGATACGCGTATGACACGAAAACGATACGCGTATGATACGAGAAAGATACGCGTATGATACGAGAACGATACGCGTATGATACGAGAACGATACGCGTATGATACGAGAACGATACGCGTATGATACGAGAACGATACGCGTATGATACGAGAACGATACGCGTATGATACGAGAGCGATACACGTATAGGGGACGGGGCGGGTGGCTGAATGGTTAATTGCGTGAGTTGCAAGCCAGACGGCGCGGGTTCAATCCCGGCTCGTGGCACATCTGGCAATGTGTCTGTAAACCTAGCCCGGGTTGACCACAGCCATGTGAGGGAAATTTGGTAGAGGAAACTATGTCCTCGGATGGACTGTATCTGCATCTGCAATGTTGCAGCCTTGTCACAATGTGTGTCACGCTGATATCAGCGTTGTAGTTGCGTGAAAGGTACGAGTGATTGTAGTCTGGTCAGCTGCCTTCACTATAATTTAAGTAACCAGGATGTTCCACTTCGTGGAACCCTCATATGTCGAAATCGACGGAGTCCATTATTATAATTATATTATATAAGAACGATACGCGTATGACAAGAAAAGGATGAGCGTATGATACGAAAATGATACATGTATGATACGAGAATGATACGCGTATGATACAAGAACGATACGCTTATGACACGAAAACGATACGCGTATGATACGAGAAAGATACGCGTATGATACGAGAACGATACGCGCATCATATCAGAACGATATGCGTATGATACAAGAACGATACGCGTATGATGCGAGAACGATACGCGTATCATATCAGAACGATATGCGTATGATACAAGAACGATATGCGTATGATGCAAGAACGATACGCGTATGATGCGAGAACGATACGCGTATCATATGAGAATGATACATGTATGATACGAGAATGATACATGTATGATACGAGAATGATACATGTATGATACGAGAACAATACATGTATGATACGAGAATGATACATGTATGATACGACAATGATACATGTATGATACGAGAATGATACATGTATGATACGATAATGATACATGTATGATACGAGAACAATACATGTATGATACGAGAATGATACATGTATGATACGAGAATGATACATGTATGATACGAGAGCGATACATGTATGATACGAGAATGATACATGTATGATACGAGAAAGATACATGTATGATACGATAATGATACATGTATGATACGAGAACGATACATGTATGATACGAGAATGATACGCGTATGATACGAGAACGATAAATTCATTTTGCAACATTAAATATTAAATTTAGTGTAGCTCACTATTTTTTTCTGCATTGTACCTGTAACCATCCTTATATTGCAATTTCCTTATGATACTCTTCTTACATTTTGTATATGGTGCAAACCATTCCCATCCTAAGTAGGTCTTGTCTGGTGTTAGACTGTAAGAAATACTTGTGCATTCCTTCTTATTGGTGTTAAAACTAAGTCAATTGGCATAGGCCATAGCTAGAGAACTAAATTGGGAGAGGGGAGGTTTGTTTTTTCATATATTTATTTGAGCTTGACTGATTTCTTTAGAAAGCCAAATCATTTTCAAAAGAAATCAGTCTGACGCTACTGAATATAAGAATAAACACACCTCCCCCCCATTTATTGTTTTAGCTATGGCTCTGCAATTGGCTACTAAACAACTATGTTTATGAAGGGCATAACATCTTCTAACAAATGCACTGAACAAAGTTTGATATACAGGTTTTTATTTTTCTAAATCTAGAGAATGTAGTTTGTAAAGAGTTTGACAGGCTAAAGGATAGTTATAGAAGATGCATTAAAAAGCGAGAGTTGGCGACACGATCAGGGAGTGGGGCAAGTAAGAAATTGCCAACTTGTGAATATTTCGTTGAGTTGTCCTTTTTGCGTGATGTGATGACTGGACGAAAAACTGAAACCAACATCCCACTTGAAATTGCCGAGAATCCTGATGTGCTCTCCACCGATGAGGATAGACCATTTACATCATTTTCACCAATCACTGTGGACAATTCCCATGCAAAACTAGAAATTTCAGACTCAAAACCACTTCAAAAGACTCGGAAAAGGCTATCAGATCAGATTGACGATCTTTTGGCCTTTAGCCTTGCCAATGATATAGCATATGCTAAAAATGGTGATTCAAAAAAGGCAACTAACCCAGAAGACCAGGACATTCTTTTCTGTTCCAGTTTGGTTACTACCTTTAGGAATTTGACTGGAAAGAAAAACAAATTGGCTAAGATCAAAGTATTGCGAGTTCTTGCTGAGTTTGAAGATGATGATGAAATGTAACAGAATGTTTTTTCCATAAACTTTTTCAAGAAATTTATTGTTACAAATAACTTTACGTTTGCTTGCGTTAACTACCACGTTATGTTATAAAAACAGTGACAAAACTAATAAATGATTCTTTGATTTAGTTAATCGTCGTTTTGAAAACAATCAACTGTAGCATGTACTGCGTTCCACTGCCAGCGTACTTGTCCTTTTGGGACATGAAGTAGTTTTTAAAATCTTCTCTAACAAGCTTTGCATCACGAGAGTAGTTGTTTGACCCAGCGTTGCTAACATCTCTTAAACCCTTATCTGATTGTGTCACTTTTCTCCATTCTCCAAGCTCTCTTCCGTTTTCTGTGTCGTTGTCCACGAAACCAGCTGGACAGTATTTTGTGCTGTGCGAAAAAGACCTTCCAGCCATAAGATAATTGTGCAGAGCGATTACTGCTTTTGTAACTTGAATAACCATTTCAACTCTGGCGTGAATTGGTCGACGAAATACCCGAAATCGTGCTGCTACAATTCCAAACGCATTTTCAATTACCCTCCTCGCTCGAGACAACCGATAATTGAATACCCGCTCAGATATTCCCAGAGCTTCGCAAGGGTACGGTTTCATGATATTTTGCTGTAACTGAAACGCCTCATCTGCCACTATGACAAATGGATAGCATTTTTGAGTGGAAGGGAATGCCTCGGGCCTAGGGATGCCTAAACTGTTTTTCTTAATTGATTCACCCATTGTACTGTAAGATAAAAAGCACCACCGTCACTTTTCCGTCCTGAGTCACCAATATCAACCAATGTGAACTGGTAGTTTGCATTGCAAATAGCCATTAAAACAATAGAATGGGTTTTCTTATAATTAAAGAACATCGATCCAGAGTTAGCTGGTGCCTGCATCACGACGTGTTTTCCATCAAGCGCACCAATGCAGTGTGGAAAATTCCATTTAATTTCAAACCCCTGTGCTATGCACTTCCACTCTGCCTCATTGCTTGGACATTTCATGAATACCAATGACAGTACTTTCCACAGTGCTTCACATGTTGAAAAGATGATTCGTCCAACAGTGGTTGGGCTCATTCGAAAGTTCATCCCTATGGTTGTTTGAGAATCTCCTATAGTTAGATACCTGAGTGTTACAAAACGTCGCTCACTAGACTCTATACATTCCCGAGTTAAGCAAGACTTCTATATCTCTGGAGCAATCATAGTCAAAAGTTCTTCATATTGAACAGGAGTCATACGAAAATATTTGAAAAAAAATTCTTCATCAAATAAACGTAAATCTTGGACTAATAAATAGAATTCTCCTTTAGTTTTGCGTTCTTGAAATATTTTTTGTACCCATACTGACTTTTTTTTTTATTTCCTTTAGTCATCCTTCTTTTTAACAAGAAAAGAAGAAGTGTGTTTTTACTGACAACCGCCATGTTATGATTATAATCAGAATTCGCGCCATGCTTCGTTTCTGTACGGTTCGTCAAAACCGCCAAAGTGGAGAATGTAACACGTATATGCATACGATACGCTACGGTACGGTCGAAGTGGAGATCGGCCTTATGATACGAGAACGATACGCGTATGATACGAGAACGATACATGTATGATACGAGAATGATACATGTATGATACGAGAATGATACATGTATGATACGAGTATGATACATGTATGATACGAGAATGATACATGTATGATACGAGAATGATACATGTATGATACATGTGTGATACATGTATGATACGAGAGCGATACGCGTAAGATACGAGAACGATACGCATATGATACGAGAACGATACATGTATGCTACGAGAATGATACGCGTATGATACGAGAACGATACGCACATGATACGAGAACGATACGCGTATCATATAAATACGAGAGCGGTACTGTAGATATGATTATCTACTGTCTTAATCTTAAATATGCTAAGCAAAATTTATTTTCTTTTACCTTGATTTGACAAATATCGAAACGTCGGTAATGAGCTGTTGGCATGACGACAATCAATATAATCAGACGCTTTCCATCCAAATTTGTCGTTGATCTCATTCTTCAAAGAATCTTCATCATTTTTTCTCTCCTTTACTACAGTCACATACAAACGTGGTTCTGGGTTGAATGTTATCCCGCAAAATCCATTTATCCAAGAAAATCTACAAAACAATAATTCCTTATTTAGAACATACATCACGTAGGAAAAGACATTTATTTTCGGTAAACTGTGTGATTTTTACTAAAATATAGCGTAGTATAACAATTGAAATTTCATATTCGCATAGTTTAAAAGCAAAAAATATTTAATAAAAAAACGTTTTTCAAATAATTAAACTCGCGTCAGTCATTGCTTTGAATCATAAGTGCGAGAAATGGTTGAATTCATTCTATATTTTACAGAAAACGTTTGTCGTGCCTAATTACGTAGCTATACTTCACGACTTTTTAAATGTAAATACAACTTATATTGAATGTATCTTATGCTTGGATAAGAAACCTTTGTAAACATTTTTAAAAATTATTTTACCAGTCTTGAGTAGATTTTTACTGACTGTTTTAATTTTTCAGTGACGTCTTTGCGAATACGGTAATAGTCGTCAAGAAATCCTCTGGTGAAATTGGGATCAAAATCATCTTCATCAGAATTTTCATCATCAGAATATATTTTGGACATATCGTTATCACTCAACATTTCAGGAACATCTGAAAGACAAAATTGTTATTAAAACACAATTTATACGCCTGTGATAACATCTGTGAATGGTGCAGTAGCCTCCGCCTGAAAAAACAAACTTGCCTCAGAAAAAATTATATTTTGTACGTAAATATACTTATTTCTGTGATATTGTCCCACTACCATAGTTTTGCCATTATCATGCAAAAACAACGACTTTACATTTTTTAACCATTTTATTAAAGAACTTATAAACTTAAGCAAAGCAAGAAAATCACATTCTTCTTATAACTTATTCTTACAATTAAAACCGAGTTTTTACCAATTACATTACAAATTATCTTGAAGTAATTAAATGCACCTGTAACTCTGTGTACATATCTAACAGGATGGTTGTAGCTACATGTCATTCTAACTGATTATGATTTGAAAAAAAGCAAAATAAAATGATAGCAGTATTGTATCTTGTATAAGAAATACCTTCTTTTGTCTTTATAACACCAGCTAAAGATGTGATGCATTCAACATCAGGAGCTTCACATGACAGCAATTCTACAACTAATATTTTAAAAAGTTTCAGTAAGACAAGCTTCATAGAACAAGATGCTGGCTTAGGGCGTGCACTTTGCTCAAGTGATTAAACCATTTCAGTATTTGTATGGCCTTATCTAAACATGGGGGAGTATCGATGTTGCAAAATTGAGCCAGGTGATTTTTACGCTTTTGTTATGATGAGCAACATTCCTAATTGGTCAATCAAGCCATCTAAACAAATGAAAACCATTTAGTAGTAGTTTTATAAGATAAAAAAACAGAGGATAGTGTTGCAAGTATTATCTCAATAAGGGGAAGTATGAAACCTAAATTCATATAAATAACATTCCTAAATTATCCTAAATCCATGAATATGTAAAGTTTTGTCAATAACAGAAGCAAAATATTGGCGAAACGTCTTCCTGTAATACCTATATGTTGCATAATGTATCAAGCATAATCTTTTGTGCATATATATTTTGTATTATTTCTAAAATGATGGCTTGTATCATTGAATGATTACAGATTTACATTTTATCTCTCCTTACAGTGGCCATATAGCAGAATAATGATGCAGTGATATTTGGCAGCTCGTCACTTAAAAGGGGAAAACATTTTTTGCTTTAAAAATCAATATTCATTCATGATGATACTTGTTCTAAATATATACAAATGTAGTCTTCCTTTTATGCACATTAAAACCAGTGATAGTAAATTGAAAAGCTAGCCATAATAAATAATGCAAGTCTACATGCTGTCCATGATCTTTCATCAAAGAGAATACCTCCTCATGGTGATATGAGAAGTTGTGGATCTTACAAACATTCCTGTTTTAAGACTGAACGTTTTAAAAATGTCTTTTTAAAAATAAGTATGAATTGAAGTAAGTAAGTAGATATCAGTTTAAATTGTTTTATTGGTAGTATGAATTAAGGAATAGATATGTAACATTGTTTGTATAAACATATGTACTTATAGTATTAGTTATATGGTTTTTTATTAGTTAGAACCTTTGTAATTCAACCATATCTGTTACAAAAAAGAGTTCACGTTTAATAAATACAAATATAAATTCAAATTCAAGTCCAATTATTGATGTCTATACCATCAAAGCTTTTTTTCACATGTTATTTAATGTTTTGTCTGTAGACATAACCATACTGATAAGAACTTCATTCTACATATTTTACTGTAAAAATCGTTAATGTTTACGTGCAAAAAGTTTCAAACAAAATTAGTAAAGCATGGAAAGCTTTTCCTCCAATTTGTTCCAAACCGAAAGCACAATTTGATACATCAAATTTCTACGTTAAATGAAAACATAAAAACTGAGAGATTTGCTGGAATTTCCAAAAGAAATAAAAGATGAAGAATTCTTCATCCAATATAGCCAATATAGACTGTTTCATATGCAATTTCTCGCGAATTTCTGTGCGAGTGTTTTGATCATTTATTTAGGTTTTTTATCCCTAATCGCAACAGAAATACAAAAGTAGGTTTTAGCATAACATAGATGAAAAGAAATGCAATTACATACCTGATTTCAAAACGAATAACCTGAGCAAAATATGAAATATTCCACACAAAATTGCTTAGCAATGGCAAAGTCTAAGAAATTAGTAAATTGAAATTATAATTGGTAACGTTCAGCCTGATAATTATTAAATTCATCTTGTTTGTCCCCTGTTAGAATAATTATAATTTTATTTTTTTTGTCTTTGTTTTCATAAATGTGAATACAAAACTAGGGGTTGTTAATCTCTGCCTTTAACTTCCGTGTTTATCAAATGTCGACTGCAAATTTTAACATATTCTCTATCTTCAACTTGCAGTGATAAACGAATAATTTTGTCAAATCTTTGATTAATTTTAACACTGAATTATATGTAAAGATATATGAAATGGCTTGTCGTCCTAAAGATTATGAAAGTGGATAGGAAGAGTCAAGATTTAAGAATACTGTTGTTGAAACTTTTTACTGTTCAATTTGCCTGAACGTCGTTAAAGATGCCAGAATGTGTCAACATATCGAACACATTTTTTGTCGTTATTGAATTGAAGAACATCTACGAGTTAATGCACAAAGATGTCCTCAATGTCAAGATAATTTGACTGTACCTACACTTCTTCCAGCAAGTCTTATAAATAACTTGATTTCTAAGTTAAAGATCATTTGCAACCACACAAATCATGGTTGTCCTGAATTTATAAACGTTGATGATCTTGAAAGACAAGATTAAATATAAAACTGAATTATGTGAGTACAGAAAGATTGTTGCTCACGACTTTGGTGAGATTAGAGAATTGTTTCAACTAAGTTTTGTTCATGTTGACAAAGTGAAAATGCAGATGAATGAAATAAATGGGAAAATGGATCAAAAGTTTATTGATGTGTGTGGTGAAGGCATAGATAGCAAGTAGAAAATTATTCAACTGACAGCGTATGAAAAGCAAAGCACGTGTGCGCATTGTACATATGTTTTAAAATATTGTTTATGTCTTTTGTAGATCTGCTTCATTGCACTATTTTCTTTTATCTTTTGTTTTTACTTTGCTTTACATAAATATGTTAAAATATAAAACTAGGCGTTGTTATTCTTCGCTTTTAACTTCCGTGTTTATCAAACGTCGAATGAGAATTTCAACGTATTTTCTATCTTCAACTTGTTGCGATAAACAAATAATTTCGTCTACTCTTGGCTTAATTTTGATCCTGAATTATATGGGAAAACGTATGAAATGGCTTGTCGTCCTAATAATTACGATTCATATGGATATGATGAATCAAGATTTGAAAGCCCTGTCAACGATAATTTTTATTGTCTAATTTGTCTCAATGTCATAAAAGATGCCAGAATGTGCCATAATGAACACATCTTTTGTCGTAAATGTATCGAAGAACATCTGCGAGTTATTGCACAAAGATGTCCTCAATGTCAAGATAATTTGACACTAGCTACACTTCTTCCAGCGCGTGTTATAAATAATATGATTTCAAAGTTAAAGATCAACTGCCACTTCGCAAGTCGTGGTTGTCCAGAGTTTATCAACGTTGAAGATCTTGAAAGACATGTTGAAAATTGTGGTTTTGCTCCAGTGTTGTGTTCTAATGAACGTTGTGACAAGGAGATAAACAAACGAGACAAGATTGAACATGAAACTGAGTTATGTGAATACAGAAGGATTCCTTCTCACAACTTTCAAGAGATTAGAGAAATGTTTCAAAAAAGTTCTGATCAAATGAAAGTGCAGATGGTTAAAATAAATGAAAAAATGGATCAAAATAGAAATGAAATAAATAAAAAAATTAATGATGTATCTGGTCAGTCTACGAAAGAAATAATGGAATTAAAGAAAGAAATGATGGAATCAAGGAAAGAAATAAAAGATGTTCAACAAAACCTTTCTACAATGACCAAAGAAATGAAAGAAATGAAAGCAATGTTGTTTCAATTGTCGGAAAAGATGAATATAAGTGAACAACATGTTAAAAGATCAACATCATCAGTTGAAATGGTGATAAACTCAGTAAAAGGTGATATTTTGGTTGCTGGAGGTTACCCATATGATTCCTTAAAAAGTGTTGAAATATTTTCATGGAAGGAGAAGAAATGGTTTAAGACTGCATCAATGGAAAATGAACACAGGTGGGCTTCATCATTTATTTATGATGATAATTTATTTGTTGTTGGAGGTAATGACAGTAAGTCAATAGAGACATTGAATATAAAACAGTTACCTTTGACATGGAGAAAATTTCCAACAAAGCTTCCTTATGGATGTTGGCTTCATCAAACTGTTGTTTATAAACAACAAATCTTTCTCATTGGAGGATATGATTATGATAAACGTTCAACATTGGATCAAATTAGTGAAGTACAGATTACAGGTACAACATCTTATGTTTTGAAAGAGTTGTGTCATATGCCTGAACCACGGGATGGCCATGGAGCTGTTGTTGTTGATGATAAAGTTCTTATTTTTGGAGGAGTGGGAAAAGATGGCAGAGTGTTGTCCAGTGTTTTGGAATTTGATCCAAGGACACTTACATTTAAGGAAATGCCTCCATTACCTCATCCATGGACTGTAATGGCAACAGTTCAATGGAGAGATCAAGTTGTTCTTCTTGGAGGTTATGATAGAGAAGAAAGTTTGAACAGTGTTATCATGTATGACTATAAAACAGGAAAGATTCAAGTCTTACCATCCATGTTAGAAAAGAGATCCGGGTGTTGTGCAGTTATAACAGGTGATACAATTGTTGTCATGGGAGGTGTGAATGATAAAGATGAAGTTCTTAAATCAGTGGAGTGTTTTAAAATGGGAAGTAGTTCTTCATGGACATATCTTCCTTCAATGAATGAACCACGATATGCAGCCATTGCTGAAATTTTACCTTTTGGACAAAAGTATTTATAAGCACAGAATTATTCTCTAAATAATCCAAACATTATAACTCAGTAAAATTTGTTTATATTAAAGCTAAACACTACTTAAAATTGAATATGTAAACTTACAATGTTCATATAACCTTTGATTATTATAATAAATTACTGGAGAAATAAATGGTTTTAGTATTTTACTAATGACAGAGACAAAAAGAAAATTTATTGCTTTAGTATTTGTTCAGAATCTTCTAACTTACAACTGTGTATGAGTTTGACCAGTGGTGTTGTCGATCATAGAGATTATAAATAAAACTAGAGGTGGCATCGTAATATAATCAGTGAATATAATCTATACTCCAAAATACGGCACACATTTTGGTGGGGCAAAAGCGATTGCCTGATGTTATGATACAGGGGTCAACTATGATTTTTTGACTTCTTTGTTTTTATTATACGCAAATACAATAGTAAATATTGTCACAATCGCCTTCTAGAACAATTTTTTTCTTTTCATCGTAATTTTAGAGGATATCTAATAAGGATACGAAATTGGAGCTCCGAGTCAAAGATCTGGCTATTTAAAACAAATTGCCAAATTCTTTTTTCACAATTTGCAACGTGTTTGTCACATTAAAAATTTGTCTAAATTCCATAGCGCTAAAAAATAAAAAAATTTACCTTTGAAACAAACAACATCTTTTTGCGTTGCTTCCGTCAAGCAATCCACTCCTCCTCTTTTGATTCACAGGTCTTCAACTGCTTTTTATTTTAACTTTTCATTTATTTTAAAACCAAGAAATGCAATGCAGCACTGCCGTGGTCTTAGAATTGATTATTTATATCTTAGCAATTGGTAAATAATTATTGCAAAATATGAGTCGATCTTTAGCAATGCTAACTCTTTTATCGCGCCCCCCAACTTCATTATAAAGCTTGTATTCCACTAGTCACCTATCGTAACTTATCGTAGCAAAACGTAACAAGGCGCATGCGTGCTTATGATATTGATGGTCAATAGGCGCAATAAGTGATATAATTATTATTTGGAATTGTTGTTTGTTTTTTACGTATTATTACTTTATGTAAAGGCATGTTTTCGTAACTGCGATGATAGTTGCCTAACATTTGATAAATATATAATATATATAATCAATTATACAAAGTTTGCGGTGCACGGTCTGTTACGATGGAATGGTGAGAGTTATCGTTTGTTTAAACTATTTAAAAGTGATTTTTTGGGCCACCTATGTTGAGGGTTGCAAACCTTGTCAAAATATAAGACCTTTAAGACCATATATACGTGGAAGTCACGCGAGATAACGCGCGTGACAAACATTGCACATGAATCATGGAATATATTTAGGACTATTTACATAAATCGATTGCATGAAAAAAATGAAAAAACGCAAACAGATTCTTTCTGGGCCACCTACGTCGAAACTCGAAAGCAGTTGGCAAAAATATATTTGTTTACATTCATCCGGGACCTGAATTTTTTCCCAGCTTCGCGTCTTGACGATCTTCGGTCTCGGGCTTGCATTGATCTGCTCTCGAGTTCTCCCAAAGGTCTCCTCGGTTTGCATAAGCCTGTGTAAACACAGTAAACATCTTTTATTTCTAAAATGTCATGAGTGATCACTCAATTTTAGTATCTTACTGTATTACGTTGTTTATGCCTCATATCTATTCAGATTCCATACGTTTAAAATCAAACAGAAACTTACAGAAGTTCCGAAACTGGTTTCAAAGGTTTCCCTACAGTGGATTTCCCTTGACCTAGAGGGAACAACAATGGACATTTTTTACACGTCATACAACATTGAGTAAAACTGAGTAATATCCCCATACTTAAATCACAAAACCCCTAGTGATTTAGGTACGGGAATACCCAAATCACGGGTTTACTTATATCACTATCACCAAGGTTACCTCAGTATGAGCCCGCGAACTAGCGGTTTCATATGATAGTATTCATCATTTTATCTGGTTTGCTGTTTTCGCTCTTTTTGACGTTCCTAAAAAGAGAAAGAGAATAGGAACACTTACGGATGATTCGTGCATTTATTGAAATAAGCACACATTACCCATTACTACTCACATTTTTTCCTTCCATTCTCAATTTCCTTGCAACTTCCAACCGCGACTTTCTTCAAAAAATGATTCCGAATTTGGATTCCGAAGAACCCTTTTATAAAAGAAAGTTGATTAAGTGATTACATTTTAAAATATGTAATATGTATGGTTTAATTCAGGGAGGACGATATAATACAACAGGGCACTTCTTGCCGTATTAAGTGCACTACAACCAATACCAGTCTGGAACAATTCTGACAAAAATTCACTCCATTTTCTACAGTTGCGGAAATCGTATGAACTTGCTTTTCACCAGAGTATAGGTGCCATCGTTTGATATACGGGTCGTATTGCTTTTGTGTACTTTCTCTTCAAGACTGCAGGACCAATTTGGCAGCCCGGCCTAAAAGTCCACCGTTATGGAGAATCCCCCCCCCCCGAGATTTGACATAGCAGTAGAACCAGCTTTGGATATAGTGGATGAACCAAGCTTGGTTGGCTGGGTTGAGTCAAAAAACGCTTTGCCACTGGCAGCTGAATTGGCTCCTGGAGTAACATTCTCATAACTTTGGGCCACCAAGACTGAGTCGGCCAATTCGGAATCATTAGCAGTCCTGTTGTCTTGTCTTTTTTAATTTTTTCTAAACTTCTGGAAGGATACTAAAAGGTGGAAGTGCATAAAATGAATTCTTTGACCACAATATAATGAATTCATTAATGGCACAAGCTTCCGGATCTGGATTAAAAACCACAAAAGACGTGAATTTATAGTTGAGCCTTGAGGTAAATAGATCAATATCAGGTGTAAACTGAGCACACTGTATTGCCTGTGACAGGAAATCAGAGTCAAGGGCTACTCACTGGAGCCTGAGGCCCTACGCGACCCTTTATCAGCAAGGGTAATTGTTATCCCGGGAATATGCGAAGCGGAAAGCTATACCTTATTATTTACACACCAATCCCATACTGATTTACAAGCGATATTGCATTCTCTAGCGTGACTTTTACCCATATGATTCAAGGTAGCTACAGCTGTGGTATTATGATTATACTCATGAATGTGATTACCTTTCACCACATTGCAAAATGCTTTTAGTGTCATAACACCACTGCTAATATTTCCAGATACTTTATATGAAAGGAAGATTCTGTAGGAGTTCACTAGCCCCCTGTGCTAGTGTCTTTCAACACTCCACCCCAACCAGTAATTGAGGCATCAGTTTGTATAACCGTAATAGTGAGCTTTAGCAAAGACTACGAGTACGACTACGAGTACGATTTACGTCATTTTGGCGCAAAAACATTGTTGCGACAACAAAAACACGTAGCCGTCATCAATCTGAGTACGATGTTTTTAAAAAATTCGTAGTCGCGACTACGATGTCTTTTTAAGCAACGAATGCAGGTATATTTCTTCATTCTGTAAGAAATTAGTTTACAGTACTATTTTCGAGCATCCAGGCTTTAATTTAGAACCTTTTTTTAAGCGCTGGATGTACATTAAAAAGGAAAATATGACCTGCAAAACTTTCATGTATTTCGTACGCAAAGTGAAAGGTAAACAAACAATAAAATACAAATATATCGTACATAAAACTTAAAATAGTGAAGATTTTTCTGTCTAAAGAGTGCAGTAATCAAGCAAAATCAGTATTACCGATTCGTAGCTACTTCGCAAACTTCGACGTTTTACAAAATAAAAATGCTCGTTCTGTTGTTTACAACTAAAACAAAATTTTGACGAAGCGACAACGACAACAAACTTCCTCGTGCCATTCTTTTACACGGTCAAACTTCGTACTCGTTGTCGTAGTCGTACTCTTGCCAAAGCTCCCTATTATACGTGCTATGGGATATTACATTAAATGTATTGGGGATAGAAGCCACCCACCATTGTACATCATCAATACTAGAATGGGATAAGGTCATAAAAGTATTAAAATTCCCCTTAGTTTCCCAAAGAGAATTATTTTTATCCATGTCAATGCTGCGGTAATGAAGAGAACCAAACATGACAGCAGAAAAACTTGCTGTCATCATGTCAACAAGTGATGCAACCTCACGTGAGGTTTTCTAGGTTTAGAAAGCACTACTCGGCAGCACTGAATTAAACCTTCTGTTCTATCTGGAGTTAAATAGACTTTCATATCCACTGAGTCTAATATGAACCCAAGGTATGTAAACCTTTACGTTGGTAACTGGACTGATTTTTCCGGGTGAGGAATAAAACCTAGCCAGTGAAAAATACTCAAAGTACATTTTACATTTGCAACACAGTCTACATAATCATCCCCTTGCAAATACGAGTCATCTATGTACCCTGATGACTCATGACCTTGTTGTCTTAAAGGAGAGTAGACAGGTTTAAGGAATTTAGTAAACATTCGAAGGCAACATGCAAGCCCATTTGGAAAGCAAACAAATTTGTATAATTCTCCTTGCCAACGAAACTTGAGGTACTTTTGGTGATCTGGGGAGATAGGTACCGAGTAATAGGCACCTTATAAATCAACTGAAGCCATATAACAATGTGGTTTCATCAAGCTAATGGCAGATTGCAAAGTATCCATTTTGAAATGATGGTAAGTGAAATAACTTTAGGTTAAGAATCATACGATACGATCCATCTTTCTTAGAAGTAAGGGAGATGGGTGAAATAAGCACCCTAGACTCAGAAATAGAAGGGACAATAACATGTTTAGCAAGTAGAATGTTGATTTCCAAATTGATGCGAATTCTATCATTGCAGCTAAATAGTTGCTTTTCAGGCGATTTTGTTTGCACAGGGGGTGAGGAGAATTCTATATGTGCTTCTGACACCATGTCTAAATTAAATTCATCTGAGGTTAGCAATTTCCATTTCTCCACATTCCATTTTTTTAAACTTTTGGAAAGATACTAAAAGGTGGAAATGCATAAAATGAATACTTTGACCACGATATATCGAATTTATTGGCATAAGCTTTCGGATCTGGTTTAAAAGCCACAAAAGACTTGAATTTATAGTTGAGCCTTGAGGCAAATAGATCAATATCACGTGTAAACTGAGCACACTGTATTGTCTGTGACAGGATAGCAGACTCAAGGGCCCACTCACTGGAGCCTGAGGCCCTACGCGACCCTTTATCAGCAAGGGTATTTGTTATCCCGGGAATATGCAAAGCGGAAAGCCATACCTTATTATTTAGACACCAATCCCATACTGGTGGACAATAACACGTTTAGCAAATAGAATGTTGATTTCCAAATTGAGAAGAATTCTATCATTGCAGGTAAATAATTGCTCTCTAGGCGATTTTGTTTGCACAGGGGGTGAGGAGAATTCTATATGTGCTTCTGACACCATGTCTAAAATAAATTCATCTTAGGTTAGCAATTTACATTTCTACACATAAGAAGCCAGTCTACCGGCCTTAAATTCCGTAACTTTAAGTCAGAAAAATTTTAAAAGAGCTGGTATAAAGGAGGCAAAATCCTGTACCTGTAATGTACGTAAGGTTTTGACCATATCTTGTGTACTCCAGGTTTGGTCTTTTTCCATTGTCTCTCGAATTGGGCTCCATGGCCTTACCTGCTCCATGGGGAACGGTCCGACTTCCCACGTCTTTCCCTCAAAAAAGAACTTTGGTCACTTTTGGATGGATGTTTCCAAGACTCTTTGCTTTTAATAGGCTGTCCTGAAGACCGTGATGAGGCCATTGCTTTCCAATCTTATTGGATGCTTTGATGTTGTTAATTTGAGCCTGGAACTCTTCCCCAAATAGAAACTCAGTGACTGGTACCTGTGGTGAGCAAATAGATGCTAATTCCTTATTTAAACAAGGTCTTATAGCTTGTCTTCGATGCATAGACAATTGATGGGTAGCATGACCAAGCAATGCCAAAGCATCAGTATTTATTGTTAGCAGTTTACCTGTATTCAAATTAGCTGTAACCGAATTGGGTTTGAGCAACGACTCAGCTGAATGTGCGAGGGCTGTGCTTGCTTGTTGATCACGCGCACTCTCACGTGACTCCTTAGCGAGCAATAACCAATGATGAAGAAGAATCCTGTGGAGACTAGATCATCACGCCTCTTGATACAACACTTTAACATTTCAATACAATAATACAAATGTTATGGTCATCAGGTCATATGGGGATTGCTATGTTACAGAGATACTTGGAAAAGCAGCCATTGACTAAAGATTTGTATTGTCAAATAGATAACAGACGCTTTCTGAGCTCGTAAAATTGAAGTTGTAGTCGGCATCTCCAGCTGGTAGGGAGAGTCGACGAAGAAGAGCCAAAACTATCAACAAAAAATTTGTATACACGAAAAATCTACAATGTTTAACCAGTAGAAAATTATGGAAAAAAGTTTCTAGAAAAGGACAAGGAACTAAGGGATGATCGAATAGGAGAAAAAGTAGGAATGAGTTCCTCAAGGGGAGTGGGACAGGGGGTGCATACCTCTCCTAGCAAATGCTGAAAGAGACGCAAGAGGGTGCTGATTTGCTTTAAGTAAGCAATCATGGATTCAAAGATAGATGCGGAATGAAAAAATGGTTCGGTTTCCAAGTTGCTGTGCTAGATAACACAGTGAATGACAGTTGTAAGTGGATACGTACGAAAACTTTACCTCGGAAATAGTTCTCTTGATAAGTAACACCGCACTGACACAGTGTTCCGTTAGAAACAATAAGTAAAGACCATTATAGTAAAGGATTTCTGTTGCAAGAAAAGGCAGTGAAATTATTCATCGTTAGAAACACAATCAAAAGACTTAATCTATCAACTTAATAAGTTTTTACTACGAAATGTTTCCCCTTCAAAGCAAATGAAGATGTCGTGATGAGCGAATCCGGTTTAGTGTAAAGGCTTTCTTTAGTGCATAGTTATAAAATATCTTACACAATAACTTTTTTTCCATTACCTTTAGTAAGTCTCCGTCTGGTCAAGTGAATGAACTATTCCACTTCACAACATACGTCAATCTGTCAAAGTTGGTTTCTCTCCAAGTTTTTGTCGGTGCTCAAGCAGTAAATAATTTGAGGAAAATGAGGTAAAATTATTTTGCAAATCTTCAACTGAATTATGTGATAGATGATCAAGTATTGGCGTTGATGGGTTATTTAAACTGGTACAAAAAAGCTTTAAATTAAGCTTTTCGACAGTATTGAAAAAACATCATAACTCCTGGATAGCCATTGTAATGTGTGGACTTCGAAAATGCATTTGATTGTCAAATATGTAAGAAATTCAATGTCATATTAAAGTTTATAAATTTTGTGTTCAAGTTATGACAAGAAAATTTAAGTTTATGTTATTCAAAGATCATTTTTAAGAATTTTCGTTTCCATCATGCTTACATTGCGTGCGAAGACTGGGCTCTACTGGCATAAAAATTTCCACAGACGTAGACTTTCAATTTTTTCGTTCAATGGCACAGTACAGGAAATATACAGTAGGTCCAGTTCGCTGTGCAACTGTCTGTTTATTTAATAAGATTACTGGCTGTCGTTAGTTATTTCATAATTCCTATTGTGTCATTATGGTAATCACATTCGTAATAATATATGCGCGACATGAAAAAATTCAATGTAATGGCTGTACTGTATATTTAGTACACTGTCTCAATGGTTGAACATAATAAAAGGCCTGAGATCCATTGGCCAAATTTGATTTTTTACCCTACTAAAAAAAACACGTATCTTCTTCGGTTCGCTACATATCACTTCATGTTTCCTTTTTACATAAAGCTACTTTTCTTTCATTTCCTAGGTTCTACCTGGTAGTTACTATATGATACCAAATTATAATTTATATAAGCTCGTTTGTATAATTGTACTTTGATTATCTCTTTTTAAAATATGCAATTTACAAATAATACAATTTTATCTTAGTAATACCGTTGAACTAAAATACATGCAACTCTGCCAGCAGCAAGAAATATTTGTCGTTAACAATGTGTGAAACACTGTTAACGATAAATATTTGCTCACTCAAGAAAGAACGCTCACAACCAAGAAAGAATAACACGTAAACGTTTAAACATGCTCGCTAAATTAAACGAGCAAAATTGTACGTAAAAGATTTTTTACGAAGACATTGAACATTTGTTTGGCTGACAGTATAACAAGAAAAACACATCGAACATATCAAATAAAGTAAATGGTTTGAACCCATCAGTATCGTTACATGTTTGTAGATGTAGAACCAGATAACAAATACGGCTAACCTGACGTTTACTCCTCATTTGACTCTGAAGATTACTATCGCTAAGTTTGTTGAAACGTCAGTCAATAACAAAAAAACAGTCCTTCTCAGGACTATACTAACCTGGACGATCTACATCTACAAACATGGAACATATCAAATGTTGTAGTTTCGTATTTTAATAAAAACTATACCCCCGAAACACATTCTGTCCTTTGTTTTTCATTCTTTTTTGAATCAACACCGGTTGCTTTGTAATTTTCTCTACAAAAAAGCAGCAGTTAAAACAATTCACTCGCCGAGACATAATCGTTAAACAGTAAAGACGCGCGTCTGCGATAAAATCTCGAGTGTTTGAATGTAAAATTTAACTTCGTTTGATTATTAGGATTTTCTACTACAGCTAGTGTTTCATGTATCATAGTTCAACGAGTAATACGCAGGTATGTTATCTAGAATATTAATAATATCGTCAACAGGTTTGGTTCGGTTGCATTAAAATTTAAACTCTCGTAAAGCAGATGTACATAGAAAAAACACTTGAGAAAAACGACGATTTTTTTGAGAGCAAACATGTTTCGACATTATCAGAATGCCATCTTCAGTGCAGAATGATTAGTGTAAAGTAATATGATACATAATATGATATGAGTAAATTAATTACAATGAGTATTAAGTATAAATAACTATAACGTAAGTTCTAAAAATAAGTATTAAGAATTTATAACAAAAGTATTATTATAAAGTAAATATAGTGTTGTAGTGGTGAACTTGGATATTTAAATCGGGATTAGTTTTATTAATGTGTAGAGCTTCCTTGATTTTGAGTGAGAAAGTGGATTGATCAGTGTCGATGATTTTGAAACAGGAAGGTGAGAATTTGTTTTTACATGAAGGAGAGGCTTGAAGATGTTTGTAGATAGTGGAGTTTTTGTCTGTGTGAGTATGTTCCTTTATCCTGGTAGATAATTGGCGAGAAGTTTCACCAATAGAACGGGAATTACATCCCGCACATGAAAATTGATAAACTACCACAGATTTGGAAAGTTCGGGAAGTGGGTCTTTAAACGAAAATAAAGATTATATTTTGAAAAATGTGAAAATAAGTTTAACGTCAATGTCAGTGCAGTAGCGTTTAATGATTTGTGTGAGTTTGCGTTGTGTGTGTCGTGAGTAATCACCTATGTAAGGTAGTTTGAAATAACGTTTATTGTCAGGTTGTTGTATATCGTTAGTGTTAGTTGTGGAGTTAGATGAGTCAGTGCTTTTCTTGTTGTCCAAATAGTGTTGTATAGTGTTGTTGATGAAATGAAAAGGAAAAGAATTACGTTGGAGAGTGAATATTAGTTTCTTTAAATCACGTTGAAAGCCGATGTCTGTGTTGTTGAGTTTCCGTGCTCTGTCGGTCAGTGTTCGTATCAGTCCAATTTTGTAATTTAATGGTGTGAAACTAAAAAAGTTAGTCAGTAGTCCTGTATATGTTGGTTTGTGGTACGTAGAGGTCATACAGTTTTCATGTGATTTAGTTAGTAAGATGTCAAGAAAGGGTAACTGATTGTCAAGATGTCAAGAAAGGGTAACTGATTGTCAATAGATTCTTAACGATTCTTTCTGCAAACCATTGTCACTGTACCAAAGTAACCTTCATAACCTACATTCATAGCATTATGACATTTATTTTCTTTTACCTTGATTTGACAAATATAGAAACGTCGGTAATGAGCTGTTGGCATAACGAAAATCAATATAATCAGACGCTTTCCATCCAAATTTGTCGCTGATCTCATTCTTCAAAGAATCTTCATCATTTTCTCTCCTTTACTACAGTCACATACAAACGTGGTTCTGGGTTGAATGTTATCCCGCAATATCCATTTATCCAAGAAAATCTACAAAACAATAATTCCTAATTTAGAACATACATCAAGTAGGAAAAGACATTTATTTTCGGTAAACTGGGCAATTTTTACTAAAATATAGCGTAGTATCACAATTGAAATTTTATAATCGCATACTTTTAAAAGCAAAAAATTAATAAAAAAAGTTTTTCAGAAAAATTAAACACGCGTCAGTCACTGCTTTGAATTATAAGTGCGGGAAATTACGGTGGCCGGTACGGGTCACCAGAAAAATAATTTAAAAAACATAACAAAGAATAAGAAAACATCACTCAAAATCATACTACACATTTCAAAATACTCACTACACATTTCAAAATACTCACTACACATTTCAAAATACTCATTCGTCCCAGTCTTACCCTGGTCTGGCCTGCCCACGGTCATCATTAGTTTCCATCTGAAACTGACGTGACATCATAAAGTAAGCATATTAAATATATAATTCCACATTTCACAACACAAACAAATTGGGACATTGGGATAATAGCATGAAAATATTGGCTGAACTCTACTTAGAAATTCTTCCAGGGTTTTGCTGGTCTTGGTCGGGCCACAAGATTAGTAGACGATCTACATATCGAAGCAAATGTATTTGCAGTGGCTTTCGAAAAATGTCCGTACTTTAATAGCAAAAATTTGAGTATATGAGTTTGCATTCGCTAGGTCGCGTACGTTCTTGTGTGATGAGTTACAAAAATAACAAGGAAACCAAAGAAGAAATTTGCACATAGCGCTATAATTTGTTGCACAAGAAACGCCAAAGAAAATAAAAAGTTTGGTAATTTCGAGTAAAAGCAATAAATTTAGAACTTCAATACCAATTACGTCAATAAGTGCATTAGTTAAACTAATGATTGTCGAATATCACCAATACAAATACAATTATATGCAATCTGTACATTGACCACTCATGTTGTGTGGTCTAACCAAGACCAAGAAATCCCTGGAAGAAATATTACTAATAGTTCATGTACGCGTATTGCATATTTTGATGCTATTGTGGCGATATGTTTGTCTATGTGCCGAATTTCACAAAGACAACATATCGCCACAATAGCGTCAAAATATCCTTAAGCGTACTGAACTATTAGTAATATCAGAAGCATATATTTATATTAGCTTTCTGACATCACGTCAATTTCGTATATGGAAACTAATGACGACCGTGGGCAGGCCAGACCAGGGTAAGACTGGGACGAATGTGTAGCGAGTATTTTGAAATGTGTAGGGAGTATTTTGAAATGTGTAGGAAGTATTTTGAAATGTGTAGTGAGTATTTTGAAATGTGAAGAGTATTTTGAAAGTAGTGAATTTGTGAAAGTGAGTATTTTGAATGTGTAGTGAGCATTTTGAAATGTGAGTATTTTGAAATGTGTAGTGAGTATTTTTGTGTGTCAGTGAGTATTTTGAAATGTGTGAGTATTTTGAATATGTAGAGTATTTTGAATATGTAGTGGTATTTTGAAATGTGAGTATTTTGAAAAGTGAATTTTGAAATGAGTATTTTGAATGTGTAGTGAGTATTTTGAAATGTGTAGTGAGTATTTTAAAATGTGTAGTGAGTATTTTGAAGTATTTGAATGTGTAGTATTTGAAATGTAGTTGAAATGTAAATGTGTAGTATGATTTTGAGTGATGTTTTCTTATTGTTTGTTATGTTTTTTAAATTATTTTTCTGGTGACCCGTACCGGCCACCGTAGGAAATGATTGAATTCATTCCCTATTTTACAAAAAACGTTTGTCGTGCCTAATTACGTAGCTATACTTCACGACTTTTTAAATGTAAATACAACTTATAATTGAATGTATCTTATGCTTGGAGAAGAAACCTTTGAAAACATTTTTAAAAATTATTTTACAAGTCTTTAGTGGAGTTTTACTTACTGTTTTAATTTTTCAGTGACGTCTTTGCGAATACGGTAATAGTCGTCAAGAAATCCTCTGGTGAAATTGGGATCAAAATCATCTCCATCAGAATTTTCATCATCAGAATATATTTTGGACATATCGTTATCACTCAACATTTCAGGAACATCTGAAAGACAAAATTGTTATTAAAACACAATTTATACGCCTGTGATTGGTGCAGTAACCTGCGCCTGAAAAAACAAACTTGCCTCAGAAAAAATTATATTTTGTACGTAAATATACTTATTTCTGTGATATTGGCCCAGTACCATATTTTCCATTATCATGCAAAAACAATGACTTTACATTTTTTAACCATTTTATTAAGAAACTTAAAAACTTAAACAAAGCAAGAAAATCACACTCTTCTTTTAACTTATTGTTACAATTAAAACCTTTTTTTACTAATTACATTACAATTTATCTTGAAGTAATTCATTGCACCTGTAACTCTGTGTACATATCTAACAGGCTGGTTGTAGCTACATGTCATTCTAACTGATTATGATTTGAAATAAAGCAAAATAAAACAATAGCAGTATTGTATCTTGTTCATAAGAACATATTTGTGCCAGATAATTACAAATAAAATAAAATATAAGAAATACTTTCTTTTGTCTTTATAACACTGGTCAGCTAAAGATGTGATGCATTCAGCATCAGGAGCTTCCCATGACAGCATTTCTACAATTTATATTTTAAAAAGTGTCAGTAAGACAAGCTACATATAACAAGATGCCGGCTTAGGGCATGCACTTTCCTCAAGTGATTAAACCATTTCAGTATTTGTATGACCTTATCCAAACATGGAGAAGCATGAATGTTTCAAAATTGAGCCAGGTGATTTTTACGCTTTTGTTATGATGAGCAACATTCCTAATTGGTCAATCAGGCCATCTAAACCAATGAAAACCATTTAGTAGTAGTTTTATAAAATAAAAAAAAAACAAGAGGATAGTGTTGCAAGTATTATATAAATAAGGGAAAGTATGAAAGCTAAATTCACCCAAATAACATTGCTAAATTTTCCCAAACACATGAATATGTAAAGCTTTGTCAACAACAGAGCCAAAATATAGGCAAAACTTCTTACTCTAATACCTATATGTTTCATAATGTATCAAACAATATCTTCTACTCATATATATTTTGCATTCTTTCGAAAATGATGGCTTATATCATTGAATGATTACAGATTTACATTTTGCCACTCCTTGCAGGGGCCATATAGCAGAACAACAATACAGTGATGTTTGGCAGCTCGTCACTTAAAAGGAGCAAACATTTTTTGCTTCAAAAATCAATATTCATTCATGATGATACTTGTTCTAAATATATACAAATGTAGTCTTCCTTTTATGCACATTAAAACCAAAGATAGCAAATTGAAAAGCTAGCCACAATAAATAATGCAAGTCTACATGCTGTCCATGATCTTTCATCAAAGAGAATACCTCCTCATGGTGATCTGAGAAGTTGTGGATCTTACAAACATTCTTGCTTTAAGATTGAACGTTTTAAAAATGTCTTTTTAACACTAAATATGAATTGAAGTAAGTAAGTAGATACACCAGTTTAACTTGTTTTATTGGTAGTATGAATTAAGGAACAGCTATGTAATATTGTTTATATAAAAATATGTACTTATAGTATTAGTTATATGGTTTTTTATTAGTTAGAACCTTTGTAATTTAACCATATCTGTTGCAAAAAAAGAGTTCACATTTAATAAATACAAATATAAATTCAAATTCACGTCCAATTATTGATATCTACAGTATCAAAGCTTTTGTTCGTATGTTATTTAATGGTATTTTAAAGAACTTAGCGTTCTTACCTTGGTAAATGGCCTTATTAATTAAAATTTAGAGTTATAAAATACTCATTGTACATGTTCAGCTAACCTAGAAGAGAAATAATCTACAATTGAAGCATACAATTGAACATTCGCTAAAATGCTCCATGTCGATAACAAATGCATAGAGTTCGTCTGTAGACATGACTACACTGATAAGAACTTCATTCTACATATTTCACTGTAAAAATCGTTGATGTTTACGTGCAAAAAGTTTCAAACACAATTAGTAAAGCATGGAAAGCATTTCCTTCAATTTGTTCCAAACCGAAAGCACAATTTGATACATCAAACTTCTACGTTAAATGAAAACATAAAAACTGAGCGATTTGCTAGAATTAGCAAAAGCAATAAAGGATGAAGGATTCTTCATCCAATATAGACAATACAGACTGTTTCATATGCAATTTCTCGCGAATTTTTGTGTGAATGTTTTGATCATTTATTTAGGTTTTTTATCCCTAATCGCAACAGAAATACAAAAGTAGGTTTTAGCATGACATAGATGAAAAGAAATGCAATTGCATACCTGATTTCAAAACGAATAACCTGAGCAAAATATGAAATATTCCACACAAAATATTCCACAAAGAAATTAGTGGATAGAAATTATAATCGGTGACGTTACAGTTTGTCTTCCCCCCCTGTTAGAATAATTATTATTTTATCTTTTTTGTCTTTTTTTTGCTTAACATAAATGTGAATACAAACCAGGGCAGTGGCGTGCGGTGACCGAATTTAATAGGCAAGCGCTGGGGGTGAGCACTTAACTTTATAATTACGTAAAACTACTCAAATTTCAAGTACATTATCCGCTGTGTAATAACTGCACCTTCTTTAACCAAATATATAAAAAGCCTGTAAATAAATTCTAACACATAGAACACTCACGACTGTTGTAAATAACTTCTTCGCTAGTGAATAAAATAATCACAAAATTTAATAGCGTTTTAGTACGTTGAACTCACGTTCGGAGCTCATACGAAAGACTTATATATAACGCTAAAATCTACCGGAGACAAATATCAAAACTACTACGCAAAAGGAAGCTCTTGTCAATATCATAATCTTGTATTACATGCTACAGGTAATATCTTCTACATACATAAATTGCAAGACAATAGGCGCGAAATGTATTGTAGCAGTCGTGATTATAACAATTAAGAACAGCCAGTTTCGCGCACAAAATTGGCACGGCGTGTAACAAACTGAGGCCATGGCGTTGTTTAATGTTTATATTTTGGTATAATGACGTCATGGCAACGTGTTCTCCCGTTCTTCAAAATGTGTCTGGCACTGACTCGTACGTTTCAGAATATCGGAGAGTCGTGTTTATTATTTAGTATCTTGTAACTTTTATTTTTAGTCATTAATTTACGAATTCAACGACACAAGACTGACAAGAGCATAGTGTTTTGGTCATAATGCTAGTCATACTTTACCACAACACACGTTTGCGTGCATTTCGATATCTCTGCAGACTGCGGCCCCTGCTTGTTTACGCACATTGTGCGCAGAAAATAATAAAATAACCAGTAAAGCACCTACTACTTTGAATTAGAAATCAGAACATTACCTTTCGCTCTCAGTCATCTTTTAATAAACGATAACATTAACGGCGTGAATAATTCGGATGTCCAATGTGTTGAATATACGAATATTATTCGCGCGCTGATATGTGTTTAAAGTGCACATACAGCTATTTTTAGTTTTTTATTCTCAAATAGATTTTGGATAAATAATACAAATGCCGTTTACAGAATTTGAATAACTTTTTTCGTTTTTGAGTTATCTTTCGGTAAAGATGCGAATAAAACCTGAATTTCAATGTTTTGTAAAAAATGCCGAGAGCTCTAATCCGTGGCATGGGACTTACTTGTGACGTCATTTAAGCAACACAGACTGACTGCCAAAACAACTTACACTGTTTATGCATGTAAACAAACACAAAAATGCCAGATTGATGTGTAGTTTTTGGTTGTTCTAACGTAGCCAGTTCGGAGAAAGGCATTTCACTTCATCGCATACCATTTTTAACGACGAAAGAAGCGAAGCTAAGCGTAGGAAAAAGCGATGGGTCAACTTTGTGAAAGCTACTCGCGATAAGTGGGTCCCCACAAAGAATTCTGCAGTTTGCTCGGAACACTTCACAAAAGATTCGTTTTCTCGGCAATTCGGCTCGCTTTCTGAATCAGAAAGTAATTTTTCACCTCGACTCATTCGAGATGAATTCGGAATCGTTGCTTACCCGAGCATTTATTCTCGAAAAGATGACAATGAACTTACAACAAGAGATCGCAGAATGGTGAATACGTTAGAAATTATACATATGCATATCTACATTTTACCTGGAATTTGTGTGAGAGTATATTTCATAAATATATGTCATTTTACATGAAAAGAAAGTGGATGTCTGATTTTAAAGAGAGGTTGAATCAGAAAATATTCCAAGTACAAGTAGCGAACCTCAAGAGCAAATAGAAGAAACAACTTGTGATGAGCCTGTATTAGAGAAGGTAAACTTATATGATTATTACGCCACTGCTGTAAAGGTTAACGTAAATTATTGTTTTGTATATGTATTGCTGTTGTTTCTAATTTAGGAAGTAGCTGTGCAATGTGAATTACAATGCCAAAATTGTTTAAAACTTGAAAAAGAGAAACGTCGTTACAGGAACTTATGGCTTGGGGCAAAGTATAAGCTTCACTGTAGCAGAACTTATGCAAGCAGTTCTAATATGGATATGCTTGCAGTGGGTAAGTGTTTTTTAAGATAATACGCCTGTTAATTTTATTTCATGTATGATTCTAGGTCAAGAGAAGATTTGCCAACGTAATAGGATCAGCCATGTTTAATAACCTCAATTTCTACAATAGTACCAACTAAGCTTGCATGCACCCTGGAAAATTATTGAAGTTAATTACTAAGAAATATAGACTTAATCAACCTTGTGTAGCATTACTGAAGTATCTTATTTCATAGATGAGTATGACAACAACAGCAGCAATGAAGAATCATCAACTAGTTGCAAAGTGGTTGATCTTGATAGTTGTCCTGCTGAGGAGATTTTGGACCCAAATGATCTTAGTGGTGACTCAGACTCAGAGAGTGATCTTGGTGCTGAACAAAGTTAAGAGACTGAGACAGAAGAGACAATCACATCTAGTGACATGGAAGTTGACTCTGAATCAGAGCAGCCAAGAACATTTAAAAGGTAACAATTTTTGGATGAGAACTGTAATGTATCAATCACCATGACAATGTTAAAATAGTAGTGATTGTTAAATAAATCAAAGTTAAACAGCTTATTTAATCAGTCACTACCTTGATGACACAAATAATGTGTGCCAGTATGTAATGTAATTGTATTTATTTATAGCTACTATTGCATTTCATAAATTGAGTTTTTTCTTTTGTAGAGTGCTCAACAAAGACACCAACCTAAGAACAGAGAAAAAATTCATTGTGTTCTTCACCCAACTGTTTGAACTTTTTAAATTCTGCCCAATTTGCAAATCAGATGATGTTCTTGTTGAGATATTGCAAAATGGTTCAATGGAAAAAGTGAAAGTTAGTTGTTCCAATCAAAAATGTGGAGCAGCCACAACATGGAATAGTCAACCAGTCATGACTGGGACTTCCATTCCTGCTGGAAATTTGCTATTGTCATTTGCTATTTTTACTGCTGGAACCTCTGCCACAAAGGTGATCAGAGTTCTACAGCACGAAATGACATAAAAATGAAAGGCCATAAAAATATAATGAACTGTCCAAAAAACCGAAAGTAACCAGTTTTTAGGACCTGGTGGTATGAGCCCAGTTAGTTGGGATTCAGTGAAGTGAGAATTGACTGCATGGAAAGAATAAAGAGAAAGGAATTGTAATTTTGTATGTTTTGTATAACAAGTATAAGTGTGAAATGAAGATGCAATATATCAAGAGTGGCTTAAATCATTCCACACTTTACTGAATCCCTACTAGCTGGGCTCATGCAAACAACACCTAAAATGATATATAATGTTATGTTATTTTACAGATTGTCCTCTTCATACCCTGCAAAGTGTTCATTTTTTTTTAAATTAAAAGTTTTTCGAATAACATGGTAAGCACAAGCTGGAAGTGGAATTCTTTTGTCTCGAAGAATGCCATTTACCATTCTTGTAAATTGTCTATATGCAACAACTCGAAAAAACCTGAAAAGGCATAATACACAAGGTCCATTAAAACAGGTAGGAGTCCATAAAATACAAATTTTGCAAGTGTGCATTCATAGATAACCCAGACAGAAACATTTAACTATTAATTCTAACAAACCTTTGCTCCAAGAATCCTTTATGATATCTAACTCCATCTCGTCTTTGGTAAAGATTGGCAGCTAAATTTAATACCCATCGATTGAGGCAAATGGCATCAAATCCTGGATGCTCTGTTATGCATTTTGGCTGCCTTCCTAATTCGGATACCACCATATGATCTTGCATTTCAATCATGCAATTGGCAATTTCGTGGCAGCATCTACATTCTTTTGGATTAACCAAGAGAGGAACACGGCAGTTACCACAATTGCACCTACGAAAGTTATCTGTCAAAAGCTTCGGAAACAATAAATAAACAAATTTTCCAACTTTTCTTACCAAGAATCAAGAGGAACTTCATTTTGCATTCTGCGTTCGAGCTCTTCTGTTTGGCGTCTTTCTTCTTCTGTCTCTCTACTATAGTTTTCTAACCACTCTTCATCTGCAAGTGGTTCGTTTTCATACGCTTCAGCTTGGCCATACTTAAAATCGCCATCGGTGTTGCGGAGCGCATTTGATGACGATTGATCTTCGTCTTCTAAATCGAATTCCCGACTGTTCAATTCAATATTTTCCGCTGTTGTTGCTGTACTCGACTCAGAATCAGATGTCGACATGTTTCGTACAATTTTTATATTAATTTCAAAGCAATATATAAAGAATTGTTATTTCACACTATGTTGTTTTGTATGCAGCGCATTCATACGTTCCTTAAATGACGTCACAAACCTCTCGTTTTAAGTCCCCTCAGCGGCGCGGAAATTTCTCAAAAGCAAGCTAATTCAAACCGCAAAAAAAACTTTGTTTTTTCTTTTTTTACGAATTTTTTTTCGAAATCATGTTTTCCACAGTCTAAACTTTTAAAATTTCAACGAATTTGGAAAGGCTGTATGTGCACTTTAAAATTGCGAGCGTACAAGACTGTTGACCAATCGCTATCAAGCGGCGCCCTTAGAAGCGCCGCTTGCCTTTTCTCGATATTCCTCGAATAAGAAGCCTCCAAATCTAGATTAACGCATGCGCAAATGATGTGTGTGGTGTGTGTGGTGAAGGCATAGATAGCAGTTTGAAAATTATTCAACTGACAACGTATAAAAAGCAAAGCACGTGTGCGCATTGTACGTATGTTTTAAAATATTGTTTATGTCTTTTGTAGATCTGCTTCATTGCACTTTTTCTTTTATCTTTTGTTTTTACTTTGCTTTAGATAAATATATTAAAATATAAAACTAGGCGTTGTTATTCTTCGCTTTTAACTTCCGTGTTTATCAAACGTCGAATGAGAATTTCAACGTATTTTCTATCTTCAACTTGTTGCGATAAACAAATAATTTCGTCTAATCTTGGATTAATTTTGACCGTGAATTATATAGGAAAACGTATGAAATGGCTTGTCGTCCTAATAATTACGATTCATATGGATATGATGAATCAAGATTTGAAAGCCCTGTCAACGATAATTTTTATTGTCCAATTTGTCTCAATGTTATAAAAGATGCCAGAATGTGCCATAATGAACACATCTTTTGTCGTAAATGTATCGAAGAACATCTACGAGTTAATGCACAAAGATGTCCTCAATGTCAAGATAATTTGACTGTATCTACACTTCTTCCAGCGCGTGTTATAAATAATATGATTTCAAAGTTAAAGATCAACTGCAACTACGCTAATCGTGGTTGTCCGGAATTTATAAACGTTGAAGATCTTGAAAGACATGTTGAAAATTGTGGTTTTGCTCCAGTGTTGTGTTCTAATGTAGGTTGTGGTCTGGAGATAAACAAACGAGACAAGATTAAACATGAAAATGAGTTATGTGAATACAGAAAGATTCCTTCTCACGACTTTGAAGAGATTAGAGAAGTGTTTCAAAAAAGTTTTGATCAAGTGAAAATGCAGATGGCTAAAATAAATGCAAAAATGGATCAAGATAGAACTGAAATAAATAAAAAAATTAATGATGTATCTGGTCAGTCTACGAAAGAAATAATGGAATTAAAGAAAGAAATGTTGGAATCAAGGAAAGAAATAAAAGATGTTCAACAAAACCTTTCTACAATGACCAAGGAAATGAAAGAAATGAAAGCAATGATGTTTCAAATGTTCGAAAAGATAAATATAAATGAACAACATGTTCAAACATCAACATCACCAGTTGAAATGTTGATTAACTCTGTAAGAAGTGATATTTTGGTTGCTGGAGGTTCCTCACGTGGTCCCTCAAGTGTTGAAATATTTTCATGGAAGGAGGAGAAATGGTGTAAGACTGCATCAATGGAAAATCAACACTGGAAAGCTTCATCATTTATTTATAATGATAATTTATTTGTTGTTGGAGGTTGTGGCAGCGGAAAGTCAATAGAAATATTGAATATAAAACAGTTACCTTTGACATGGAGAAAATTTTCTGCAGAGCTTCCTTATGGATGTCGGAATCATCAAACTGTTGTTTATAAACAACAAATCTTTCACATTGGAGGATATAATTATTATAATTATACAACATTGGATCAAATTAGTGAAATACAGATTACAGGTACAACATCTTATGTTTTGAAAGAGTTGTGTCGTATGCCTGAACGAGATGGCCATGGAGCTGTTGTTGTTTATGATAAAGTTCTTATTTTTGGAGGAGAGGAAAACAATGGCAAAGTTTTGTCCAGTGTTTTGGAGTTTGATCCAAGGACTCTTACATGTAAGGAAATGCCTCCATTACATCATCCATTGACTGAAATGGCAAAAGTTCCATGGAGAGATCAAGTTGTTCTTCTTGGAGGTTATGATGGAGAAAAAAGTTTGAACAGTGTTTTCATGTATGACTGTAATACAGGAAATATTACAGTCTTACCATCCATGTTGGAAAAGAGATCCATGTGTTGTGCAGTTATAACTGGTGATACAATTGTTGTCATGGGAGGTGTGAATGATAAAGGTGAAGTTCTTAAATCAGTGGAGTGTTTCGAAATGGGAAGTAGTTCTTCATGGACATATCTTCCTTCGATGAATGAACCACGAAATGGAGCCATTGCTGAAATTTTACCCTTTGGTCAAAACTATTTATAAGCACAGAATTTTTCTCTAAATATTCAAAACATTATAACTCAGTAAAATTTGTTTATATTAAAGCTAAACATTACTTAAAATTGAATATGTAAACTTACAATGTTCATGTAACCTTTGATTATTATAATAAATTACTGGAGAAATAAATGGTTTTAGTATTTTACTAATTACAGAGACGAAAAGAAAACTTATTGCTTTAGTATTTGTTCAGAATCTTCAAACTTACAACTGTGTATGAGTTTGACCAGTGGTGTTGTCGATCATAGAGATTATAAATAATACTAGAGGTGGCATCGTAATATAATCAGTGAATATAATCTATACTCCAAAATACGGCACACATTTTTGGGGGGCAAAATCGATTGCCTGATGTTACGATACAGTGACGAACTATGATTTTTTGACTTTTTTGTTTTTATTATACGCAAATACAATAGTGAATATTGTTACAATCGATTTCTTGAACTATTTTTTTCTTTTCATCGTAATTTTAGAGGATACCTAATAAGGATAAGAAATTGGAGCTTCGAGTCAAAGATCTGGCTATTTAAAACAAATTGTCAAATTCTTTTTTCACGAATTTGCAACGCGTTTGCCATATTAAAAATTTGTTTGTCTAAATTCCATAGCGCTAAAAAATAAAAAAAATTTATCTTGTGAAACAAACATCTTTTTGCGTTGCTTCCGTCAAGCAATCCACTCCTCTTTTGGTTCACAGGTCTTCAACTCCTTTTTATTTTAACTTTTCATTTATTTTAAAACCAAGAAATGCAATGCAGCATTGCAGTATTCTGGCTGTCTTAGAATTGATTAATTATATCTTAGCTATTGGTAAATAATTACTGAAAAATGTGAGTCGACCTTTAGCAGTGCTCACTCTTATATCGCGCCCCCCTAAAATCAATAAATGCATATTATGTATGCATTATTACGTCTTATTACATTTTGTTTCAGATAAGCGTCCGTGACGTACACATGCAGCACATAGCTTCTATAAGTTCTATCTTGGAACGTTTTACGTTTGCTATTCAAACAATGGCAAAGAGACTGTATTCTGAAGTTGTTATCTCAAGTGGATAAGGGTCTTCCGCTAAAAAAGAACTTTGGTCATTTTGGATGGATGTTTCCAACACTCTTTGCTTTTAATAGGCTGTCCTGAAGACCGTGATAAGGCCATTGCTTTTCCAATCTTATTGGATGCTTTGATGTTGTTAATTTGGCCCTGGAACTCTTCCCAAATAGAAACTCAGTGACTGGTCCCTGTGATGAGCAAATACATGCTAATTTCTTATTTAAACAAGGTCTTATAGCTTGTCTTCGATGCATAGACAATTGATGGGTAGCATGACCAAGCAATGCCAGAGCATCAGTATTTATAGTTAGCAGTTTACCTGTATTCAAATTAGCTGTAACCGAATTGGGTTGGAGCAACAACTCAGCTGAATGTGCGAGGGCTGTGCTTGCTTGTTGATCGCGCGCACTCTCACGTGACTCCTTAGCAAGAAATAACCAATGATGAAGAAGAATCCTGTGGAGACTCGATCATCACGCCTCTTGATACAACACTTTAAAATTTCAATACAATAATACAAATGTTTAGGTCATCAGGTCATATATAGATGGCTATGTTGCAGAGATACTTGGAAAAGCAGCTATTGATTCAAGATTTGTATTGTCAAATAGACAACACACGCTTTTCTGAGCTCGTAAAATTGAAGTTGTAGTCGGCATCTCCAGCTTGTAGGGAGAGTCGACGAAGAAAAGCCAAAACTATCAACAAAAAATTTGTATACACGAAAGATTTACAATGTTTAACCAGTAGAAAATTATGGAAAAAACTTTCTAGAAAAGGACAAGGAACTAAGGGATGATCGAATAGGAGAAAAAGTAGGAATGAATTCCTCAAGGGGAGTGGGACAGGGGGTGCATATCTCTCCTAGCAAATGCTGAAAGAGACGCAGGAGGGTGCCGATTTGCTTTAAGTAAGCAATCATGGATTCAAAGATAGATGCGGAATGAAAAAATGGTTTGGTTTCTAAGTTGCTGTGCTAGATAACACAGTGAATGACAGTTGTAAGTGGATACGTACGGAAACTTTGCCTCGGGAATAGTTCTCTTGATAAGTAACACCGCACTGAAACAGTGTTCCGTAAGAAATAATAAGTGAAGACCATTATAATAAAGGATTTTTGTTGCAAGATAAGGCCGTGAAATTGTTCAACGTTAGAAACACAATCAAATAGACTTAATCTATCAACTTAATAGGTTTTTACTCCGAAAAGTTTCCACTTCAAAGCAAATGAAGATGTCGTGTTGAGCGAATCCGTTATATTGTAAAGGCCTTCTTTAGTGCATAGTTATAAAATATCTTACATAATAACTTTTTTTCCATTACCTTTAGTATGTCTCCCTCTGGTCAAGTGAATGAACTATTCCACTTCACAACATACGTCAATCTGTCAAAGTTTTTGTCGGTGCTCAAGCAGTAAATAATATGAGGAAAATGAGGTAAAAATTATTTTGCAAATCTTCAACTGAATTATGCGATAAATGATCAAGTATTGGCGTTGATGGATTGTTCAAACTGGTACAAAAAAGCTTTAAATTAAGCTTTACGACAATATTGAAAAAACATCATAGCTCCTGGAGAGCCATTAGAATGTATGGACTTCGAAAATGCTTTGATTGTCAAATATGTAAGAAGTTCGATCTTATATTAATTTTTATAAATTTTGTGTTTTAGTTATGACAAGAAAATTAAGGTTTATGTTATTCAAACATCATTTTTAAGAATTTTCGTTTCCATCATGCTTACATTGTGTGCGAAGACTGGGCTCTAGTGGCATGAAAATTTCCACAGACGTATACTTTCAATTTTTTGGTTCACTGGCACAGTACAGGAAATATACAGTAGGTCCAGTTCGCTGTGCAACTTTCTGTTTATTTAATTACATTACTGGCTGTCGTTAGTTATTTCATAATTCCTATTGTGTCATTATGGTAATCACATGCGTAATAATTAATATATACGCGACACAAAAAATTCAATAGAAAGGCTGTACTGTATATTTAGTATACTGTCTCAATGGTTGAACATAATAAAAGGCCTGAGTTCCATTGGCCAAATTTCATTTTTTTACCCTACTAAAAAAAACACGTATCTTCTTCGGTTCGCTACTTATCACTTCATGTTTCCTTTTTACATAAAGCTACTTTTTACCATTTCCTGGGTTCTACCTGGTAGTTACAATATGATACCAAATTATAATGTATATAAGTTCGTTTGTATAATTGTACTTTGGTTATCTCTTTTTAAAATATGCAATTTACAAATAATACAATTTTATCTTAGTAATACCGTTGAACTAAAACACATGCAACGCTGCCAGCAGCAAGAAATATTTGTCGTTAACAATCTGTGAAACACTGTTAACGATAAATATTTGCTCACTCAAGAAAGAACACTCAAAACCAAGAAAGAAAAACACGTAAACGATTAAACATGCTCGCTAAAAAAAAACAAGCAAAATTGTATGTAAAAGACTTTTTACGAAGACATTGAACATTTGTTTGGCTGACAGTATAACAAGAAAAACACATCAAACATATAAATGTTGTTGTAGTTTCGTATTTTAATAAAAACTATACCCCCGAAACACCTTCTTTTTTTGTTTTTCATACTTTTTTGAATCAACACCGGTTGCTTTGTAATTTTCTCTACAAAAAAGCAGCAGTTAAAACAATTCACTCGCCGAGACAGAATCGTTAAACAGTAAAGACGCGCGTCAAGGATAAAATCTCGCGTGTTTGGATAAATATTAATTTCGTTTGGTTATTAGGATTTTCTACTACAGCTAGTGTTTCATGTATCATAGTTCAACGAGTAAAACGCAGGTATGTTATCTAGAATATTAATAATATCGTCAACAGGTTTGGTTCAGTCCCATTAAGATTTAAACTCTCGTAAAGCAGATGTACATTCAGTACCAACCTCGAGTAACATGACTTGACTCGCGAGTATCGAATGGCGAGTGGGCAAGTGACTCGCGAGTCAATTCCAAGTCCCTCGAGAGGGACGAGTTGCGATTGAGCGAGTCACTCGCGATGCAGTTGCGAGTCCCTCTCGAGTGTGAGAAGTTTGCGAGTGAATAAGTGACTCGCTGTTTGCGACTGAATAAAATAACTCGCAAAAATTTCTTTTTCCAGGTTCTTAAGTGTAGTGACAAGTAAAATTCGTTCAACATTTCGAAGGCAACGGTTAAATATTTTTTATGAAACATGGGAGCAAAACGACTGTCATTTGAAGCAATAACTCACTCTCGAGTCACTCGCCCATTCGCCATTCGATACTCGCGAGTCAAGTCATGTTACTCGAGGTCGGTACTGTACATTCTTAACGATTCTTTCTGCAAACCATTGTCACTGTACCAAAGTAACCTTCATAACCTACATTCATAGGATTATGACATTTACTTTGTTTTACCTTGATTTGACAAATATCGAAACGTCGGTAATGAGCTGTTGGCATAACGAAAATCAATATAATCAGACGCTTTCCATCCAAATTTGTCGTTGATCTCATTCTTCAAAGAATCTTCATCATTTTTTCTCTCCTTTACTACAGTCACATACAAACGTGGTTCTGGGTTGAATGTTATCACGCAATATCCATTTATCCAAGAAAATCTACAAAACAATAATTCCTTATTTAGAACATGCATCGAGTAGGAAAAGACATTTATTTTCGGTAAACTGTGTGATTTTTACTAAAATATAACGTAGTATAACAATTGAAATTTCATATTCCCATACTTTTAAAAGAAAAATTTAATGAAAAAAGTTCTTCAGAACAATTAAACACGCGTCAGTCACTGCTTTGAATCATAAGTGCGAGAAATGGTTGAATTCATTCTATATTTTACAGAAAACGTTTGTCGTGCATAATTACGTAGCTATACTTCACGACTTTTTAAATGTTAATACAACTTATAATTAAATGTATCTTGTGCTTGGATAAGAAACCTTTTCAAGCATTTTTAAAAATTATTTACAAGTCTCAAGTGGATTTTTACTTACTGTTTTAATTTTTCAGTGACGTCTTTGCGAATACGGTAAAAGTCGTCAAGAAATCCTCTGGTGAAATTGGGATCAAAATCATCTTCATCAGAATCTTCATCATCAGAATATATTTTGGACACATCGTTCTCACTCAACATTTCAGGAACATCTGAAAGACAAAATTGTTATTAAAACACAATTCGAACGCCTGTGATAACGTCTGTGATTGGTGCAGTAACCTGCGCCTGAAAAAACGAACTTGCCTCAGAAAAAATTATCTTTTGTACGTAAATATACTTATTTCAGTGATATTGGCCCAGTACCATAGTTTTGCGATTATCATGCAAAAACAACGACTTTATATTTTTTGACCAACTTGGAGCTGTATATTTAATAAGATTACTGGATGCGGCTAGACATCTATTGGTCAAAAAAAGCAATTTACTGGCTACCACTATGCTAATCACATGCGTAATAAGATATGCGTTACACAAAAAAATTCGATAGAGTGGGACTTCTGTTTGATTCTATACTGTGTCTAAGACTTACTAGATTGAAATTACAATCGGTGACGTAACAGCCTGATAATTATTAAAATTAATCATGTTTTTCCTTGCTGTCAGAACAATTGTTTTGAAAAATTAAGTAATGTAGGATGTTGATATGTGAATACATTCTCCTTTTCTTCTTTTAATATCAAGTTGAATACGAACCTATGCATCTGCAGTATAATGGTTCAATATCATTACAACCAAAGTTTTTAATGAATGGTACCTTAATAATGGTAACCTAGCAAATTTTAAATGTACAGAAAACATTGAAGAAATTAGGAAAAAACTAAAATTTCTCTTTACCTTTACTTATTTATGCAATCTGCGCATGTATTTCGCCGTATAAAACGAGCCAGAAGGTCCAGTTTTTTTGACACTGTTTTAAAAGGGGTATAAAATATCTTTAGAAATTGAACACGTTGTTTTGCTTAGAGATTATGAATAATACAAGAGTTGGCATCGTGATACAGTCTATTGTCCAAAAAGTAATGGAACACGTTTTTGATGGGGAATCGAGTTCCAGATGTTCAGTTAGAGTGGCAGACTGTGATTGTCTGTAAATATCAGGAATAAATATTATAATTAACATTGTCACAATCAATTCGCTGAAATGCGTTTTTCTTTTTATCGTAATTTTTAGTGTTTTAAACCATTCATTTTTTGAGAAACATGTTTGTGCTGCTTTTAGACTATTACAATTTAATGTACCACAAAACTGGTCGTTTTCACATTTTCCAAACAACTAAAATGACACGAAGTCATTTTTAAGTCTAAATCATTGGTCTAATATCCCATGAAATATCCTTAATCAGAAATGAGAACAGGTGATTGTAGTGGTTGCGAACGGAACAAGTAAAAACCCCTTATCAGCCCCCTGGGAAAACAGTAATCTTCATATTTTATTACAAGTACGACTACCTCAACGAGATTTAACTAAGAGACCTCTGGGTTCCATAAACAAGTTGTCGTACGTTTTTGTTTTTTAGCTTTCAACCTCGACTTTTCTAAAAATTGTAAGAAAAATTATTCCAAACTAGGATTCTGACCAACCTTTTAAAAAAAAAGTTGATGAAGTGATTCCGATATAAAATATTTCATTACGTATGGTTTAACTATGTCTTTGAGTTCACATACAGTCTGATAACTAAAAAACGTATAGGGTCTAGGGGCATTCTCAGCCGGCAATTTAAGAAATGAAAAATACGTAAAGTGGCGCCGCAACTGCAGGTATTGAAATATTTTAACAGACTTAGTTCTGAAGATCTTCTTTTTATATACACCTTCAGTGACGTAGACAGACAGTGAATTCAGTCGTAAGGCCAAATGTATGATTATTTATCTATTGGCTAAAACATCTAATGGATAAGTAATATCCAATGGAAAAGTCTTCAATACAGTGGATAAAACTACGTTGTATAAAGCAAAGATAGCAAATAATTAATTATTCAATCGATAACCGTCACTATGGTGAGCATGTTTACGCGATTGCACCTGTTACATAAAATATTGTTTTAACTGTTCATGTCTTTTGTAAATCTACTTCAATGCATTATTTTGTTTTGTCTTCAACACTTGGATAAATTTTAACATCAAATTATGTGAGAAAACGTATGAAATGGCTTATCGTCCAGATGATTATAAAAGTGGATATGAAGAGTCAAGATTTAAGACTGCTGTTGATGAAACTTTTTACTGTTCGATTTGTCTTAACGTCGTTAGAGATGCAAGAATGTGTCAACATAACGAACATATTTTTTGTCGTTATTGTATCAAAGAACATCTACGAGTTAATGCACAAAGATGTCCTCAATGTCAAGAGAGATTGACTGTAGCTACACTTCTTCCAGCGCGTTTCGTAAATAACTTGATTTCAAAGTTTAAGATAAGCTGCGACTACGCTAATCGTGGTTGTTCAGAATTTGTCAACGTTGAAGATCTTGAAAGACATGTTGAAAATTGTGGTTTTGCTCCAGTGTTGTGTTCTAATGAACGTTGTGACAAGGAGATAAACAAACGAGACAAGATTAAACATGAAACTGAGTTATGTGAATACAGAAAGATTCCTTCTCACGACTTTGAAGAGATTAGAGAAATGTTTGAAAAACGTTTTGATCATGAGGAACAAGAGAAAGTGCAACTGACTGAAATGAGTAGAAAAATTAATCAACAGTTTGATGTTGTATGTGGTCAGTCTATGAAAGAAATAATAGAATTAAAGAAAGAAATGATGGAATCAAGGAAAGAAATAAAAGATGTTCAACAAAATCTTTCTACAGTGACCAAAGAAATGATAGAATCAAGGAAAGAAATAAAACATGTTCAACAAAATCTTTTTACAGTGGCCCAGGAAATAAAAGATGTTCAAAAAAACCTTTCTACAGTGACCAAAGAAATGAAAGAAATGAAAGCCATGATGTTTCAAATGTTCGAAAAGATGAATATAAATGAACAACATGTTCAAACATCAACATCACCAGTTGAAATGTTGATGAACTCAGTAAAATGTGATATTTTGGTTGCTGGAGGTTACCCATATGATTCCTTAAAAAGTGTTGAAATATTCTCATGGGAGGAAGAGAAATGGTTTCAAACTGCATCAATGGTAAATGAACACATGTGGGATTCATCATTTATTTATGATGATAATTTATTTGTTTTTGGAGGTGGGAAGTCAACGGAGACATTGAATATAAAACAGTTACCGTTGACATGGAAGACATTTCACAAAGAGCTTCCTTATCATTGTTGGGGTCATCAAACTGTTGTTTGTAGACAACAAATCTTTTTCATTGGAGGAGAAGATTATGGCCAAGGAAAAACAGATGTCATCAGTAAAATAAAGATTTATGGCACAAAATCTCATGTTTTGAAAGAGTTGTGTGATATGCCTGAACCACGGTATAAGCATGGAGCTGTTGTTGTTGATGATAAAGTTCTTATTTTTGGAGGAACGGAAAAAGATTGCAAAGTTTTGTCCAGTGTTTTGGAGTTTGATCCAAGGACTCTTACATTTAAGGAAATGCCTCCATTACCTCATCCATTAACTGAATTGGCGACAGTTCAATGGAGAGATCAAGTTGTTCTTCTTGGAGGTTCTGATGATAGAGAAAAAAGTTTGAAAAGTGTTATCATGTATGACTGTAATACAGGAAAGATTACAGTCTTACCATCCATGTTGGAAAACAGATCCGGGTGTTGTGCAGTTATAACTGGTGGTACAATTGTTGTCATGGGAGGTGTGGATGATAAAGGTGAACATCTTAAATCAGTAGAGTATTTTAAAATGGGAAGCAGTTCTTCATGGACATATCTTCCTTCAATGAATAAACGACGATTTGTAGCCATTGCTGAAATTTTACCTTTTGGACAAAAGTATATATAAGAACAGAATTATTCTCAAAATAATCAGAACATTACAACTCAGTAAAAGTTGTTTATATTAAAGCTAAACACTACTTAAAATTAAATATGTAAACTTACAATGTCCATATAACCTTTGATTATTATAATAAATTACTGGAGAAATAAATGGTTTTAGTATTTTACTAATGACAGAGACAAAAAGAAAATTTATTGCTTTAGTATTTGTTCAGAATCTTCAAACTTACAACTGTGTATGAGTTTGACCAGTGGTATTGTCAATCATAAAGATTATAAATAATACTAGAGGTGGCATCGTAATATAATCAGTGAATATAATCTATAGTCCCAAATAAGCACACATTTTGGGGGCAAAATGGATTCCTTGATGTTACGATACAGTGGCCAATTATGATTTTTTGACTTTTTTGTTTTTATTATACGCAAATACAATAGTAAATATTGTCACACTCGATTTCTTGAACTATTTTTTCTTTTCTTCGTAAGTTTAGAGGATACCTAATAAGGATACGAAATTGGAGCTCCAAGTCAAAGATCTGGCTATTTAAAACAAATCGCAAAATTCTTTTTTCACGAATTTGCAACGTGTTTCCCACATTAAAAATTTGTTTGTCTAAAATCCATAGCGCTAACAAATAAAAAAATTTTACCTTGTGAAACAAACAACATCTTTTTGCGTTCCTTCCGTCAAGCAATCCACTCCTCTTTTGGTTTACAGGTCTTTAACTCCTTTTTTATTTTAACTTTTCATTTATTTTAAAACCGAGAAATGCAATGCAGCACTGCAGTATTCTGGCTGTCTTAGAATTGATTATTTATATCTTAGCTATTAGTAATTAATTAATGCAAAATATGAGTCGATATTTAGCAGTGCTCACTCTTTCATTGCGCCCCCTAACTTCATTCTAAAGCCTGATTTCCACTAGCCACTTATCATAACGTTTCGTAGCAAAACGTAACAGGGCGCATGCGTGCTTATGAATTTGATGGTCAATAGGCGCAAGCACGCATGCGCAATGTTGAGCTTTGCCACGATACGTTACGACACGTGGCTAGTGGAAAGCAGGCTTAATGTGAGATTGTGAGATGTCAATGCACATTATGCATGAATGATTTACGTCATATTACATTTTTTTTTCAGATAAGCGTCCATGACGTACACATGCAGCACATAGCTTTTATAAGTTCTATTTTGTAACGTTTTACGTTTGTTATTCAAACAATGGCAGAGACTGTATTCTGAAGTTGCTATCTCAAGCGGAGAAGGGTCGAGTAGGGATATGCAGAACACTCCGAGATTATCTGACATATCTAAGGAAAAATCAATTTTGAGTTCGATGCCAAATTAGATATTGAGTTCATTTACGATTTGAATTTCGATTCCGAGCTCGAATCTTTGGCTCGGTAAATAGAATATATCGTAATTTTAGATCGTGATTTAATTTTTTAGCCAATTGCAGTTGAGAGTCTTTTTTAAAATAATAGCGTATGCACCAATATGAGGCATCCAGCATGGAGACAGAAAAATTTTACAAACAAGTTAAAACGTTCACGCATATTTTTCGGGATTTTTGTTGTCTTTTTTCAAATCTAGGTATGGATTAATGAAGAAAAATTATCCTATTTTTAGTGATATAATTATTATTTGGAGTTCTTGTCTGTTTTTTACGTATGATTACTTTATGTAAAGACATGTTTTCGTAACTGCGATGATAGTTGCCTACATTTGGTAAATATATAATATAGATACAATCAATTATACAAAGTTTGCGTTCCACGGTCTGTTACGATGGAATGGGGAGAGTTTTCGCTTTTTTAAACAATTTAAAAGTGATTTTTGGGCCACCTATATTGAGAGTTGCAAAGCTTGTCAAAATATAAGACCTTTAGGACCATATATACGTGGAAGTCACGCGAGACAGCGCGCGTGACAAACATTAAACATGAATCAAGGTATATATTTAGTACTATTTACATAAATCGATTGCATGAAAAAATGAAAAAAACGCAAGCAGATTTCTTTCTGGGGCGCCTATGCCGAAACTCGAAAGCAGTTGGCAAAAATATATTTGTTTACATTCATCCGGGACCTAAATATTTCCCCAAGCTCCGCGTCCCCACTACCGTCGGTCGCGGGCTTGCACAGATCTTCTCTCGAGTTCTCCCAAAGGTCTCCTCGGTTTGTATAAGCCTGTGTAAACACAGTAAACATCTTTTATTTCTTAAATGTCATGAATGATCACTCAATTTTAGTATCTTACTGTATTACGTTGTTTATGCCTCATATCTATTCAGATTTCAGACGTTTAAAGTCAAACACAAAATTACAGAAGTTCCGAAAGGTTCTACTTTATTGTGATTGTGCGCTCCCCCTCATTCCGTAAAAATCCCCCCGGAATTGTTAACAGACAGACACAAATCGAGATTTCACAAGTATATAGGTCGCGTGGGGGAATGGGTCGAGTCATGTCAAGAATAGTGTTTTGCCACGCATAAGGCAGCAACAAGGAAAAATTGAGTCTCATGACTTCACATTCAGTTCCGTCTTGTAGAGTTGTATTAGTTTGTCGATCAATCATCCTCAATTGTTGATGAATATGTTTCTCCTCAAAAATATCTTGCTGTGGCATGCTAGCTGCAATTTCAAAGCACAAATGTGTAAAAAACGACAATAAATCAATTTTTTCATTGTTTTCCACTGCCAAGAAGCAAAGCAAACATCGGCCGCCGAAAAAACACACATTACTTCAGGGGGGAGCTTGACAAAATTTAGATGTATTTTTGGCTTCAGCCAGTCATGGGACAAAACTATAGAAGTTATCGTTCAAGATGTATTTTAGTTTTGCGTGGTGTTTGCATTTACGTCACGTGATGTGTTTGCTCTTCCAATTTGATTGTCGGATGTGGACGGTGTGTTTGATTTGTATCTTCTGGTTCCAGATGTTGACGGTCTGCTGCGTTTAACAATTTCCATTTCAGTTGTAGACGCTGTGTTTGAATAATTTATGCTGGTTTCGGCGGTGGACCCCAAGCTGTCTCTTGCGATATTTGTATCTAAGATGTTGAAGGCTAAAAAAATAATGACTATTATTATTTGGCTTTTCAATGACAATCACACGTTTAGTCAATATACACTTTAGATTTCTTTTTAAATAGCATCTGTTCTTAAATCAATTTTTAAAGAAGCTGATAATGATAATACTTTGAAACTAACATAACATGACTAAAGAATAGCCTGTCTATTCCATTTGTAATCCTTTCGCACTTGCTTCCATCTGTATAAAATTAGTTGTTAAAAATGCTAACCTTCCAAAAAAACAATCCAATTCTATCTTCCAAATGCAGATTGTTGTATAATTACGCAGTTTCTGGAAGAAGTTTCTACTCCATCTGAGCCTCTGCTGATCTTTTCACCATTTGCATTTGCATTGAAATACTGGCTTCGCCCATTGACCACCCCAATGTCGAGAGACTTAATTTCTTGTCTCACTCTTTCTTCATTCGGAAACAGAACTCCGTGATCTTTTAGCAAGGCAAAAAACCATTTCAGTGCCACTGCTACTCCATTTAGTCTTACTCTACTTGAGCTTGACGTAAATGTCACTTTTGGATTCACGCAAGAGAGTAACTAGAAATGAGAAATGTCACAATTACTTTATGAATTTGGTCTATGGGCTATGAATTTATTACATACGTTTTTGCAAGATATTTTGTGCTCTATTGACTTCATTATTAAGTCCACAATAATTGGCTTTTCTGTTTGAAGCATTGCATGAGACACTTGCGCTTGGTTGGTCTGCAATCGCTTTATCCACACTGGAAGGATTGTTTGTTTGAAAAAAGCGATGGCATTGCTTGGATAGAGATCATCAATACTTACCAGCCGTATTACCTATGTTATAATTGTGCAAGTGGTCATTGGCTATTGCTCAATTCTTTCATGTTATGTGGTTAATAAGGCAGTTACCTTCTCAGCAAATGCTACCAAAAATGGATGATTTCTTAAACAGCAGTCGTCGATGTTCGGTGCTTCAATGGTAAATTGTTGACAGAGCTCATTAGTTCTTGTTATGCAGAGGTATTCGACAGATCTGCTAATTGCCACCATGGTCCCAAAAGCACTAGACCCTCTTTCCATTATTGCATTGTTTTCGAATTCTGCGTTCTGTTGATTCTCCATTCCGAAAGGACTTCTTGCTTCTTCTTGAAAGGGAATTAGGACAAGCCTTCCAAGTACTCTACAGCACGTGAAAAATTACATTAGTGCAATAAAAAGCAAACTTCTTCCATAAATACTGAAAAATCTACCTGGGGTCATTGTTCAATCCCTCTAAAGTGTCCCAATTGACTGTGAACATCGGAATCGTTCGAGGAGCTGCTTCGAAAACACATGTCCCGTCTTTGCCACTGTTGTAGAAAGAGACCGCAACATTTTCAATAACTGTGGGGCTCTTAACGTAGTCGAGCACGGGAGGCAAAGTTGATCTGCTGCATAGCCTGGGGATGAATCTTTCCCTTACTGCTGAAAAGAAGTTTTATCCATTTCCTACAAGACTTAGTGCGGCTTTTGAACATTTTGTCTTTCCAAGTCTGTTTGTTCCACATACAAAGGGCAGGGGACAAAATCCCAGAATATCCACAATCATTTCATAATGAAAGCCTAATAACATTGCAGCTATTTTGAAAAAAAAAAACTAATTAAATCAGTGATCAAGTTTCGCCTGCTCTTCATATTGTTTCATTCAAGTGAATATTGTAGCTACATATAAAATTCACTATTTAACTACCTCAAAACTTAAATAAGCAACAGGTCTACAAATTACTATTATTCTTTTCATGCTAAAATGGGTTCAATATAAATGTGAAAAATGTATTTTTACATGAAAAAACGTCAGCAATTTTGTAATAAACGGGCGTCACTTGCCAAAATATTGAACATATTGTAATGAGCTTACCAATTGTGAATACAGCAGCGATACCATTATGATGCAACATGGACATCAGAGATTCCACTATTTCACCTAATGTTAAGGAACATAAAGGCAGGTTTACTTTAGGCCAATGAGTTGCTGTTCTTTCCGATTCCAAGATTGCCTTGACCCATATAATGCTGGTCTCTTCTGCAGTAACGACGACACCATCACCGTTCAATTGCAGGTTTTCGCCCAAAACCCAAACGTCGGAATTTGGTTGTCTACCAATGCAGCAAACAGCTTCGTACGTGTCTCTCACTTCATTGATTCGGCATTTCCTGGAAGCGTTATTTTGTTAAAAGTTCAGGGTTTAAATTGTTCATTTATGTCAATTTTATTCATGAAGTAGCTAGAAGTTACTTCACCGCAAAAAATGGTTAGGCTTATTTCACCTCAACATGAAAGAGTTATCAAGCTTGTGTATCAAAATGACGGGGATAGTTTATCTGATCGAATAATCTGAATTAGTTCATAATTACATTTTGTGAAATGAGGGCGACAAGACAACGTCTCCAATACAGTGAAAAATTTGAAAAACGAAATACATCTTGAATTACGAAAATAATAATTTTGATAATTTGATTTACCTAAAATAGTTCTTTATCTGCCACTTGATGAAGCATTTGAATTCATGAGGATCGAAGTCACTTGTCAACACACCTGAACTATATGATTTATTTAAACTATGGGTCTGGAAGGTACTATTTAGTAATTCATAGTTTGTTCCAGTTTAGGTCATAGTTTAGTAAATCATGAGACATTGATAGTCTGTTAGATTCAGATCTTCTGGCTTTGAGCTTCATTAAATCAATTGACATTGAAGCTTCCAAGTTCCAAGTACCATGTTAATTGTATAAATGACGATGAACTGCGCTGTTTCTCTGAAATGTCTCCATCAAAATGACGGGTTTTTAAAATGAGAACCAAAAAGACAAAAAAGATAATAGATATACATGAAATGTTAGATCTCGAATCACAGATCACAAGAGGAAGGCTATTGGACACTGTGTTAAAAGTTCAGGTGCAAGTTCGATCTTTGACATTAGAAGAAAAAACTTTTCTTGGCAGATGTTTGATTGCGTGACAACATTATTAAAATCAATAATTATAATATTTAAAATAATAAAACAGAGACTTAATCGTGGTAACAAAATTTGAATATCACCAATACCACTATTAATATTCACTATGTGAACTATGTTGGGTTTGATTGGTCAGCTACCTGCAAAAAATTCTCGATATCTGTAGGTATGACGCTTTATCTACAAATAATAGTTAGTTTCTACTTTTGTTGACAACAGTAAAAGCTGGTTTTGAAAAAGTCAAACAGTAGGGATGTTTGCCATAGTTTCTAAATATGATTTGTAAAACCTTTTGAACAAAAATGATCCGGAAACACTAAAAAATCAGCGAAGCTGGCTTTGAACATATTTAATTACTGTATATTTAAAGCTGATTTACTTTAATTAACCATCTAACAAGGACAAAAAGCAAAGGTTTTAAAACTGTTTTACATTGATATGTTACATCATTATTTCAATCATTTGAAAAGAATAATAAAACAATTATTGAACTCGGCTTTCAAATGATAAAACTAATTATTCAGACATCGGTCAGAATGTTATTCGCTTCATGTTCGCTTCGGTAGATAACATTGATCTGAATAATTCTTGATATCATGCTCAACATCATTCAACAATAGAATTTTATTTTAAATCCCAACAACATTTATGTGCAGTATATATTTAGAAACTTGTGAAAAAACCTCAATATATATAAACTTATTTAAAGTGTATTTAATTGATTTCCTGATTTATACAGGTGTACGTACCTTCCTTGTTTGAACAAGATGGAAAAGGAACTCTTGTCTGACGTTCTTATTTTACTGGCTGTCAAAGAAAATTGCTCTCCTGCAGGTAGAGTTAACATATATTTATACTGTTTAATACTTTTCAGTAAGCATACTTCAAAACAACATAGTTTCAACACTTATCATGCTAATGATTTTCAAATTATGGAAAAAGAAAGTCTTTATGCCATTAATTGAGTTAATCGTCCTTTTCTTACAAGGTCGCTATATTGTTCTTATTCTTATTTCTACATTAAATAAATATACATAACTATCTATCTTTCCTGTCTCAAATGTTTTTGATGAGTTTGTTCAGTACTTGATAACTATTTTTAGTTGATATGACCAAACAATTTAAACATCTCAACATAACAAGAAATTCTTACGACAACATTGCTCAGTTTTGTCTGTTGCGATAGTAATTTATTTATATTTTACTTCACGAGGAGAGCAGAAGCAATAATATGTACAAATTACAAATCTCTCATACCTCGTACTTAATCTTAAATATGCAAAGGAAAATTTATTTTGTATTATTCTGAGTTGAAATTTGCTTGGCATTCTGCGACAGTCAGTAGGATGGTGTCACGTGGAAAGCGCATGGGGGGTTTGCAGATCACGTGAAAAAGATTGTAGTAACAAAACTGTAAAGGAAGAGTCATAGATATGCTACCTGTGAAAAGACTGGCGTCTTCCTCAAGTTTTTCTCCCTATCTTGCGACTTCAGTGGTTATTTATAATGCGAGTTGCAACTTTCCGTCCTATGTTGTGAAACATCGGTTGCGACTTATCCCTTTGTACTTAAATACTTAAATTTTTGACTTATTGAGTGTAGTAATTAACACCAGCAGCCTCGCCACAGCGCAAGCCTGCATGATGTGACTAATGAGTAATGAGCCTTTGCCACTATAGACAGCCATTCGAAAAAGTAAGATCAATGAAAGATATGCTTTTAACGTGATATGGCAGACTTCATTATTCAATCTCTTCCTTGGCAACAAAAGATCCAATTGTGTTCATAGTAAATATTGAGCGGGATGTTTGTCATTTGATCATACGTCATTTTGAACTCCCCATCCAAACATGAGTTACATGATGCATTAATTTATTGAAACAGCAACATGTCCTGTATTCTCAATGTTGTGTGCTAAGTTCCCTTTCACCCAAAAGATTAAGTATTTTGCAAATTGCATCGACCAAAGTTGCATCACTTCGAGTATCATTGTGTGTTTAATTCACAGTTTCAAATAACTGGACTGTTGATTGATGAAGAACAACAGGAGGAGAGGGGATTAGGGATATAAAGCAGGGGGCTTTAAAAAGAACAGTTACAAAAAATTTGTTTGGAAAATTTATTCAAAAAGGAGTTTGCAAAAACTGAATTGTTATTGCATTGAATTATTGGAATATGTTAATAACGCCATGAAACAACTTCCAGGTAATGTCGCTGACATCTTTAAGCTGGCGGGTTAAAAAGTACAAAATGTGTTTATGATGTAAAATCAACTATGAACATAAAAAATTTCACCCGAAAGTTTCCATTGCATTAGACTACTTTGTTCTTTCTAAGTCCAAAGATTTCTCAGGGACTGTGGTAATCTCGTTGAAAAACGGTTTATGCAACCAAGTTAATCAGGGAGTTTGAAAAATAAAAAATTAGATCGTTGAAATTATAATCGGTGATGCATACAGTGTGAAAACTACTCAAGTTTGTCCCCCCCCGTAGGAATAGCTAATTTAAAAAGAAATATAAGTGATGCAAGATATTGATATATGAATACACAGTAATATTCACCTGTAAAAGATAAGGTTGATTATAAGTTAATGCGTCTGAATATAATGTAACCTAGGAACCTTTTAAATTAGCCCATTTTTACGTTGGTAAAACTGCATTCGATTTGTCAAAGTTCTACGTTACTACTCACTAGGAAGTAATATTAACTACATCACCATATATCCTTCGAGAAAATGTCTATAACCTCTCCGGACAACATGGGATCTTTGTTCAACTTCATTTTAGCAATTTTGGACTGGGACGAGTCATTAACTTCTTCACTACGTGTATTTTCAAGCTATAAACACAGACAAAAACAGCATGAGTAATGGGAGGTTCACTGAGGGTTATTAAGGTACAAATAGTCAATCTAGAACACTTCTACCGAAAGTTCACGCATATGATCAGTCACTTTAAGTAGTATGTATTATGTTAAATGTTTAAGGTGTTACATTCAACAGTGTATTCGTGTGCCCTCATGTTAGCGTGCTAAATGATCTATCACCTGAAGACACAATATGTTCCCTTGCCTAAGTGTTCTAAATGTCTCTCATATTATTGTATTAAATGATCCTTCGGAGTTCTCTTTCAGATTTTGAAATGTTCTCTCACTGTAATGCATTAAATGCTCACTTCAATATACTAAACGATTCCTCACCTCAGTGTTATCAGTGTTTCATCAGAGTTTATAGTTCATATCACTGTTCCCACCTAAAGCATTCTGTAGCAATTTGGTGAGAACAGAGTCCCTATATGCTACCACAATAGTTGCATCGGCAAAGGCAGACATAACATTGTCTTAAGCTGATAAACTTTTGTTCAAATAAATACAGTACCGCTCGCGTATTCTTAACCTACGGTACGCTTATGAAACGCGTATGATACGAAAAACATACGCGTATGATACGAGAACGATACGCGTATGATACAAGAAAGATACGCGTATGATACGAGAACAATACGCGTATGATACGAGAACGATACTCGTATGATAGAAGAGAGATACGCGTATGATACGAGAACGATACGCGTACGATACAAGAGCGATACGCGTATGATACGAGAACAATACGCGTATGATACAAGAAAGATACGCGTATGATACGAGAACGATACGCGTATGATACGAGAACAATACGCGTATGATACAAGAAAGATACGCGTATAATACGAGAACGATACGCGTACGATACGAGAACGATACGCGTATGATACGAGAACAATACGCGTATGATACAAGAAAGATACGCGTATGATACGACAAAGATACGCGTATGATACGAGAACGATACGCGTATGATACGAGAACAATACGCGTATGATACAAGAAAGATACGCGTATGATACGAGAACAATACGCGTATGATACGAGAACGATACGCGTATGATAGAAGAGAGATACGCGTATGATACGAGAACGATACGCGTACGATACAAGAGCGATACGCGTATGATACGAGAACAATACGCGTATGATACAAGAAAGATACGCGTATGATACGAGAACGATACGCGTATGATACGAGAACAATACGCGTATGATACAAGAAAGATACGCGTATAATACGAGAACGATACGCGTACGATACAAGAAAGATACGCGTATGATACGAGAACGATACGCGTATGATACGAGAACAATACGCGTATGATACGAGGATACGCGTATGATACAAGAGCGATACGCGTATGATACGAGAACGATACGCGTATGATACGAGAGATACGCGTATGATACGAACGATACGCGTATGATGACGAGAACGATACGCGTATGATACGAGAACGATACGCGTATGATACGAGAAAGATACGCGTATGATACGAGAACGATACGCGTATGATACGAGAACGATACGCGTATGATACGAGAACAATACGCGTATGATACAAGAAAGATACGCGTATGATACGAGAACGATACGCGTATGATACGAGAACAATACGCGTATGATACGAGGATACGCGTATGATACAAGAGCGATACGCGTATGATACGAGAACGATACGCGTATGATACGAGAGATACGCGTATGATACGAGAACGATACGCGTATGATACGAGAACGATACGCGTATGATACGAGAACGATACGCGTATGATACAAGAAAGATACGCGTATGATACGAGAACGATACGCGTATGATACAAGAAAGATACGCGTATGATACGAGAACGATACGCGTATGATACAAGAAAGATACGCGTATGATACGAGAACGATACGCGTATGATACAAGAAAGATACGCGTATGATACGAGAACGATACGCGTATGATACAAGAAAGATACGCGTATGATACGAGAACAATACGCGTATGATACAAGGATACGCGTATGATACAAGAGCGATACGCGTATGATACGAGAACGATACGCGTATGATACGAGAGAGATACGCGTATGATACAAGAAAGATACGCGTATGATACGAGAACAATACGCGTATGATACGAGGATACGCGTATGATACAAGAGCGATACGCGTATGATACGAGAACGATACGCGTATGATACGAGAGATACGCGTATGATACGAGAACGATACGCGTATGATACGAGAACGATACGCGTATGATACGAGAACGATACGCGTATGATACGAGAACGATACGCGTATGATACGAGAGCGATACGCGTATGATACGAGAACGATACGCGTATGATACGAGAGCGATACGCATATGATACGAGACGATACGCGTATGATACGAGAACGATACGCGTATGATACGAAACGATACGCGTATGATACGAGAACGATACGCGTATGATACGAGATACGCGTATGATACGAAAACGATACGCGTATGATACGAGAACGATACGCGTATGATACGAGAACGATACGCGTATGATACGAGAACGATACGCGTATGATACGAGAACGATACGCGTATGATACGAGAACGATACGCGTATGATACGAGAACGATACGCGTATGATACGAGAGCGATACGCGTATGATACGAGAACGATACGCGTATGATACGAGAACGATACGCGTATGATACGAGAACGATACGCGTATGATACAAGAAAGATACGCGTATGATACGAGAACGATACGCGTATGATACAAGAAAGATACGCGTATGATACGAGAACAATACGCGTATGATACGAGGATACGCGTATGATACAAGAGCGATACGCGTATGATACGAGAACGATACGCGTATGATACGAGAGAGATACGCGTATGATACGAGAACGATACGCGTATGATACGAGAACGATACGCGTATGATACGAGAACGATACGCGTATGATACGAGAACGATACGCGTATGATACGAGAGCGATACGTGTATGATACGAGAACGATACGCGTATAATACGAGAGCGATACGCGTATGATACGAGACGATACGCGTATGATACGAGAACGATACACGTATGATACGAAAACGATACGCGTATGATACGAGAACGATACGTGTATAATACGAGAGCGATACGCGTATGATACGAAAACGATACGCGTATGATACGAGAACGATACGCGTATGATACGAAAACGATACGTGTATAATACGAGAGCGATACGCGTATGATACGAGAACGATACGTGTATAATACGAGAGCGATACGCGTATGATACGAAAACGATACGCGTATGATACGAGAACGATACGCGTATGATACGAGAACGATACGTGTATAATACGAGAGCGATACGCGTATGATACGAGAACGATACGCGTATGATACGAGAACGATACGCGTATGATACGAGAACGATACGCGTATGATACGAGAGCGATACGCGTATGATACGAGAACGATACGCGTATGATACGAGAACGATACGCGTATGATACGAGAACGATACGTGTATAATACGAGAGCGATACGCGTATGATACGAGAACGATATGCGTATGATGCGAGAACGATACGCGTATGATGCGAGAACGATACGCATATGATACGAGAACGATACGCGTATGATATGAGAACGATACGCATATGATACGAGAACGATACGCGTATCATACGCAAAATTTTTGTTAACAAATGCGCGAGCGGTACTGTACATATGATTATCTACTGTCTTAATTTTGAATATGCTAAGCAAAATTTATTTTGTTTTACCTTAAGTTGACAAATATCGAAACGTCGGTAATGAGCTATTGGCATAACGAAAATCAATATAATCAGACGCTTTTCAACCAAATTTGTGGTTGATCTCATTCTTCAAAGAATCTTCATCATTTTTTCTCTCCTTTACTACAGTCACATACAAACGAGGTTCTGGGTTGAATGATATCCCGCAATATCCATTTATCCAAGAAAATCTACAAAACAATAATTCGCGTTGTATCACATTTGAAATTTCATATTTGCATACTTTTAAAAGCAAAAAATTTAATAAAAAAATTTTTCAGAACAATTAAACACGCGTCAGTCACTGCTTTGAATCATAAGTGCGAGAAATGGTTGAATTTATTCTATATTTTACAGAAAACGCTTGTCGTGCATAATTACGTAGCTATACTTCACGTCTTTTTAAATGTAAATACAACTTATAATTAAATGTATCTTGTGCTTGGATAAGAAACCTTTTCAAGCATTTTTAAAAATTATTTACAAGCCTCAAGTGGACTTTTACTTACTGTTTTAATTTTTCAGTGACGTCTTTGCGAATACGGTAAAAGTCGTCAAGAAATCCTCTGGTGAAATTGTGATCAAAATCATCTTCATCAGAATCTTCATCATCAGAATATATTTTGGACACATCGTTCTCACTCAACATTTCAGGAACATCTGAAAGACAAAATTGTTATTAAAACACAATTTACACGCCTGTGATAACCTCTGTGATTGGTGTAGTAACCTGCGCCTGAAAAAACGAACTTGCCTCACAAAAAGTTATATTTTGTACGTAAATATACTTATTTCTGTGATATTGGCCCAGTACCATATTTTTGCAATTATCATGCAAAAACGATGACTTTACATTTTTTAACCATTTTATTAAGAAACTTAAAAACTTAAACAGAGCAAGCAAATCACACTCTTTTTTTAACTTATTATTACATTTAAACCTGATTTTTTACTAATTACATTACAAATTATCTTGAAGTAATTAAATGCACCTGTAACTGTGTGTACATATCTAACAGGATGGTTGTAGCTACATGTCATTCTAACTGATTATGATTTGAAATAAAGTGAAATAAAACAATAGCAGTATTGTATCTTGTTCATAAGAACATATTTGTGCCAGATAATTACCGATAAAATAAAATAGAATAAATACCTTCTTTTCTCTTTATAACACCAGCTAAAGATGTGATGCATTCAGCATCGGGAGCTTCACATGACAGCATTTCTACAACTCATATTTTAAAAAGTGTGAGTAAGACAAGCTTCATAGAACAAGTTGCCTGTTAAGGTGTTCACTTTGCTCAAGTGATTAAACCATTTCAGTATTTGTATGACCTTATCCAAACATAAATGTTGTAAAAATGTTGCAAAATTGAGCCTGGTGATTTTTATGCTTTTGTTATGATGAGCAACTTTCCTAATGGGTCAATCAGGCCATTTAAACAAATGAAAACCATTTGGTTGTAATTTTATAAAATAAAAAAAAAACAGAAGGAAAGTGTTGCAAGTAATATATAATTAACTGGAAGTATGAAAGCTAAATTCACCCAAATAACATTGCTAAATGTTCCCAAACCCATGAATATGTAAAGTTTTGTCAACAAGAGAGCCAAAATATTGGCAAAACTTCTTACTCTAATACCTATATGTTGTATAATGTATCAAGCATAATCTTCTTTGCATATATGTTTCAAATTATTTCTAAAATGATGGCTTGTATCGTTTAATGATTACAGATTTACATTTTTTCTCTCATTGCAGGGGCCATATAGCAGAATAATGATGCAGTGATGTTTGGCAGCTTGTTACTAAAAAGGGGCAAACATTTTTTCTTTAAAAATTAATATTCATTCATAATGATACTTGCTCTAAATATATACAAATGTAGTCTTCCTTTTATGTACATTAAAACCAGTGATAGCAAATTGAAAAGCTAGCCACAATAAAAAAATGCAAGTCTACGTGCTGTCCATGATCTTTCATTAAAGAGAATACCTCTTCATGGTGATCTGAGAAGTTGTGGATCTTACAAACATTCTTCCTTTAAGACTGAACATTTTAAAAATGTCTTTTTAACACTAAGTATGAATTGAAGTAAGTAAGTAGATACTAGTTTAAGTTGTTTTATTGGTAGTATGAATTAAGGAATAGCTATGTAATATTGTTTGTATAAAAATATGTACTTATAGTATTAGTTATATGGTTTTTTATTAATTAAAACCTTTGTAATTAAACCATAACTGTTACAAAAAAGAGTTCACGTTTAATAAATACAAATATAAATTCAAATTCAAGTCCAATTATTGATGTCTATACCATCAAAGCTTTTGTTCACATGTTATTTAATGGTTTGTCTGTAGACATGACAACACTGATAAGAACTTCATTCTACATATTTTACTGAAAAAATCGTTGATGTTTACGTGCAAAAAGTTTCAAACACAATTAGTAAAGCATGGAAAACATTTCCTTCAATTTGTTCCAAACCGAAAGCACAATTTGATACATCAAACTTCTACTTTAAATGAAAACATAGAAACTGAGCGATTTGCTGGAATTTCCAAAAGTAATAAAGAATGAAGGATTCTTCATCCAATACAGACTGTTTTATATGCAGTTTCGCGCGAATTTCTGTGGGAATGTTTTGATCATTTATTTAGGTTTTTTACCCCAATCGCAACAGAAATACAAAAGTAGGTTTTAGCATAACATAGATGAAAAGAAATGCAATTACATACCTGATTTCAAAACGAATAACCTGAGCAAAATATGAAATATTCCACACAAAATTGCTTAGCAATGGCGAAGTCTAAGAAATTAGTAGATTGAAATTATAATCGGTGACGTTACAGCCTGATAATTATTAAATTCATCATATTTGTCTCACCCAGCCCCCTCCCTCCCCCTGTATACATATAAATGAATACAAAATTAGGGGTTGTTAATCTTTGCCTTTAACTTCTGTGTTTATCAAATGTCGACTGCAAATTTTAATATATTCTCTATCTTCAAGTTGAAGACTTCAACTTGTAGCGATAAACGAATATTTTTGTCAAATCTTGGATTAATTTTAACACTGAATTATATGTAAAGTATATGAAATGGCTTGTCGTCCTAAAGATTATGAAAGTGGATATGAAGAGTCAAGATTTAAGAATGCTGTTGCCTGAACGTCGTTAAGGATGCCAGAATGTGTCAACATAACGAACACATTTTTTGTCGTTATTGTATTGAAGAACATCTAAGAGTTAATGCACAAAGATGTCCTCAACGTCAAGAGAGATTGACTGTATCCAAACTTCTTCCTGCGCGTTTTTTAAACAACTTGATTTAAAAGTTTAAGATAAGCTGCGACCACGCTAATCGTGGTTGTCTTGAATTTATAAATGTCGCAGATCTTGAAAGACATGTTGAAAATGTGGCTTTGCTCCAGCGTTGTGTTCTAATGAACATTTGAGAAATGTTTCAACTAAGTTTTGTTCATGTTGACAAAGTGAAAATGCAGATGAATGAAATAAATGGGAAAATGGATCAAAAGTTTATTGATGTGTGTGGTGAAGGCATGGATAGCAAGTAGAAAATTATTCAACCGACAGCGTATGAAAAGCAAAGAACGTGTGCACATTGTACGTATGTTTTAAAATATTGTTTATGTCTTTTGTAGATCTGCTTCATTGCACTATTTTCTTTTATCTTTTGTGTTTACTTTGCTTTACATAAATATGTTAAAACATAAAACTAGGCGTTGTTATTCTTCGCTTTTAACTTCCGTGTTTATCAAACGTCGACTGCAAATTTTTAACGTATTTTCTATCTTCAACTTGTTGCGATAAACAAATAATTTCGTCTAATCTGGCATTAATTTTGATCGTGAATTATATGTAAAGATATATGAAATGGCTTGTCGTCCTAATAATTACGATTCATATGGATATGATGAATCAAGATTTGAAAGCCCTGTCAACGATAATTTTTATTGCCCAATATGTCTCAATGTCATAAAAGATGCCAGAATGTGCCACAATGAACACATCTTTTGTCGTAAATGTATAGAAGAACATCTACGAGTTAATGCACAAAGATGTCCTCAATGTCAAGAGAGATTGACTGTATCCAAACTTCTTCCAGCGCGTTTTGTAAACAACTTGATTTCAAAGTTTAAGATCAGCTGCGACCACGCTAATCGTGGTTGTCCTGAATTTGTAAACGTTGAAGATCTTGAAAGACATGTTGAAAATTGTGGTTTTGCTCCAGTGTTGTGTTCTAATGAACGTTGTGACAAGGAGATAAACAAACGAGACAAGATTAAACATGAAACTGAGTTATGTGAATACAGAAAGATTCTTTCTCACGACTTTGAAGAGATTAGAGAAATGTTTCAAAAAAGTTTTGATCAAGTGAAAATGCTGATGGTTAAAATAAATGAAAAAATGGATCAAGATAGAACTGAAATAAATAAAAAAATTAATGATGTATCTGGTCAGTCTACAAAAGAAATAATGGAATTAAAGAAAGAAATGATGGAATCAAAGAAAGAAATGATGGAATCAAGGAAAGAAATAAAAGATGTTCAACAAAATCTTTCTACAGTGACCAAAGAAATGAAAGAAATGAAAGCCATGATGTTTCAAATATTGGAAAAGATGAATATAAATGAACAACATGTTCAAACATTGGCAACATCAATTGAAATGTTGATGAACTCAGTAAAAGGTGATATTTTGGTTGCTGGAGGTGACTCATGTGTTTGGACCGCAAAAAGTGTTGAAGTATTTTCATGTAAGGAGAAGAAATGGTTTGAGATTGCATCAATGGAAAATGGACACAGTTGGGCTTCATCATTTATTTATAAGGATAAGTTATTTGTTGTTGGAGGATTTAACTGCAAGTCAATGGAGACATTGAATGTAAAAAAGTTACCTTTGACATGGAGGAATTTTCCTACAGAGCTTCCTTATATATATTGGAGTCATCAAACTGTTGTTTGTAATCAACAAATCTTTCACATTGGAGGACTTATTAAGAACAAAGGACCATCAGATTTGATCAGTGAAATAAAGATTACAGGTACAACATCTTATATTTTGAAAGAGTTGTGTCATATGCCTGAACCACGATTTGACCATGGGGCTGTTGTTGTTGATGATAAAGTTCTTATTTTTGGAGGACGGGGAAAAGATCATGAAGCTTTGTCCAGTGTTTTGAAGTTTGATCCAATGACTCTTACATTTAAGGAAATGCCTCCATTACCTCATCCATTGACTGACATGGCAACAGTTCAATGGAGAGATCAAGTTGTTCTTCTTGGAGGTTCTGATGAAGGAAGAAAAGCGTTGAACAGTGTTATCATGTATGACAGTAATACAGGAAAGATTACAGTCTTACCATCCATGTTGGAAAAGAGACAGTGGTGTTGTGCAGTTATAACTGGTGATACAATTGTTGTCATGGGAGGTAAGAGTGGTACTCCTAACTATCTTAAATCAGTGGAGTGTTTTAAAATGGGAATCAGTTCTTCATGGACATATCTTCCTTCAATGAATAAACCACGATTTGTAGTCATTGCTGAAATTTTACCATTTGGACAAAAGTATTTATAAGCACAGAATTATTCTCTAAATAATCAGAACATTATAACTCAGTAAAATTTGTTTATATTAAAGCTAAACACTACTAAAATATGAATATGTAAATTTACAATGTTCATATAACCTTTGATTATTATAATAAATTACTGGAGAAATAAATGTTTTTAGTATTTTACTAATGACAGAGACAAAAGAAAATTTATTGCTTTAGTATTTGTTCAGAATGTTCAAACTTACAACTGTGTATGAGTTTGACCAGTGGTGTTGTCGATCATAGAGATTATAAACAATACTAGAGGTGGCATCGTAATATAATCAGTGAATATAATCTATACTCCAAAATACGGCACACATTTTTGGAGGGCAAAATCGATTCCCTGATGTTACGATACAGTGGGCAACTATGATTTTTTGACTTTTTTGTTTTTATTATACGCAAATACAATAGTAAATATTGTCACAATCGATTCCTTGAACTATTTTTTTCTTTTCATCGTAATTTTGGAGGATACCTAATAAGGATACGAAATTGGAGCTCCGAGTCAAAGATCTCGCTATTTAAAACAAATTGCCGAATTCTTTTTTCACGAATTTGCAACGCGTTTGAAATATTAAAAATTTGTTTGTCTAAATTCCATAGCGCTAAAAAATAAAAAAAATTTACCTTGTGAAACAAAAAACATCTTTTTGCGTTGCTTCCGTCAAGTAATCCACTCCTCTTTTGGTTTACAGGTCTTCAACTCCTTTTTATTTTAACTTTTCATTTATTTTAAAACCAAGAAATGCAATGCAGCACTTAATTACTGCAAAATATGAGTCGATCTTTAGCAGTGCTCACTCTTTATCGCGCCCCAACTTCATTCTAAAGCCTGTTTTCCACTAGCCACGTATCGTAACGTATCGTAGCAAAACATAACAGGGCGCATGCGTGCTTATGAATTTGATGGTCAATAGGCGCAAGCACGCATGCGCCATGTTACGTTTTTCTGCCACCATACGTTGCGAATTTTCGTTTCCATCATGCTTACATTGCGTGCGAAGACTGGGCTCTACTGGCATAAAAATTTCCACAGACGTAGACTTTCAATTTTTTGGTTCACTGGCACAGTACAGGAAATATACATGAGGTCCAGTTCGCTGTGCAACTTTCTGTTTAATTTAATTAATGGCTGTCCTTAGTCATTTCATAATTCCTATTGTGTCATTATGGTAATCACATGCGTAATAATATATGCGGGACATGAAAAAATTCAATAGAATGGCTGTACTGTATATTTAGTATACTGTCTCAATGGTTTAACATAATAAAAGGCTTGAGATCTATTGGCCAAATTTCGATTTTTTTACCCTACTAAAAAAACACGTATCATCTTCGGTTCGCTACATATCACTTCATGTTTACTTTTTACATAAAGCTACTTTTTTATCATTTCCTGGGTTCTACCTGGTAGTTACTATATGATACCAAATTATAATGTATATAAGTTCGTTTGTATAATTGTACTTTGGTTATCTCTTTTTAAAATATGCAATTTACAAATAATACAATTTTATCTTAGTAATACCGTTGAACTAAAATACATGCAACGCTGCCAGCAGCAAGAAATATTTGTCGTTAACAGTCTGTGAAACACTGTTAACGATAAACATTTGTTCACTCAAGGAAGAACACTCAAAACCAAGAAAGAAAAACACGTAACGATTAAACATGCTCGCTAAAAAAACAAGCAAAATTGTAAGTAAAAGATTTTTTACGAAGACATTGAACATTTGTTTGGCTGACAGTATAACAAGAAAAACATATCAAACATATAAATGCTGTTGTAGTTTCGTATTTTAATAAAAACTATACCCCCGAAACACCTTCTGTTTTTTGATTTTTAAACTTTTTTGAACCAACACCGGTTGCTTTGTAATTTTCTCTGCAAAAAAGCAGCAGTTAAGGTGGTCACCCCCTCTATAGCAACTTTTTTTTATTTTTTTAATTTTTAAAGTGAAAATAACATTTTCTGAATGAGTAAGGTGATAGAAAATGATGTGCACAAAAAAAAATTCAGGAAGTTGCTAATTACACTAATTATCCATTATGGCGGCCATTAATTAGCCCGTAATTAATTAACAGCATTAACATGATATCTCAAGAACAAGACATCACAATGAAACAAATAATACATTTTTGAAAAGCCAATAATCTGAGCTAGAGAATGATTTTTCAATTTTCTTCAAATTTTTTTATAAAAATTTAACAGCCGATTTATTGAATTGTCAGATATTTTGGGTTTTAATCCACCATTTTTTCGGAAAAAAGTGCAGAAATAATTCATCTATGAGGAAAATTTTAAAATTTGAAAATGTCAGTTTCTAGATTATATTGTACTAAATAAATATACAAAATATCAAGCTTCTACAATAAATATTTACAAAATTACAGTGTCACAAGTATTGGTGACACACAAAAATAACGAAATGGAGAAAAGTCAAGTTAAAGTTATAGTAAAGTTTTCATATCATTATACAGGGTTTAAAAGCTACCTGACTCATATGTAACTCCTTCATTGTCCTCAGCCTTGTCTAAATACTTTTTTCTATAATATCTTAGGGATTTTCTTTGTCCCTTCACCTTCTCAGTGCTCTTTTTTGCTGAAAGCTTTATTCGAGCTTGGTCACAAATGTACCTTGGCAAGTGAAGAAACCTGGTGTTATGTCCAAATCTTCAAATATCTTTAGGAAGGAAATGTCTCCATCATTAAATTTCAAAACAGCTAAATAAGTGGCAAGAGCCACAGTTTCATGTTCAACATAGATTGTCTTCGGACATCTATCCCAAATAAGTCCATTCAAACATTCATTTGGATTTTGTGTCAAACCATGCGTACATTTGTTTAATAATGTAGTGTCAGCCAAATCCTCAAAAATAGGCTCTAACAAATCAACAATGGACTTTGGAAGGCCATTCTTGTGGTTATAACCATCCTTTTCACGTTGATATCCACACCAACTGTCCACTCCTTTTGGACAAAGGTGATGCTGTGGATTCTCCTTTGTTGATGCCACATGAAAAAGTGATGCCTTCACAGCCTTTGCCATTTCCTCAACACTGTGAAGGTTTTCTCTGATTGCCAGACCATAATAATTTTGGAGCACATCTATTTTGCCATCAGTTAGTCTACCTTTACCTGACATACCCTTCCCATCAGCGAGCTTTCTTCCTTTACTACTACTTTTGAGTCTTCGCAACCTACTTCCCACTCTTTTCTGCACATGCCCAATGCACTCCAATTTATTTGGTAGACAATCTTCTCCATATGGTTTGCTTGCTAGAATTGCATTATATGTAGATGAATCACCATCCCCAAGCATATGTTTATACTTCAGCCCTCTTGTAGCAATGGACCTTTCAAACATCCTCAGTGCACCTGCCGTTTCCATGCTGCCAGAACTCCCAGTATGATTTATTTTACAAACATGAGTTGCCTCCCATTCTTTAAATCTAGCATCACTTTGTTTCTTCCTCCACTTGATACACTGCTGACACTTGTCAGAAAGCACTTCTACGTCAAGGCACTTCTTGGTATCAAGGGAAATTACCGTGACAACACCATTGTGTGAAGAGTATCCTCGCTTCTGCCAGGTGCCATCAATGGAAATCCCACATTCTCCAGCATCATTTACAGTCAAGTCCTTAACATGCATAGCATTATTCATCATGCTGTCAATTGCACACTGTTTCACAACTGGCAAAAGTTTTTTGTTTTGAATTTTGCTAAAGTTGTCACGCCTTGGTGGAGGAGGCATGTTTAGAACTTTAGTAAATGTCGTCATAGCAGTGTGACCTTTACCAATTTCTCTAAAAGCTAGCACTGCTCGTACATTAATTTCATGGGATTGCCCTTCTTTTTTTGAAGAATTAAAACAATGCTTCCAATCGCATCCCACACATTGCAGTACAATGTAATGAGCAAAGCCATGCTTCTTCCTCATGTCAACATGACACCTCACATCATCAGCACAGTCGGGACATTTCAGAAGGTTTTCGAATACGCCAAACAAGATCATTAAATCAATGAATATGGTACCTTCTCTTATAGTGTCAAAATTCCCCGAGAAAGGAACATTTTTTGCACTCTCGGTGCCAATTTTTGCAGATGAAGGCCCAGCTGTTTGATCACTAGGTGCGCCATCTTTTAATCTCTTCGTCGTATTCTTAGGAGAAATTCTAGGCCGTTTTCTCTTTCTGTTTTTAAGATTTCCCATTTATTTTTGAAAATACAATAAAAAAAAAAACAAATAGAATTTATATAGAAACTAAAACAGCTCTTTCTTAACGCGAAATGTAAGAGAAAACTAAGATTTTCGTAGATGGCTTTGAGAAGCGTGTATATGCGAACTATACATGGCAGACAAAGTCATAGCGTTGTCAAGGCCAACCAAGGCTAGCAAAAGCAACCAATCACGGAGCAACATTCATCAAAAGACTTGAAATTACATACGCCAAAAGGACAAACCAAAAAATAATGGTTAAAAATGGATTTTGGTCGAAATTTTTCACGATTTTGGTACCTAAATGCGTTGCTAAGGCGTTGCTAAGGGTTAATTTCTTTGATAAGGTATGTTTGAGGGGATTTTTCTCACGGAGTATTATTTTTTAAAGAAAATCAACACTGCAGACTTAAACTACAATACTTAAAGTGCCAAAAATGACCAAAAAAAATTTTTGGAAAAATTTTTAAAAATTCATCTGACAAGAGGGGGTGACCACCTTAAAACAATTCACTCGCCCAGACAGAATCGTTAAACAGTAAAGACGCGCGTCTGGGATAAAATCTCGCGTGTTTGGATAAATATTAATTTCGTTTGGTTATTAGGAATTTGTACTACAGCTAGTGTTTCATGTATCATAGTTCAACGAGTAAAACGCAGGCATATTATCTAGAATATTAATAATATCGTCAACAGGTTTGGTTCAGTCCCATTAAGATTTAAACTTTCGTAAAGCAGATGTACATTCAGTACCGACCTCGAGTAACATGACTTGACTCGCGAGTCAATTGCGAGTCACTCGAGAGGGACGAGTTGCGATTGAGCGAGTCACTCGCGATGCAGTTGCGAGTCACTCTCGAGTATGAGAAGTTTGCGAGGGAATAAGTGACTCGCTGTTTCCGAGTGAATAAATAACTCGCAAGAATTTCTTTCTCCAGTATTTGAAATCGACAAACATAATCTTAAGTGTAGTGACAAGTAAAATTCGTTCAACATTTTGAAGCCAACGGTTTTATATCTTTTTATGAAACATGGGAGCAAAACGACTATTCATTTGAAGCAATAACTCGGGACCTAATGACGTTAAAATCTTTTGAATTTTTTTACAAAAGCATTTTAATAACTTTACATTTTTCATGGCACAAAGCCACAAACGTTATTCGTAAAGCGGTAGAGACCATAGAGAAATGTAAAGTAAACGGCACGCAATAAATGAGTAAATCTAAATAGCGCTCAATTATTTTCTTCTAACAGTCTTAGATTATGGACACATATAATCTTAGAAAAGAATGCATTAAAAAAACGAATATTCTTTAAAGCCAAATATTTAAGGAATGTAGCTATGCACGACAAGTGTAGGTATAATCTTTTGAATTCGATTCTGAAAGAACTTCGTTGACCTGGAGTTTTGGATGTAGTCGCTATTGATATGAAGGCCTTACTATACACGTTGTTTTACTATACACGTAGTTTTATATCGTTCTTGCTATTAAATGTTTATGGCCTTTGTCATCAGGTCCCGAGATATTGCTTCAAATGAATAGTCGTTTTGCTCTCATGTTTCATAAAAAGATATAAAACCGTTGCCTTCAAAATGTTGAACAAATTTTACTTGTCACTACACTTAAAGTGCTACTGAAGTGAAATTTTCATATTTCGTTTTTCGATACAAACGTTTTCTCTGTATTTTACTGATCATTTTGAGCTATCGCCCACTGAATTTAATCGATGGGAACGCATCGAACTTTGTGTTCAAACATGGCATATTTGCTTGTTTTGATGCGAATTTTACTTTGAGTGCATGACGTCATATAAAGGACGGAAGTTCAATTTTAAAGCTCTTAGTATATAAAAATTATATACGAACAAGCATATTTCCACCTGGAATTTTACATATTTTATAACTTCTTCGCAAAATTGCGTATATTTAGTGACAAATGAGCAACACGCATAGGTAAGCAACATTTACAATCGATTAGAGTTTTATAAACTTCTTGAATTAACTTATATTTCTCAATAAACTGGGTGCCGCATCCTTGACGAAGTCTGCGGTTTTAACACACACGCAATGTTATCAGAAACTAACTGTAACGCGCTTATTTCCAATCATCCAATGTATACTACTTTTATAAACTTCTGGATTAGACTTATCATTCTTATCAGATGGGTGTCGCATCCTTGACGTAGTCTGTGGTTTTAAAACCCATGCAATATTATCACAACGCACATAATATAAGGAGAATAATTTTTTATTAAGTTAGTCAAACGTAACGATACACCGCAAGTTAAAATATGGCGAGTAGGCAAAATTCTGCAAAAAATCGTCGAGGAGGACAATATTGTGTTGCTGGTTGGCCCAACGGAAAAAGTTGTACAAACAGTCAACACACAAGGGTGTCTCAGTACATCGTTTCCCCATGAATGACAAGGAGAGGCTGAATAAATGGACGAAATTTGTTAGGAGACATAGGCCAAAATTCGTTCCTCAGCAGTACTCTGTGCTATGTTCAATGCATTTCGCAGATTGGTACATATTGCAGGTAACTTGTAATCACTGTTCTCTATCTGCCAAGCCTTTTTTACTTGTTCCTAGTCAAGAAAAAAAATTACATAATAAATGGTTTGTTCTGTTTAGGCACGTACTGGCAGTACTTCATTTCAATGAAAACCTTCACAGACAGCCAAAAAAAAACAAAAAATGGAACACCATATTATTCTGTGACATACCCAAAATTTAAATCAGGGGATGAAGTAGTAAGAACTGTTTCTTCAGCACCATCATATTGTAAGTTTAGCATGTATGCATTGGTACTCTTGACTTACACATCTAACCACTTGTCATTTTTCCAGACAATGTTAATGAAATCAAAAATGTCATGGTTCTTAGTTGTGAGGAATCCATGGACAACATATTTAAGAAGTATAAGGAAAAAGTCCCAGAAGCCTTAAACAAAACTTTCTCAGATCGAATTTCCAAAACTGAGGCAATCCAACGGCATTTGGATAGGAAACAACTATCTTCAACACCATTGTTTCCCACATGTAAGTTGTTCATGCTACCATGTATAATAGGTATGGCCAGTGCATTCTAAAAGTAAACAAATTAAATTGTTATTTATAGATCAAGAGCAAGATGTACTGCAAACAAAAGGTTTAGACAAAGAAAAACAAGCTGCTTCAACAGGTCCTTCAGATCCAAAAAAAATGTGCTTATGCAAAAATTGTGGACAGCCAATGAAAGGACATCCAAAAGGTCATTGTCCACAAGAATTACTTGACAAATATTCTTAGCAGGCCAACTTTAAAGTTAGTTATAAAATAATATACTATGCTACAAAAAATGTTCTTATTTGATTAATTATTTTGACTTCACACAACAAAATTGTGAAGCATCACAGCACAATAATGAACCACATAAAGGTAAAAAGTAGAGATACATGGCAAGATATTAATTATCGTTACAAAACAAAATTAGAAATCAAAATGTACTAACTCATTTTCATATTCTTGGTCATACGCTTGTATGACCTTCCATCTTGGTCTCTTAGAAGTGAGCCAACATTCTTCCAACATTGTTCAAGACTGTAGCATGTGTCATAATCGTGTACTCTTCGTGAAGAGTAACACAGCTAATTTTTTTCAATGCTAACATCGAATACCAGTTTATGTAAAGTAGGCCCAACCTATTGACAACAACGGTATTCAATGGCATCTGTCAGCAGTTGAGTACGACCCAAGCTACATGCACACCTATAAAAAAAGTGGTTTGTTATCATATTTATGCACCACGACATAAGGACAAAATAACATGTTTAATTCATGGTTTAATTTCTTCTAGAGTTCTAGTAACATTTATCAACTTACCACTTATCTAACTGAAAGGTTCCTTCGAACCTCGCTTCCAATGTTCGAGGGTCTAAGCCATCTGCGTCTTCTTCGACCGACACAAAATTCTCTCCGACTGCGTTCGCAAGAGGTTCATTTTCGTAAGGATTTACCACTGAATTAGCCACAATTGTATCCTCATCGCCGGAATTTGAAAGTAAATTTTCATTTGCCATATCTGAGTTTTCAGTATCCGAACTGCGTTCGCTTTCACTGCTTGAAGAACTCATATTTTATTGTGTATATGTGTTAAAATCTAACAAAATACTAGTAAATCAATGCTCTACTTCGACTTCCGTCCTTTTATTACGTCACATCCGTATAATATTTCAGTGGTAAAATTCGCACGCGTAACCCAACTTTGAAAAATTTATTGATGATCCGTGCTTCAATATGCATAAAAATTATACCAAAGTGATCAGGAAAGGTAGAACTATTTGATTATAGAAAAAAATCGATACCCAAAATTTCACTTCAGTAGCACTTTAAGACTATGTTTGTCGAAATTTTTGCGAGTTATTTTATTCATATGAATGTTTTATGCAGTGGTGTTTGAATTAATGAGATATGATTCGGCATCATAATTTGTTGTCGTACCATTAGGGATCGAAATAGGTGATTTCAATATTCGGTATGGTGTAGTAAGCTTGACATATGAACATTGGTGAGAAATTAACATAGTTGTGAATGATAGTGGTAAGCTTTGATATGATTCGACTTTACGATTGGTTTAGTTAAAACAAATTAGACCTGAAAATCAGGTGACTCAACGGGATTCGAACCCATGACCCTGCGGAGCCGGTGCAGTGCCTTGACCACTGAGCCATGAAGTCACACAGTGAATCCCGTTGAGTCACCTGATTTTTTCTGAGTCCGAGACGATTGCTTAAATTGTCCAGCTAAGTGCGAAGATCATATCTCATTTAATTTCAAAACACCGCACTGCATAAAACATTCATATCACATTCATTTCACGAGAAAACATGAGCCCAACAATATTGACCTGCTCACCACTGTGTGACTTCATAGCTCAGTGGTCAAGAGCACTGCACCGGCACCGCAGAGGTCATGGGTTCGAATCCCGTTGAGTCACCTGATTTTTTCAGGTCCTGAGACGATTGCTTAAGTTGTCCAGCTAAGTGCGAAGATCATATCTCATTTAATTTATTTTATTCAGTCGCAAACAGCGAGTCAAGTCATGTTACTCAAGGTCGGTACTGTAGATTCTTAACGATTCTTTCGGCAAAACCATTGTACCAGTAACCTCTATAACCTACATCTATAGATTATGACATTTACTTTGTTTTACCTTGATTTGACAAATATCGAAACGTCGGTAATCAGCTGTTGGTATAACGAAAATCAATATAATCAGACGCTTTCCAACCAAATTTGTCGTTGATCTCATTCTTCAAAGAATCTTCATCATTTTTTCTCTCCTTTACTACAGTCACATACAAACGTGGTTCTGGGTTGAATGTTATCCCGCAATATCCATTTATCCAAGAAAATCTACAAAACAATAATTCCTTATTTAAACATACATCAAGTAGGAAAGACATTTATTTCGGTAAAACTGTGTGACTTTTACTAAAATATAGCGTTGTATAACAATTGAAATTTAATATTCGCATGTTTTTAAAAGCAAAAAACTTAATAAAAAAACGTTTTTCGGAACAATTAAACACGCGTCAGTCACTGCTTTAAATCATAAGTGCGAGAAATGGTTGAATTCATTCTATATTTTACAGAAAACGTTTGTCGTGCCTAATACGAGCTATACTTCACGACTTTTTAAATGTAAATACAACTTATAATTGAATGTATCTTATGCTTGACAGAAACCTTTGCAAGCATTTTAAAAGTTATTTACAAGTCTCAAGTGGATTTTTACTTACTGTTTTAATTTTTCAGTCACGTCTTTGCGAATACGGTAAAAGTCGTCAAGAAATCCTCTGGTGAAATTGTTATCAAAATCATCTTCATCAGAATCTTCATCATCAGAATATATTTTGGACATATCGTTCTCACTCATCATTTCAGGAACATCTGAAAGACAAAATTGTTATTAAAACACAATTTATACGCCTGTGATAACGTCTGTGATTGGTGCAGTAACCTGCGCCTGAAAAAACGAACTTACCTCAGAAAAAATTATACTTTGTACGTAAATATACTTATTTCTGTGATATTGGCCCAGTACCATATTTTTGCAATTATCATGCAAAAACGATGACTTTACATTTTTTAACCATTTTATTAAAGAACTTAAAAACTTAAACAAAGCAAGAAAATCACACTCTTTTTTTAACTTATTGTTACATTTAAAACCAATTTTTTACTAATTACATTACAAATTATCGTGAAGTAATTAAATGCACCTGTAACTCTGTGTACATATCTAACAGGATGGTTGTAGCTACATGTCATTCTAATTATGATTTGAAATAAAGCAAAATAAAACAATAGCAGTATTGTATCTTGTTCATTAAAACATATTTGTGCCAGATAATTACTAATAAAAATAAAATATAAGAAATACCTTCTTTCATCTTTATAACACCAGCTAAAGATGAATCACTTCGTTCAAATGATTAAACCATTTCAGTATTTGTAAGGCCTTATCCAAACATGGGGGAGTATAAATGTTTCAAAATTGAGCCCGGTGATTTTTACGCTTTTGTTATGATGAGCAACATTCCTAATTGGTCAATCAGGCCATCTAAACAAATGAAAACCATTTAGTTGTAGTTTTATAAAATAAAAAAAAAAACAAGAGGATAGTGTTGCAAGTATTATATAATTAACTGGAATTATGAAAGCTAAATTTACCCAAATAACATTGTAAAATTTTCCCAAACACATGAATGTGTGAAGTTTTGTCAACAACAGAGCCAAAATATTGGCAAAACTTCTTTCTCTAATACCCATATGTTGCATAATGTATCAAACAGTATATTCTGCTCATATATATTTTGTATTATTTCTAAAATGATGGCTTGTATCGTTGAATGATTACAGATTTACATTTTGTCTCTCATTGGGCCATATAGCAGAATAATGATACAGTGATGTTTGGCAGATTGTCACTTTAAAGGGGCAAACATTCTTTGCTATAAAAATTAATATTCATTCATGATGATACTTGTTCTGAATATATCCAAATGTAGTTTTCCTTTTATGTACATTAAAACCAGTGATAGCAAGTTGAAAAGCTAGCCATAATAAATAATGCAAGTCTCCAGCTGTCCATGATCTTTCATCAAAGAGAATACCTCTTCATGGTGATGTGAGAAGTTGTGGATCTTACAAACATTCTTGTTTTAAGACTGAACGTTTTAAAAATGTCTTTTTAACACTAAATATGAATTGAACCAGGGGCGGATCCAGCGATTTTTGTGACTAATGCACCACTGCGAGCGCCAAAGGCCCTAGCTCTGTAGGGGGTCTGGGAGGATGCCCCCCGGAAAATTTTGCGTTTTGACAACAGAATTTAAAAAACTTGGCTTTACTTAGTTTGTAAACTTTTCGCGAATTTCAATAAATTTCAAAGTATGAATTGAAGTAGGTAGATACCAGTTGAAATTGTTTTATTGGTAGTATGAATTAAGGAATAGCTATGTAATATTGTTTGTATAAAAATATGTACTTATAGTATTAGTTATATGGTTTTCATTAGTTAGAACCTTTGTAATTTAACCATATCTGTTACAAAAAGAGTTCACGGTTGCTGAAACTTCCAAAAGCAATAAAAAGGAAAGAATTCTTCATCCATTATAGCCAATACAGACTGTTTCATATGCAATTTCTCGCAAATTTCTGTGCGAATGTTTTGATCATTTATTTATGTTTTTTCATCCCTAATCGCAACAGAAATAAAATGTTTCACAACATAGATGAAAGAAATGCAATTATACAATTGATTTCAAAACGAATAACCTGAGCAAAATATGAAATGTTCCACATAAAATTGCTTAGCAATGACGAAGTCTAAGAAATTAGTAAATTGAAATTATATCGGTGACGTTACAGCCTGATAATAATTAAATTCATCATATTTGTCTCACCCCACCCCACAATCCCCTGCTGGAATTGCCCACTGTCTTTTGTCTTTATTTTGCTTAAAGGGGAACTCCACCCAAAAATAATGTTGGTCTTAAAACTTTGTCTGTCCCGTGAAAATAAATATGCGGCAATTTTTTTGTTTGTTTGATTCAATATTTTCACAAAAAATGAGTTGAAATGCTGCAGCTAGGGCATCCGGTGCGTGGGAGCAGAAATATGTCAGCGGCTTGTATTGACGTCATATCGTCAATTGCTCCTCAAAGCTTTATGTAAAGTCATTGCACAGTCATAATAAACTTGCGTCAAAATGCTTCTCCTAATCACAAAATGTTTCTTTTCGAAACGTCAGAATTTTTATTCGTAGGTATATACACAAGCAACTTTATAGCTTACATGCAAGTATTGAGCTGGTTGTTTGTATTCTGTTTTAATAGAACGGTTTCACATCCATAAAGGCCATTACGCACAGTTTCCGCACTACATATAGAACTTGAATGTCGATTAATATTATTTTTTAAAAATACGAAGGTTTCTTTGTGTGGAAACTGTGCGTAATGCCGTTTGCTTGTCCTCCGAATTCAACCTTAACAACAGTTTCCACTGATGTGAAACCAATCTATTGCCCTTAATAAACATTGAATAATAATAAACATGGTTGTGTAACTCATTACGGTTAGAAAATAATCCTACATAAAACCATTGTAAAAATAGCCTTTCGTGCATAGAATTAAGTTGTAGTTTCCTTGACGCAAAGTATGAACTTATAGTTTCCTAATTATTGTACATAATTGTATAATAATGTATTGCTAGAATACGGAGAGAAAATCTACCTCCTCTGCAATACTGTTACGTTTGCAGCGAGCACTTTGCTCCCGATTGTTTTGAATCGGACCTAAGACAGAAACTTACACCATGGCAACCTTTAAAAAGGCGACTGAAGCGGGATGCAGTACAATCGATCTTTTCATTTGGCCCTGAACCCAGTAAAAAGCGTCTGTCTAGCGAGCATCGTACAGAGAAACGTCAGGCTGACCAAGACAAGGAGGAAGTTAGTAAAAGCATTTCTTGTTAAATTTTAATCAAGAAAAAGTTATAGCCTAAAGTATATTCTAAATATTTCTATTTTTTCTATTTTCAGCTTTCAAATATTTTAGAACAATGTTCCTCCACAAGTACAAATGTTTTCTCAGTGGTTGAGCCAGAAGCAAATAACAGTTGTGATTTGGGTGCGTCTGACAGTCCTGAAGCATTGCCAACTAATTATTGCAAGCCACAAACAAAGATGCATCAACACAGTGTTCATTTGTTGTGAGGAGTTTACATGCCATGGAAGTCCAAACTACACTGTCGATGCTGAATACTGTGGATGCAGAGGTTGGAAAACAAACACCCTCATATTGATCACCAATATGATGTGTGGCATTTGTCTAAATCTGTCACAAAAAAACTAACAAAGAAGGCTAACATTAAGGGAAATGATGACTTGACCCATTGGATTAAGTCCATTTCTAATCATCTTTGGTGGTGCTCTGCAAGTTGTAACAAGAATGCAGAAGAATTGGTGGAAAAATGGAAGTCTGTCCTTAACCACATTTCCAACAAGCATTTCTGGAAGGGGAACACATATTTTCATCAATGTTGCCACCAACAATTAACAGAAAAAGAAACAAAGCAGAAGAAGTGGTTATCTCCTACTTCACAAGCATATATCGCTGCAGAGAAGGTGATATGTGACAAGAGGCTTCTAAAAGACCTGCCCAAAGCGAGAGCATTTTTCATTTCCTGGGATGGTAGCACGCACTCAGTTAGCAGCATTAGATCACAACAACAATATTAAACGTGATAAAGCAGTCATTAAGTCAGGGACAAACAAAGGGCAAGACCGTTACAAAATGTTTTTTTGCTAAAACACAGAAGCAATGGGTTGTAAAAGCAATGAAAGAAAAGAAAGAGTACCAGTACATTGATAAACTACTTGCGGAGGTTGTGAATGCATGCAAAACTGAGGAGATTGAACTTGTACATCATGGCGAGAATCTTCCAAAGAACATTTCTAAATCATGTCCACCCAGGAAAGAAGTACTTGTAAAGGAACATCAGTCTAGATTTGCATAAAATGTCAGTGGTGATGTTAGCTATGGCAATAGGTTTTGCCATACCCATATAATATGATGTTGAATCAGTGAAGACAACTTTTGTACTACTTAAAAAATGTTCATTCTTAAATATTAACATAGCAAAACCTTTTGCTATAGCTAGTTTCACCACTGCATTACACAAACTATTCATGTAATTAATTATAGTTATATTATAACCAGTGTAATAGCCAAGCCACATTTATAATCATTTCTTTGTAAATCTGTTTTTTTTTGTAATAAATTAATAATAATAAATGTGCATAGCATGACCTATAAATGAGCTGGCTATGCCACTTTAATATTGACATACAAAGTAATTGTAATGGTATATACCTATATCATAATAAAATACTTCATTCATCAACATAGTGAAAGCCTTCAAATTGAAATTCCTCTGCAAGGCCAGGTGGAGGAAATGTTTCTCTAATGCGAGTAACTGCACATGATGGCAAGATGACTCTCACTTCTCTACCCAAGACACCCCAGCACCATCTTGCCAACTGTCTATATGCAATATGGCGGTACAGTTTGTCCTCGGGCCCATCATATGCTACCTCATATTGCTGCTTGTACTGGTACCAAGCTGTTTGTAAAACCCACCTGTTAAGACAAACAGGCTCAAAACCAGGATGTTGTGTAATGCACAAAGGGACTTCGGTGGTCTCATTCGTTTCTACTGCCTCTAAATTTTGTCACAAATATTGGAAATCTCTTTGCAGCATAAACATTCCTCGTTATTATCCATTATTTGGCAGTTACCACATTGACACCTGAATATGTTAAAAGAAAGGATCTTGAAAAGTAAATGTCAAAACTTCAATAAAATTGTATCTTACAATAAAACTTTAAAATCTAAAGTATTATGTGTGTGTGGACGTGGTCAACTTCAAAAACTGAAAACGTACTTTTGAGATAGAAACAATGGTCTAGAATAATATAACATTTTACTACCCACCATTCAAGATTGTCGCGCCGAGATTCATCGTCAATATACAAAAATTCCTGTTCTTCGTTATCCTCAAACTGGTGAGCTTCTTCGTGTTCATCAGCCGGCCATTCGGGCTCAAACTGATATGGCCGAATATTGTTTGTTGGATTGTCTTCCATTTCACTATCGATTGGTGAATTAGGCCGAGGTTCTTCCAAAAAAGCCATTGTAAGCGATTGTTTTGTTTTTGTGCTAGGCTGTGCGTTATTATTTACTTTGTTGTAAACTCAACTCCAAATCGGTTTGACGATATGACGTCAAAATAATTTCCGTTGACGCTTTCTGTGCCCACGCTGCTAAGCCTCAAAACAGCTCAAATAGCGCACTTGAAGACGCGATTTTGTCAAAAATAAAATAGCTGATGTAAAAATTTCAAAAATATAGTAACCTTTGCATAAAAATGGAACTTTTAAGACCAACATTATTTTTGGGTGGAGTTCCCCTTTAACATAAATATGAATACGAAACTAGGGGTTGTTCATCTTTGCCTTTAACGTCCGTGTTTGTCAAATGTCGACTGCAAATTATTAAATATTCTCTATCTTCTACTTGTAGCGATAAACGAATAATTTCGTCAAATCTTGGATTAATTTTAACACTGAATTATATGTAAATATTTATGAAATGGCTTGTCGTCCTAAAGATTATGAAAGTGGATATGATGAATCGAGATTTAAGAATGCTGTTGATGAAAATTTTCGCTGTGCAATTTGTCTCAACGTTATAAAAGATGCCAGAATGTGCCACAAAGAACACATCTTTTGTCGTAAATGTATCGAAGAACATCTACGAGTTAATGCACAAAGATGTCCTCAATGTCAAGATAATTTGACTGTAGCTACACTTCTTCCAGCGCGTGTTATAAATAATATGATTTCAAAGTTAAAGATCAACTGCGACTACGCTAGTCGCGGTTGTCCTGAATTTATAAACGTTGAAGATCTTGAAAGACATGTTGAAAATTGTGGGTTTGCTCCAGTGTTGTGTTCTAATGAACGTTGTGACAAGGAGATAAACAAACGAGACAAGATTAAACATGAAACTGAATTATGTGAGTACAGAAAGATTGCTTCTCACGACTTTGAAGAGATTAGAGAAATGTTTCAAAAAAGTTTTGATCAAGTGAAAATGCGGATGGTTAAAATAAATGAAAAAATGGATCAAGATAGAATTGAAATAAATAAAAAAATTGATGTTGTATCTGGTCAGTCTACGAAAGAAATAATGGAATTAAAGAAAGAAATGATGGAATCAAAGAAAGAAATAAAAAATATTAAACAAAATCTTTCTACAGTGACCAATGAAATAATGGAATCAAGGAAAGAAATAAAAGATGTTCAACAAAATCTTTCTACAGTGACCAAAGAAATGAAAGAAATGAAATTCATGATGTTTCAAATGTTGGAAAAGATGAAGGTAAATGAACAACATGTTCAAACATCAACATCATCAGTTGAAATGTTGATGAACTCTGTAAGAAGTGATATTTTGGTTGCTGGAGGTGACCAACATTCCTTTAAGAATGTTGAAATATTTTCATTTGAAGGAGGAGAAATGGTTTAACATAGCATCAATGGAAAATGAACACAGCAGTGCTTCATCATTTACTTATAATGATAATTTATTTGTTGTTGGAGGTGATGAATGCGCGTCAATTGAGACATTGAATTTTAAACAGTTTCCTTTGACATGGAAGACATTTCCCGCAAAGTTTCCTTATGAATGTGATGATCATCAAACTGTTGTTTGTAAACAACAAATCCTTCACATTGGAGGATATGATTATGATAAACATACAAGAGTGGATCAAATTAGTGAAATACAGATTACAGGTACAACATCTTATGTTTTGAAAGAGTTGTGTCATATGCCTGAGCCACGGGATGGCCATGGAGCTGTTGTTGTTGATGATAAAGTTCTTATTTTTGGAGGATGGGGAAAAGATGGCAATAATTTGTCCAGTGTTTTGGAGTTTAATCCAAGGACTCTTACATTTAAGGAAATGCCTCCATTACCTCATCCAATGTGTAGAATGGCAACAGTTCAATGGAGAGATCAAGTTGTTCTTCTTGGAGGTCATGATAGAAGAGAAAGGCAGAACAGTATTGTCATGTATGACTGTAATACAGGAAAGATTACAGTCTTACCATCCATGTTGGAAAAGAGAAAGTGGTGTTGTGCAGTTATAACTGCTGATACAATTGTTGTCATTGGAGGTGAGAATGATAAACGTGAACACCTTAAAACAGCAGAGTGTTTTAAAATGGGAAGCAGTTCTTCATGGACATATCTTCCTTCAATGAATAAACCACGATGTGGAGCCGTTGCTATAATTTTACCATTTGGACATAAGTATTTATAAGCACAGAATTATTCTCTAAATAATCAGAACATTATAACTCAGTAAAATTTGTTTATATTAAAGCTAAACACTACTTAAAATTTAATATGTAAACTTACAATGTTCATATAACCTTCGATTATTATAATAAATTACTGGAGAAATAAATGGTTTTAGTATTTTACTAATGACAGAGACAAAAAGAAAACTTATTGCTTTAGTATTTGTTCAGAATCTTCAAACTTACAACTGTGTATGAGTTTGACCAGTGGTGTTGTCGATCATAGAGATTATAAACAATACTAGAGGTGGCATCGTAATATAATCAGTGAATATAATCTATACTCCAAAATACGGCACACATTTTTGAGGGCAAAATCGATTCCTGATGTTACGATACAGTGGGCAACTATGATTTTTGACTTTTTGTTTTATTATACGCAAATACAATAGTAAATATTGTCACAATCGATTTCTTGAACTATTTTTTCTTTTCATCGTAATTTTGGAGGATACCTAATAAGGATACGAAATTGAGCCTGAGTCAAAGATCTCGCTATTTAAAACAAATTGCCGAATTCTTTTTTCACGAATTTGCAACGCGTTTGAAATATTAAAAATTTGTTTGTCTAAATTCCATAGCGCTAAAAAATAAAAAAAATTTACCTTGTGAAACAAAAAACATCTTTTTGCGTTGCTTCCGTCAAGTAATCCACTCCTCTTTTGGTTTACAGGTCTTCAACTCCTTTTTATTTTAACTTTTCATTTATTTTAAAACCAAGAAATGCAATGCAGCACTTAATTACTGCAAAATATGAGTCGATCTTTAGCAGTGCTCACTCTTTTATCGCGCCCCCCAACTTCATTCTAAAGCCTGTTTTCCACTAGCCACGTATCGTAACGTATCGTAGCAAAACATAACAGGGCGCATGCGTGCTTATGAATTTGATGGTCAATAGGCGCAAGCACGCATGCGCCATGTTACGTTTTTCTGCCACCATACGTTGCGAATTTTCGTTTCCATCATGCTTACATTGCGTGCGAAGACTGGGCTCTACTGGCATAAAAATTTCCACAGACGTAGACTTTCAATTTTTTGGTTCACTGGCACAGTACAGGAAATATACATGAGGTCCAGTTCGCTGTGCAACTTTCTGTTTAATTTAATTAATGGCTGTCCTTAGTCATTTCATAATTCCTATTGTGTCATTATGGTAATCACATGCGTAATAATATATGCGTTGCTTCCGTCAAGTAATCCACTCCTCTTTTGTTTCACAAGTCTTCAACTCCTTTTTATTTTAACTTTTCATTTATTTTAAAACCAAGAAATGCAATGCAACACTGCAGCAGGTGCAACCCTCGAACTTCGGTCTTAGGCTTGCACAGAACTGCTCTCGAGTTCTCCCAAAGATCTCCTCGGTTTGTATAAGCCTGTGTAAACACAGTAAACATCTTTTAATTCCCTAAATGTCATGAGTGATCATTCAATTTTAGTATCTACTGTATGACGTTGTTTATGCCTCATATCTATTCAGACTCCAGACGTTTAAAATCATACAGAAACATACAGAAGTTCCGAAAGGTTCTACTTTATTGTGATTGTGCGCTCCCCCTCATTCCGTAAAAATTCCCCTGCAATTGTTAACAGACAGACACAAATCGAGATTTCACCATATAGGTCGCGTGGGGGAATGGGTCGAGTCATGTCAAACATTACTTTAGGGGGGAGCTTGACAATAATTTAGATGTATTTTTAGCTTTGGCCAGTCATGGGACAAAACTATACAAGTTATCGTTCCAGATGTATTTTAGTTCAATATCTCAATCACTGTGTCAAAGTGATGAGTATCTCCATGTTTTGCGTATCCCAGTACTTAAATCATTTGGGGTTTAAGCGTCCCCAGCAAATATGGCTCCCGTGTTTTAAGTATCCCTACCCGACCACCCAACGTTCACAAATCACTAGTGATAAAGGTTTCCCTATGTTTGTTACATTACTACGTTGGTTTCAGAGGTTTCCCTACAGTGGATTTCCCTTGATCTAGACGAAACAACATTAGAATTTTTTTACACGTCATACAACATTGAGTAAAACTGAGTAATATCCCCGTACTTAAATCACAAAACCTCTAGTGATTTAAGTACGGGGATACCCAAATCACGGGTTTACTAATATCACTGTCATAACTGTTACCTCAATATGAGCCGGCGATTTAGCGGTTTCATATGGCTGTATTCATCATTTTATCTGGTTTGCTGTTTCCACTCTTTTTGACGTTCCTAAAAAGAGAAAGAGAATAGGAACACTTACGGATGATTCGTGCATTTATTGAAAAAAGCACACATTATCCATTACTACTCACATTTTTTCGTTCGATTCTCAATTTCCTTGCAACTTCCTACCGCGACTTTCTTCAAAAAATGATTTCGAATTTGGATTCCGAAGAACCCTTTTAAAAAAGAAAGTTGATTAAGTGATTACATTTTAAAATATGCAATATGTATGGTTTAGTTCAGGGAGGACGATATAAGACAACAGCGCACTTCTTGCTGTATTAAGAGCACTATAACCAATACCAGTCTGGAACAATTCTGACAAAAAATTCACTCCATTTTCTATAGTTGCCGAAATTGTATGAGCTTGCTTTTCACCGGAGTATAGGTGCCATCGTTTGATATACGGGTCGTATTGCTTTTGTGTACTTTTTCTTCAAGACTGCAGGACCAATTGGGCATTTGAGGTAATTTTGGTGATCTAGGGAGATAGGTACCGAGTAATAGGCATCAACTGAAACCATATAATAATGTGGTTTCATTATGCTAATGGAAGATTGCAAAGTATCCATTTTGAAATGATGGTAAGTGAAACAACTTTAGGTTAAGAATCATACGATACGATCCATCTTTCTTAGAAGTAAGGAAGATGGGTGAAATAAACTCCCTAGACTCAGAAATGGAAGGGACAATAACACGTTTAGCAAGTAGAATGTTGACTTCAGAATTGATACGAATTCTATCATTGCAGCTAAATAGTTGCTCTCTAGGCGATTTTGTTTGCACAGGGAGCGAGGAGAATTCTATATGTGCTTCTGACACCATGTCTAAATTAAATTCATCTGAGGTTAGCAATTTCCATTTCTCCACATAAGAAGCCAGTCTACCGGCCTTAAATTCAGTAACTTTAAGTCGGAAAAATTTTAAAAGACCAGGTATAAAGGAGGCAAAATCCTTTACCTGTAATGTACTTAAGCTTTTGACCAAATCTTGTGTACTCAAGGTTTTGTCTTTTTCCATTGTTTCTTGAATTGGGCTCCAAGGCCTTACCTTCTCCATGGGGAACGGTCCGGCCTCCCACGTCTTTTCCCCCCAAAAAGAACTTTGTTCATTTTCGGATGGATGTTTCCAAGACTCTTTGCTTTTAATAGGCTGTCCTGAAGACCGTGGTGAGACCATTGCTTTTCCAATTTTATTGGATGCTTTGATGTTGTTAATTTGTGACTGGAGCTCTTCCCCAAATAGAAACTCAGTGACTGGTCCCTGCGGTGAGCAAATAGATGCTAATTCTTTATTTAAACAAGGTTTTACAGCTTGTCTTCGATGCATAGACAATTGATGGGTAGCATGACCAAGCAATGCCAGAGCATCAGTATTTATAGTTAGCAGTTTACCTGTATTCAAATCAGCTGTACCAGAATTGGGTTTGAACAACAACTCAGCTGAATGTGCGAGGGCTGTGCTTGCTTGTGGATAGCGCTCGCTCTCACGTGACTCATTAGCGAGCGATAACCAATTATGAAGAAGAATCTTGTGGGGACTCGATCATCACGCCTCTTGATACAACACTTTAAAATTTCAATACAATAATACAAATGTTTAGGTCATCAGGTCATATATAGATTGCTATGTTGCAGAGACACTTGAGAAAGCAGGCATTGACTCAAAATTTTTGTAATGTCAAATAGATAACAGACGATTTCTGAGCTCGTAAAATTGAAGTTGTAGTCGGAATCGCCAGCTGGTAGGGAGAGTC